GCGTTCCTTGGCGGCGTCGTCGTCGATCATGTGCCCGTCCCTTATCCCGCAATTTGATAGGACCGGCCGCCCTGAAGGAACATGTTTACAGCGCAGATAAAACATGGAATGGTTGACAGCTGCTAGCATACGCTGCTAGAGTTACCCCAATTCCCCCAATTCCAGGCCTCTACACGTGTTAGTTCTGCTCACGTATCACGGTGCGGGGAAAACCCCCGCTCAGATCCCCCCTCTTCCAATGGACGCTCCGCTTATCGACCCGAGTCTTTCTCTTGGTTCCCTTCGCGCCATCTTCCACTTCCATCCAACATGCAGATACGGAGATGACAGCGGCGTCGGTTTCGATATCGGCATCAGCCCTGGAATCCCATCGGCCACGCTGATTGGGCTCGCCGGGTTAGTGACATCCGATGTGCCCAGAACCACCGGGGACCTCCGACTCATGACCCCGGCTCCGGTTTGGTTTCCGCTTCTGACCTCCGGGTGCTCCGGTTACCCTGTCTTTGTCTGAATGGAACCATTTCAGTGGAGACATTTATCCTATATACCACAGCTGAAGGTGAGATTCGAAAGAATTATATGGACATACATCACACCAATTACTCCGGACCTTCACCGCATCTTCATTGTTTTTTTCTCTGTCAGATGTTTCACCTGATGCCTTCTCGTATGCCACCATCCTTGCAGCATGAGTGTGAACCAGTGGAGTCCATAGGGTAAGTTGTTTTTATACTCACCTCACTCCATCGCACATGAAGCAACACAAACTTGAAGTAACAACTATGTACCCAACTAGCAGTGTTCTAGAAGCTGAGAACAGAGTTCCGGGTTCCGTCAACCGCGATCATGTTGACATTCAAGAACGATGTCTTTGCAGGGATACCTTACCAAATCCCACAATATACACACAAGGGTGCCACAACTGAGCAGGGTCGAAGCCTCCACTTGCCATGACACCGTTCCCTCTTTCACCTGGGTTTTCAAAATGTCGGGACTCTTATCATGGAGTTCATCATCAGTCATCAACCAGAAGACTAGGAAACAACCGAGGAAACACTGACTGGACAGGAATAAAGTGGTTGTCAGGGATTGGCCAGCAAAGACACAATTCCATAGCCGATGCGGCACCGACGTGCGGACTGCTCGGACTCTGAAACCAACCACTTCAAAAGATTTTCATCATCACGGCCCCACCACCGCCACGGTGGTGCCGGACTGCCGGTGGGATCGGAGTCCAGTGTGCTCCCTTGTTTCGGCCGAGGAAAGCTTCTTTTACTTTGCCACGCCCGCGGTGGAGACACCAACTGATGCCTACAGTACCTATTCAACATCGAAATCAAGTGTTTTGAGAATGGAAAAGTCCAGAAACTAGCCAACCACATGCACATTCGGAACCGAGTTGGCGGGAATAATCATGGATGTAGAACTACACTACATAACTGACAGTTGATGCTCCACTCATGATCGGGCCATCATTGACTCAAATACGGGTACCTCCCATTACTCATACTTCATCTCGCGGTGAGCTTTTGTTACCACCACACTCACTGCAACAACTCTCTCACCCTGCCGCTTATCCATGTCTTATCGAGAAGGGGGTTATTAAGGACAGCCAGCGCCTTCTCTCTCCAGAACCCATCGTACCAAAAGGGTTGATGCGACCCAACGAACTGCAGCTGTTCCTTCCTGTCAGGGTCACCGCCTTTGATCGGATCCAAGTTGCCGGGGTACATTCCTATAAGGGAATCTCGACACTGGACCCAGCCTTTGCTCTCCACCCCACCTGCCACCATAAAACTGCTGTCTCGGTCTCAACTTCCGAGGTCGATCCTTCAGCCACAACTGTGACTCGATCTTTCTTTCTTTCAAGAGCAGATTTTTACGTCTAGGTTCCTTTCCTGGGCCATTTTCCAACATCTCAGCACAACACCCACTCTTTGCGATCAGTAGTACTGCGTTGCCTCACTTGACCAATTTCAAGCAAGAGACTGGAAAGCGCCATGGCTGAGCCAGATTTGAAAGACCAAGTCGCGGACTCGCGCAGGTCCACGTCGACGGCCGCTGCCACGGATACGCTCACTCAAGACTCAGCGCGTACTTCAATGCAGGCGGATCACCAGGAGAACCAACATCAGCTTGACGCTGGACAAGGAGCTAGCCATGATAACGGAGAGAAACAGCAAGAGCAAGCCGGTCAAGCTTCACAACCAGTCACCGAACTCACGCCAGCTGTACCTATTTCCGCCGAACCCGTGTCCCTCCTGACCGGCGAACCTCCGAGCGAAGCACCTGTCGTCGAGCAGCCTCCCAAGTACTCGATTCACCCAGCATGGGTCAAGCGCCTCATCATCTTCGGCGCCTCCATCTCCGCCTTCTTCTCGCCCCTCACCGCTCAGATCTATCTTCCTGCTCTGCCTACCGTAGCTGACGACTTCCATGTTACCGCATCCAAGGCGACCCTGACGGTGACAACCTACATGATCTTCCAAGGCATCACGCCCATGTTTCTTGGGGGGCTGGCAGATTCAGCGGGTCGTCGACCTGCCTACGTCATCTGCTTTGTCATTTACATCGGGGCCAATATCGGTCTGGCGCTGTGCAAAAACTTTACAAGTCTCTTGATTCTCCGAATGCTGCAGAGTGCAGGGTCGAGCACCACCATTGCTCTTTGCCAAGCCACGCTGGCAGATATCACCACCAGCGCGGAACGAGGACAATACGTCGGCATCACTGCGCTTCCCCAAGTCTTGGCTCCGAGTCTCGGCCCAGTGGTGGGCGGTCTGTTGACCAACTACCTCGGCTGGCGCTGGATCTTCTGGCTGCTCACCATCATGGCTGGCGTTAACCTTTTGGGCTTGCTCATGTTCTTCCCCGAGACTTGCCGCAAGATCGTAGGCGACGGCAGCGGTCGCAAGGATTCGCACTGGATATACTGGACTGGCTGGCAGCTACTCCGCGACAACCTAGCCCGTCGCGAACGCCGCAGGGAGCGGAAGCGTCGCGAGGCTGAACTCTCCAAGGAAGACCCGTCCAACCACCACAATGGCCTCCACCTCACCGTTTCAACTGCGTCTGCCCCCCGTCAGAAGATCAAGCTCAGCCTCACCACACCTAATATCCTCCAGTCTCTCACACTTCTCTTCCGCTCCAAACAGCTCGCCATCCTCCTCTCCTACTCAGCCATCGTCTTCTCGGGCTTCTACGCCATCGGAACCGCCATGCCTAACCAGCTCTCGACCCTCTACGGCCTTAACGATATCGAAATCGGCCTCATGTACCTACCCATGGCTGGTGGTTCCATTGTCACAGCCTTTGTTATTGGCAAGGTTATCACATGGAACTTTCACCGCCATGCCAGGCGCCTGGGCATGGTAATCGACAGAAGCCGGCAGACGGATCTGACGGCCTTCCCCATTGAGCGAGCGAGACTGGAGGTGGGACTGCCGCTGTTGGCGCTGACCAGTGCTGTGGTGATCTCATGGGGCTGGGCCATGCAGAGCAAGACCAGTCTGGCGGCGCCGTGTGTTTTGCTGTTCCTTCTGGGAGTTGGCATGATTGGATTCAACAACACGGTCAGCACCCTGGTTGCGGATATCTACCCGGGCAAGGCCGGAGCGGCGACGGCAGCAAATAACTTGACGAGGTGCTTGCTGGGAGCGGCAAGTAGTGCGGTGATCCTGCCGATGGTCAACGGAATAGGAAGTGGATGGGCTTATACCATCTTTGGAGGATTGTATGTGTTCTTTGCGCCGTTGTTGCTGGTGCTTATGAGCAGGGGAATGAGGTGGAGGGCGGAGGAGAAGTGGAAAGATGAGGCCAAGGAGGAGAAGAGAAAGCAGGAACAGAAAGCGTGAGTGTGTGATGAGAGAAACGGAAGCCCAAGCATAAGGTCGTTCAGCTTGACTTTGGAGGGGAGTAGAGGGGGAAGGTGTTGTGATACCCATTGCTTTCATCCAATTGCTTTTCAGCGTTGCATTTCCGGCGTCGAGTTTGGGGTTCGCGGGATAGACGGGATATAATCTACAAGTTCAATGTGTAGAATGTCATGTACGACTTTTCGTATTAGATTCAACTTTTCATGTGGCGGTTCGCTTTCGGACACTTTGTAGTGCGGCAAAATAGACAGACATTCATGACTGACCTGAACTTTTTCCCAATTCAAAAATCTCAAGACTGAATTGCATATGAATAAGAAGGAGGGTGAGTGGACCAAAACAAACAACTGAGTCATGAAAGGCCATAATCCCCGATTCGTTTTGGAAAAATCGCAAAAAAGAAAGTTTCAATTGCGCCAGCCGCGAATCGAACGCGGGGCCCATCGATGGCAACGATGGATTTTACCACTAAACCACTGGCGCTTATGGATGTCATCTGTGCTCCCAGATTGCCGCTATGAAGCTGCATCGAAACCCCATCGAGCTTGAGTTTAAAACTGACGCGCGTGATGGTCGGAGCCAAAGATTAAGATAAAAGCGGATCAAAAGAAGAAGAAAATTAGTTGTGATTAGGTGCTGTAAGGACGAACTTGACACACGTATACTCCTTAGATGAAGATTACATCAAGGGACCAGCCAATTTGGTGCTACGACGCTTGGGTAGGATGAGCGTACATGTGATCCCCAGTTGAAGGGTACATGTAGGTTCGTCCGAATGTTGAAAAAAAAAAAAAAAAAAAAAAAAAAAAAAAAAAAAAAAAAAAAAAAAAAACACGGTTGCCCGAGTGAATTGAGAGGAAATGTCTCCCTCACCTCACGGCCTTTCCTTTACATCATCATCGCCGTCCGTGTAGTTGCTGAAAAGCGTCAAGAAATGATCAGCCATGCCGGAGCCGAGGGGGTCCTACCACCATCATCCGTCCAGATGACGACTGCCCCAACCCCACGCACGGCCGGGAAGACGATCCTTGCCCAAGAACGGCCCACCACTTCTCGGCTCCGGTTCCTGGGAACCAGTGGGGATCGCGTGCCCGCTTTTGACGACAGATAAACACAGCCCGCGCCATGCCCAATCCAGGAGGTGTCAGTTGTCGTACGTCTCGGCAATTCCGGTCTGACTCCGGGCCGCTGACAACCAACACCCACCCACCAATACCTGATAATCGGTGTTTATAAGCTGCGTAGTCATCCCCAACAACGCTGATGATTGTTTGACCCCCTCCAGTTCCAACCGTCTTTCGAACACGAAAGGCAACATCATCATCAACCCTAAAGATGGAGAAGGGAATCTCTCTCCCGGTGGCCTACACGCCCACGCCAGCCCCGGCATCCACCACCCGACGCAAGTCCCTCAAGACCGTCGCCAAAGCCCTCGCCCTCGGTCTTCCTTTCTACGCCCTCTACGCCTGGCACACCAACCAAGCAATCATTCCATCTCTCTCCCGCGCAAATGTCAACTTTGCCTCCCAATGCGAGCAACCTTCCCCGCTCAAGCCCAGCCAAAATGAGAAGCTCGACAAGGCCTACGACTTCCTCTCCACCGAGGCATTTCTCAACGCCTCCATCGCCCGCCTCTCGGGCGCCGTGCGCGTCAAATCCGAGTCCTTCGACGATCTGGGCGCCGTCGGCGAAGACCCCCGCTGGGACGTCTTCTACGACTTTGCCTCCTACCTCAAAAAGACCTTTCCCTTGATCCACTCCAAGCTGCAAGTCGACAAGGTCAACACCCACGGCCTGCTCTACACCTGGGAAGGGTCCAACAAGGACCTCAAGCCGACCTTGCTCATGGCCCACCAGGACACCGTCCCCGTGCCGCCCGAGACGATCCCCGCCTGGACTTACCCGCCTTGGTCCGGCGAGTACGACGGCAAGTACATCTGGGGTCGCGGCGCCGGGGATTGCAAGAACCAGTTGATCGCCATCATGGAGACGGTCGAGCTCCTGCTGGAAGCCGGGTGGGAGCCCAAACGCACCATTTTGCTGTCTTTTGGTTTCGACGAGGAGTGTTCCGGTCGACAGGGCGCCGCTCATCTGTCCAAGTTCATCGAAGAGCGTTACGGGAAGGACGCGCTGGCTGTGATTGTCGACGAGGGCGCCGGCTTCGAAAAGACGTGGGGCACCCTCTTCGCCAAACCGGGAACTGCCGAAAAGGGGTATACAGACGTTTACATCACGGTGCGCATGCCGGGCGGCCACTCGTCTATCCCCTCGGACCACACCAGCATTGGCGTTTTGAGCGAGCTCATTACGCGCATCGAAGCAGAGCAGTACCGCACCCATCTGGAAGAGGAAAACCCGTACTTCACCCAGTTACAATGCGGCGCAGCGCACTCACCTCAGTTCTCACACAAGCTAAAGAAACTGCTTGCCCATCGGAAGCGCCACTCTTCTTCTTCCTCCTCCTCTTTTTCTTCTTCTTCTGCAGAAACCTGCAAAACAAAAGACTACCTAGCCCTCGAAGCCGCGCGCGAAGGCGGCCCCGCCATCAAATACCTAATGCAAACCTCTCAAGCAGTCGACGTGATCACGGGCGGCATCAAAACCAACGCTCTTCCCGAACGTGTCCGCGCAACAGTCAACCACCGCATCAACATAGGCGAAACCCCCCAAGTCGTTTACGACCGTCTTACCAACCTCGCCGCGCACGTCGCCAAGAGACACGGCCTTTCCCTCCACGCTTTTGATTCTTCCCCCTCCTCTGCCTCCTCCTCCTCCTCCTCCTCCTCTTTTGGTTCTGATTCCACAGACCTGGAGGTGGAACCAGCCAATTCCATCATCCTCTCCAAATCCTCGCACGAACTCCTCGTCGCACCCATCACCCCTTCCTCTTTTTCTCCAGGTCACCAAACCCCCTTTGGGGTATTAGCAGGAACCACCCGCGCTCTCTACGGTGAACAAGTCATTGTCACCCCGGGAATCATGACGGGAAATACAGACACCAGATATTACTGGGACTTGACGAGACATATCTTTCGGTGGGGACCGGGGTATGATCCGTCGGATGACGATGCTGGACTGGGTAATATCCATACGGTCAATGAGCGGGTCAGTGTGAGGGCGCATGTCAATGGTGTGAAGTGGTTTTGGATGTTTTTGAGGAATATGGATGAGGTGGAGGTTGATGGGGAGTGAGGTGTAGGTAACCTTGGAAAGATGGGGGGGATGGAGCGGTGGGAGGGATATGGATGAGGTGGTGGTTGAGTGAGGTTGAGTGAGGTTGGATGGGTTTAGATGGTACAAGGTGAAAAGGTTGACGGTAGATGGATGGTAGATGAATGGGAGGAAACAACATGAATGCCTCGGGGGCGATGGACATGGAAGAAATGGCAATGAAAGGAAGTGAAAGAGAGGGGGAAGAAGGGACAGTTGTATGAACGATGGTGGTGGAATGGAGGATGCACATGTTGATGATGCCGTACATGAATTGATGATGAATGAGGAATGAAGAGTAGGCACCTCCAGCGTATTCCTCTTTGGAAAGAAGTATCAAATGAACTGGTTTTGGGGAGTGGAATCTCCAGCTTGTATCGTGCACCCCTCCTTCATTTATCCTTGGAGTAGGACCATCAAACAAATCAGCCTAATGCGACCTCTCAATGTCATCCTACCCAGCTGATTGTTCTGAAGATGCACGCCCATGAAAGCCGCCTCATTGTCTAGCCAGCCGTTGTGCCTGGTTTAGGGGGCTGCAGTATGCGCATGTTCCCTCGACAACCAATGCATGATGCAGGAGGTGTTGACTTCTTGTTGGACTTGATCCACCACTTCGAGTCTTCGGTCATGTACAAATGATTTCCTTTCCATTGTTCGATCAATGCCCCCTATTCACACCATATGGGACACTTGTACACATTATCATTCTCATATTTTGTATCTAAAGGTATCTACCTGTGAACTCCGTTGGATCTCAATGTTTACCGAAGTGTGGGTTGCCCGCTACGCCGAACTCCGTGAACACAGCAAAGGGAACACTTATAAACATGTACTCGTCCACCTGGCCATGCACAATGCGAATACCTTCTGTGAGCAAGCTCGACACAGAAAGTCCTCGCCGAGATTTTGAAAGCAATAAATCGCAAGCGGCCAGTGACTACACTGAAAGGTGACACCGACCACGTCCTTGGCAACCTGTTTCAGCCCATCCAGCCACAAACGCCATCCCGCCCTGGGTCTTCCAACCAAGGGAAGCCTCCATGCAACATGTCTCGCTCGCTTGTCTCTCGCTTACACTACTCGCAAAATCACTTCTCAGCATAAACCGCCTCATATATCTCCGACATCCTCCCACAGACATCATCGAACTCGTCCTCATCCAAGCGACACCACACCTCCATGGTACTCAACCACAATACCTTTTCCAGATCCTTACCCGTCGTCTCAATAATCCACTTTGGATCTCCCCACATGCGCAAAAGCTTGCCCGTCTTCTTGTCCATCTCCACCAGTCCCGTTTTACTGTTGACCACGTCCGAGAAATCCGGTTTGACGCCATTGTGGTGGAAGAACATGATTTTCTTCTCGTCCTGCTTCAACGTGAGGTTACCCACTGTCGACAGCCACGATGAGTCAAACAGATAAGGAGAATGGGTATCGGCGGGAGCGGGATGCTTTGCTTCTTTGGCAGCTTGTTGCAACGCGCGCCAGTCTTCGACGGGATCCATCTGCTTCATGAACATGCCGCGCCATTTGCCGTTGGCGCTGCGACCGTGGGCTTTTGGCATTTTCTTGACGTCATAGAACCCCTTCTTTTGACCTTGGGCGGAGGGGAGCTTGGTCCATTCCATGGGCGGGGAGTAGCCGCCGTGTTCAACGGGCCTCTTGGCGAGCTCTTGGAGGACATACGCCGCTTGGAGGAAGGTCTCCTTGTCGCCCTCTCCCGGTCCGTGCTGCGAGAGTATGGCCATGTAGTGCGTCGGGCCGTGGTAGTTGTAATACGACGCGAGGAGGAGGGTGTCGGCGTGCCGAGCTTTGTCGAGGACGATCATGCCGCTTTCGGAGCTCGCACGGTCGGTGAGTTGCGGGACGGGAATGCTGCCGGCAATTTGATAGAAGTACTTGGAGCCGGAGGGGACCCAAAAGTCGGGCCAAGCAATGAATCCCGTAGACTGGAAGGGCTCGGCGCCCGGAGCAAAGATCTTGTCAGGGTTGTTCGCTATGATGATATCCGCGTCGAGGAAGAGGATGTTCTGAAAAGTGGAGGTGACCATGGCGAGAAATTTCCACTGGAAGCGATCGAACTTGGGCGGACGAGGGTTCAGATGTGCCCAGATATCCTCGAGGTAGATACAGGCCGCGTTGTAATGCGGAACGAGGTTTGCGCAGAGGTTGTCAATCCAAACGGAGGATGAGTCGATGACGATCTGAATGGGAAGCTTGGAGCCGGATTGGCGCGTCATCACGAGCAGAGTGATGACTTGACCAAAGTTGCCCTTGCCGGCTGTTGTCACGATACCGGTCGTGTCGGCATCGTAGGGGAGGTGGTGCGCAAAATCGGGGAGTGTCTTGATGAAAGCAGCGTGAGACTTGCTCAAATCACTGACCTCTTTGGGATTTGGCTTCCAGATCTCAGGGCGAGCACGGTCAAAGTCGGGTACCCAGTTCAAGGCGTCTACCTTTTCCTTGAACGTGAGGGGTGGCGAATGAGGTCGGGCCGCCTCGAGACGGGCAAAGAACTCGACCCAAAAATCATTGGGCTCGTGAGGCAAGAGTCGCAAGCGTGTCGACTCTTCGGCGAGGATGGCCGGGCGGTGGTGGTAAAAGTAGATGACAGTGAAGAGGAGAGGGAGGATCAGGCCAATGTACTTGAGGCCGCTCAAGTTGGGCGAGCTTCCGATCACCATGGTGACACCCGCAAACTTCAAGCGCGAAGCTTGAGTAGCGCTTCCAATTTTGTGGTGTTGAGGAGACGAAAGGTGACGGCGGGGTAATCTCGGTCAATTGGGAGGAAAGATGTTTAGGTGTGGGAGAAAAGAGTGGGCCGATAATCGTCTGACTGCCAAGCAAAGAAGGGAATGGGAAGATTCAGTGGTTGGTTGACACGAGTCTGGACAATGGTAGTTTGGTGTGGCAGAAAAAAAGAAGGATGACGTCAGCCGTCAGATGGAAAGATGGACTTGGTGGTGTGTATGGTTGCTCCCGTGTCTCTTAAGTTCTCCCTTGGGGTCCTTCCACAGGTCCCTTTAAGGTGACTTCCGCTTTGTCTCGCCCTATCTGATTCGGCTTCACGCAACTGCTGGTGGTGGGATTCCCAAGAGCAATCACAACCTAACCTGGGGTAATGAAACCTTCATGAACGGTGGACCCGTCGAAGGAATGGAAACCACATTCCGCACAGTACATGTATGGGCACTATTGTGCAACTTCCCGTTCAACGCGCGTGAAGCATCCAATGATTCCCCTCTGCCAAGTGTTTGGAGAATTTGGAAGCAAACCAAATCTCACCGTCCGGTTGTACGGCAGGCAGTCAGTCACTTGCCCCATTGCAACATCCGCTTACATTGTACGACCCATGCTGATATCTTCCCCTTCTTCAGTGAAACTCAACCTTCTCCTATTCTACAAAGTCATCCTCGGCTCGCCTCTTCAAGATTGTCAAAAATTAGGTCATGATGAGCAGCCTCTCTGATTCCTCTTTCGGAACTTTAACATGGCAACAACGGCTTCGGATGCCAAAACCCGTCGTGGACCAAACAAGCCCTAAATTGGCGTTGGAGTCTGAGCCAGTGGATGTTCTGGCAATTCCCAAGTTCGCACTGTAGCAAAAGCACCAAGCCCAGGCCCTTGGGTTGAGGTGCGGTGAGCACTCTGACATTTATAGGTATACCTCTACCTAAATGTTTCGCTAAGGATAGGGTAGCCTCCGTGGACCGGCCTTTGCTGATGATACCCTAGCAATACGATGTCGATCAGATCATTCAGATGCAAGGTACACGTTTTGCTAGCGCCAACAACATAATTCCAGACCATGAGGGTGAGAATTTTCTACAACTTCAATATTTCTAACTGGCCAGTTGGATCGTACATTAACAGGCTACAAGCTGAGGGTAAAGGGGTATGTTTATCTACCAGGAAGTCACCGCCGCTTCATTGCCGACCACGAATAGTGCTCGTAGATGATCATCAACAGGGATATAGGTCAGGCTCTTCAGCATGGGTTCACTAGGCCCGACGTCACGACAACATTGTGTAGACACTCGACGAAAACGCAACAGGTGTCACTGTTGAAACACAAAAGGCTCACGTGGAATACGAGGTGAAATGCGATCTTATTGTTTCTCCATCCGTTGAGTAGAGGTATTCGAGGTACGTTTGTCTGGCTTGCAATGGCGCCGCCGTTGCGACTTGGACTGTTGTTCCAGTATCTGCAAGTCGATCCCGGGCTGGCTATGTGATCTCCCCATAATCAAGGGCACATATACAGTCGTCGACCTCGTATCTCCTGGAATTCCTCTGGCCCGAGGAATCCTTCGGCCACTTCTCAGGCGGCGGCGACAACGCAGCGTTCCTCTTAAACTTCCTCGCGTCCAGCCAGCTCATGTCCAGAGCTTCAAGGTCCGTACCTGCCCGCCTCTCCTTCGAATTGTTGTCCCACAAGATCATTTCCCACTCGTCGTCCGACTTTTCCTCTTCCAACCAGCGCTTCCACTTCCATGTTTGCTGAGCCATGGAAAGAATCTGAAGAAGCCCCGCCACCGTTGCCCAGCAGTCGTTGGTCGCGTTGTGCCAGGCAAACCCCTTGCTGCCAAAGTCGGAGGAGGCGGACGCCAACGAGACACCGAGCGAGTAGAGCATTTCCTCGGCCTTGTTTCTCGGTCTGCGAAACCGCATATGGAAAAGCCTGAGGAGTTGGAAGTCCCACTGCTCTGCGCCATGGGCGGTGATGTCCACGCCGGCCTCGCGGAAGACCGAGGTCTCCAGTCGGGCGTCCCAGTACAGAACGATGACTTTGCGCTTCTTGCCCGCCGCCGTTTCCTTCCGGGAAAGACGCCTTGTCGACAGCCACTTCATCTTGTTCGTGATGATAGCCATTGCCTTCTCCCTGTTGCAGAAGTAGCTCTTGGCAAAGTAGCAGCTGTAGGGCATTGCCTTGTGGGACTTTGCCTCGACCGTCTGGTGTACGAAGCAACTGTCGGCCGTGAAGTTCTTGTACTTGCGCATGATGCAATGTACAGAGCGGATCTTGGGAAGCGCTTTCTCGACAGTGAACTTGCGTGACGGCGAGCGGTGGTCTCGGGGGTCGTACCAGGACATGCCAACTTCGGACAGCCGCTCGTAGTACGATGCGAAGGAAAGGTGGTCAACACACTCAAAGTCGATCGACACGAGAATTGTGTCTTTGAGCTGGTTGTACATGTCCTTGAGGTCTTGAATGCTGGACACCGAGGGAGGTTCGTAAAGATATTCGTCGACCTGTCTTCCGGTCGGCTGTACTTCCTTTGACGCCATGTTGAGGGAGGAAGGAGGTGTGAGGTAAGATGATGGGGATTTATATAGGAAATCAATCGGTGAGGGTTTCGCCGGTGGTACGAGCAAAGTTTGAGGCTGTCGTGAGGTTGGTTTCGAGTGTTGACAGGGTCAGGTTCAAGTTTGAGTTGGTTGGTAAAATAGTGGAAAAATGGCGAGGAGGATGCGGATGATGGATTTAGAATAGGACGTGGGCTTGCTGATTCCATTTATTTATAAGAAGTTGACTGTACAGATTTTCGCTTGAGGAAATGGAAAGTCAGATCTGAATTTTGGATTATCGGAAGTCCTGGTGCAGGTAAATAAGCAGAGTACGGGTGCTGCTGCGGACTTCGAATTCCATCCCGGCGTTCTTGCGAACCTGATGCTCCTGCATGCAAAGACTGAATATCCTACCGGTATTCACTGTGCTTTGCAACTTCACTTCCTTGAAGCGGGGCTTGTAGGCAGGAGCACCCTTTCTGCCAGCTGCAAGCCGGAGGTGCGGAAGGTGCGGAAATTTCCAATTCACGTCTTCGATGTGCAGGAGAACTCGGGCAAAATACCAAGCACTCTACACTCGCTCGACGAGAAAAAGTTGAACAGTCTTCCTTCCCTTTCTAGACTATCACTGATCTGTAGATACCGAACCTTGACCAGGACTGGAAGGAGCAGCCAAGACTGAACTCGTGAAGACGGGCAGGAACTTCTTTCAAAGAGTCCCTCTCCCATGAGTGCAGCTACATGCATGACTGGCTGCACCCCGTTAAAACTCCGTGCGTACCTAGAGGTATTTATTCCTAAAATATGTGTGAACCAAAGTATTGAAGTACCCCTATGCACATTCCTTCTCACAGATTTCTGATGTCCGTCCAGTTAATCGCCGCCCATCCGGCTACCTTTATTTATGCAGCAGCCTACGTATATCGGACTTGCCTCCTCTTACCTCTTCCAAGACTGCCAGGTTATCACTGAAAAGGAGACAGCTACTTCTGAATTGATGAAATGGTATGAAATCTAGGTCGCTCGCAAGTACCCCCTGCCGTCCAACTTGACAACCCCGACTTTCGGCCTCACAAAGCCCATTCGACGTCTTCCACATATCGTTTCTTGCGTCCTCGTTTGTTCCTTCTCGGCGCCTTGTGAGACCAGTCGTTGTGGTTCGAATTGTGGGCCTTGACGGTGACATCGGAGTGCTCGTGCTCTTCGTCTTTGTCTGCCATATTCGGCCAACCACGTCCGCAATCACGATCATCCTGAGCATCCTCAAAACCGTTGTTCTGATCTGGGCTGTCCATGTCGTCAGGCCAACCACTGCTCGTGTTGTCACCCGAGCTGTCCTTGGAACTCTGGCTCCAGTCGTCGAATCCGTCCATACCCTCCGGCCACCCAGTGCCGGAGCTGTCGCTTGGTGTTGATGCCGATGGTTCGAGCTTCAAGTTCGCTATCTTATCGGCAAGAAGTCTGGACGTCGAGTTGGAGGAAGTGTCGATCTCGGCCTGAGTCGGATTCCAGGACGTTTGTTCCTGCCCTTCGCGCTTCCAGTTGTCCCATCCACGTCTCTGGTATGTCTTGCCCTTTCCTCTGCCCTTTGCCTTTGGCTTTGAAATAGGTGCCATTGCCAAGTTCCGTTGGTGAATAGCCGGATCAACCCACCCGAACGAGATGGGGGCAAGGTCGGCCTTGTTGTCGAACCAGGTAACCCATTCGGCTTCGGTCATCAACATGAACCGCAGAAAAGCAATCAACTGGACGACGGTGTCATTGCACCCATTGTGTAACGGCAGGCCCGTACCCAAAGCGCCTAAGGAGCTGAAGGCCTTTTCGCCCTTGGTTTTCGCGTTCTTGGAGTTTGGGTTGTCGTGGAACCGAGCACGGAATGGATACCAGATTTGGATATCCCACAACTCGATACTGGGGCACAGAGTTGCCAGATCAAGGCCACCATGGTAGAACGTGGACTCCTCGCAATGTGAGTCCCACACAATGACCTTGATGTTGCGGGTTATACCCGCGGCCTTCTCCTGCTCTGTCAAGTTCTGTATTGAAAGGTCCTTGACGATTTCAGCAAGGCGTCCCATGGTTTCGGCTTTGGTAAGGAACGTCGAGTCGACGAAGCGACAGTGGTATGGCCTTACGTGGTGAGCACGGCCAGGGTCCAAGTGGGCGTGGCGATGGTAGGGTGCCTCGCAAGTCTCCTCCGTCTGCTGGCAGCACAAGACAACCCACAAAATCAGGTCGGATCCAAACCTGGAAGATATCTTGAGGATATGTTCAGTGAAGGGGTACTTCCGCCGTTGGTCGTACCCTATAGTACCTCTAGGTACCTAGGTACTTTTCATGTTTGAATGAGATTTCACCGGGACTGCAAGCACCGCACAAATGAGAGAGAAGGATTAGAGGTATATAAAAAGCACGCCGTATAAAAGTAACATGAAGCCAGTAACACGATAGGGGATGAAGGTATTCACCTAGAGGTATTCTGGAATCAACTGTAGTCCAGTTCTTGAAGTACCATTCCTCGTTTCTCATCCATCCGGCCCTTCTCTCATGTCTAAATTTCCTATTATCCCCCTGCAGAATTGTCCTATGTCTCTGTAAGCCTCTATTATCCATCGCTGACAAGATCGGGGACGTGATCCTCACGTTGAGATGTCTATACCTGCCGTACTGAGCCTCAGCGGCGGTAGGCCTCCTTGTTGAATTTCTTCTTCTTTCCACGGCGCAAATGATGGACGGTCTGCCACTCGTTGTGCTCTGAACCGCGACCGACAGACATGGAGGCGGAAGGGACATTCTCATTGTTGATGTCAGTCTCGGTCCGTCCGCTTGAGCCAACGGTGGAGATATTCTCCGGATAGTCCATGTCTGTGGGCCATCCCGAATCGTCGGCTGGTATACTTCCATCCTCCAAATCATCGACTTCGCTCACGCCATCAGGCCATCCCATGAATTTGTCCGAGGCATCACTCCGGTCATTCATTTCGGTAGGCCATCCGGAGAAGTTGGCTGTAAGATCACCCGAATCATTACTCGACGGGCTGGAACTGTCTGGCCAGCCGCTACCAGAACGATTTACCCAATCATTGCTAGTACCATATGTCCCGTCGGCGGTCCAAGTGTCGACGGGCCATTCAATGTTGGAGTTGTCGACCCAGTCATCGTTTCTGTCCCAGGTGTTACTGCAACTGCTCGTTGGCTCGGCCGGGCATGCTCCTTGTCCGAAACTTCTGCAAGATGTCGCGTTGTTCACGTCCAGAGGCGCTGGCTTCGTCGTGTAGGTCGTCTTTGGAGGTGATTCCCATTTTGTGGCTGTGTCCTTTCTGGGCTCTCTGGTGTTGTAGCTTTTCCCACCCCGAGGCTTTCCGCGGCCCTTGTCCTTCAGCTTGGGCGTGGGGCTCTGGGCGATGTTGTGCTGGTAAATGGTTTTGTCAACCCAGTTAAAGGACATGGGCGTTATATCAACCTTCTCATCCAGCCAAGCACCCCACTCAGCTTCTGTTATCACTATGAACTGAAGAAACGCGAGAACTTCTGCAACCGCGTCGTTAGTTGCGTTATGGAGAACGGTCGATGACTGTCCCTCGGAATCCAGCGCTCCCACGACGCCCAAAGACGCAAAAACAGTCTCGCCTGCTGTCCGGTAATGGGGAAAGCGAAGGCGGAAGGGCATCCATATCTGGAAGTCCCACATTTTGAGGTTCGAGCCGAGGTCGCCCAAGTTGAGTCCAGCGCTAAAGATCTTCTCTTCCATCTCCGCACACCAAACAATGATCCTGACTTGCCGCTTGACACCCCTTTTCTTCTCATCACCGGTGAGGTTGCTGACCGTAGCCTGCCTTATGGCATCCTTCAAACTTTCCACCCCCTGCTCCTTGCTGAGGCTGATGGTCGACCTTGCAAACGAACAGTGGTAGGGCCGCGCTTTGTGCGGCGCTGGGGCCTTGTTGGGCTTCTTGGTGTTCTTGACGTGGAAGAAAGCAGGGCAAGTCCTCTCTGTGATCCCCTTCCACTGGTCAATGACAATGTGGTCGGCGGTGATGTTCTTTGCAATGGTTTCGAGACTGTGGTTCGAGGTTGCGCCGTTTGATGTCTTGCTTTGTCGAGGATCATAAGTGGCAATCCCGATTTCCGACATCTTGCCGTAAAAGTCCTGTCCGAACTCTTTGCCCAAGTGGTCGACGCACTCGAAGTCGACCGCAATGATCACTACATCCTTGATCTGGTCACGGAAGTCCTGAAGATCACTGAACGAGTAAACGGCGGGAGGGCTTGATGCGCCGATTCGACCTGGAATACTGAGACCTTCATCGAGGTCGCAGGAGTCCGAGTCCCATTTCGAATCCATAGTGAAAACCATGTTGAAGAGTGTTGACTGTTGATGTTGCTGTCTGCCTTGAAAGTTTAATTTAGACTGGATGTAAAGGGTGTTTGGAAATAAAAGTGTCGAGAAGGAAAAACTGAAGGTCCAGTCGTTTTATAGGATTACGGGAGAGAAAATCGCCAACCACGAGACCTAGTGAATGTCATCAAAATCTTAAGGTTCTATTCCAGGTCGAGCCTGAATGCCGTCGGATGATTCGGTTAAGGTTCAGTGATGGTTTCGTGCGAATAATTCGGTCAATGCCGTACAAACCTTCATCCTTCACCAGACCTTCTAAGGCGTCTACTGCTCCTGTGTGGACTTGAGACAGAGTAGTATGTGTCGTGGAACTATCTATCCACGCTCTATATAGGTACCTAGGTAGGTAGATCAGCCGTCTATGCTAAGAGCCTTAACTGCCCCTGTGTATTTATTGTTTTTCTATGTCTATAGAGGTTAGGTAATTTTATGTTATGTCGGGATTAATGGATGTTAAAAGAGTTTCAAAAGTATGTACCTACAAGATGTAGAGGGAGTTGTAGATATGAGAGATAGGAGGCTTGGCTACTTCTGAGTACGAGAAGATACCTTATCTTGAGTCTATACAATCTGAGATAAAATAGACCATACTATGTATGAACGCATAAAAGTATTATAGTTATAAGCGTATGTATAAACAACTTCGTTGGGTAGAGGTAAGATAATACTGAATGTGGAAGTACCTGTGAATACTGTTAAGCGGAAATCCCTATTAATTTGTACGTTCTACCGGGAGGATACCTAAGCTGGACGACCTTATAATACCCTAGATATTCGCACCGAAGACCCGATGATCGAAGTCACCTTAACCAAAGCTCTTACCCCAACTATCACGCAAGCCCAGGGATTTTCCTCAACCCCTCCTCCCGCTTCGCAGCCTTATTCATCCGCTGTCTTTGCTTACGGGATAGGCCACCATGCTTTGTCACTTTTTGATCTTCCTTCTCCGCAGACGTCTGAATTCCAGTTGGACCACTTGATTTTTGCACAGTGGAAGGTTGAAAATTCATTTTATTGACCGTCTGGGAGAGGCTGGCGACTTCATTGGCTGTTTCAGGTGCGTTCTGGTGATTGCAAGTAGAGGTAGAGGTAGTTGTGACGGCACAGTTACCTCCCCCTCTAGGACCACGGGTATTGCTGTGATTGGCGTTATGAAAATTGCCCTGTTGGCATCGTTTCTCATGCTTCGCATGCCTTCCCTTTCCCCACTGCCAGATCTTCTGGCGTCCGGCGTTCGGGCTCAAGCTAAAGTTGTAGTCGTAGATTCCTTGATCCACCCAATCAAACGAGATTAGAGCGAGGTTAATCCTATCATCGAACCACGCTACCCATTCGCCGCTCGTTAAGACCTTGAATCGCAGGAAAGCCAACAATTGTGCGACTGTGTCATTTGTCGCATTGTGAAGGATTGTTGTAGGCTTTCCCTCATAGTCTGTCGCCCCGAGAACCCCCAGGCTAGCAAAGGCATCCTCTCCCTTTGCTTTACCATTGTTCTTGCCGTTGTTCAAGCGGATGCGGAAAGGCGACCACGCCTGGAGGTCCCAAGCTTGGATATCACTGCCGAGTCCGTGGAGGTGGATGCCAGCCTGTCGAAAGATTCTGTCCTCAAGTCCCGAATCCCAAAAGAGAATTCTGACTTGTCTTTGGTCTCCGTTTGCCCTTTCCTGGGCAGTCAGGTTCTGGCTTGTGAGGCTTTGGAGTACGGCCTTCAACTTTTTGAGTGATTGTTCACGGCCGAGGATCGTCGACCTGGTAAACTGACAATGATACGGTCTAGCGGTGTGGGGGGTTCCGGCCTTCGTTTTTCGGTTTCTGTGCCAGAAGGCCTTGCAGGTTGTTTCAGTTTCATGCTTCCACTCTTCTACAAGAAGGTGGATAGCGGTTGTTGATTTTGCTAACTCCTCAAGAATGGTGTTCGAAGTTGAAGTATTGGTGGTTGTTCCAGAGGGGGAAGGATGACCTCGGGGGTCGTAGATGGCCAGCCCGATTTCCGACATCTTCTCCAGCTCGGTCCCGATGTGGTTGTCCACAGTTTCGAAGTCTGTGGCGCAGAAAATGGCCTGCTTCAAAGACTCCTTGAAGGACTGCAAGTCGTCGAAAGAGTAAACTAGAGGGGGCGCCGGTGTGGTCTTGCTATTGCGCGGCGCCACAATATCGATGTCGCTGTCTAGGAAGTCGGAGTCCGAGGAGTACATGATTAGGTAGGTACGTAGGCAGAGATAGAGGTAGTTTGACTTTTGTCGGCTTGTAGTGGGCTAGGTCTGAGGCGGGTGACTTGTGCGCGATGAAGAAAAGGAAAAGGAAGTTGAGCGAAGGGGTAAAGGACCTGCAGGCTTTATAGGAGTAGAGGTGTCCGGAAAGGAAAGAAATAGTTGACGAGACAGACAGCGGAGTGAATGACTGTGATCGTAAAGGTTTGAGGTGGAGGCACTCACAGCAACCTGCACTGAAAAGCGTGCCGGCAAGGTTCGTGACAGCCTCATGGCCAATGTGGTAAATGGTAACTTGACCCTTCATGTTTTCAGGAACCTGAAGTTTTAACTCCACCCACATCCATTACAGGTACGTAGTTCATCAAACCTTCCAGGTTTATTCCAGGTTGTTTTTGCGTCCTTTGTGCCAATAGGCTCGACAGGTTGCCTCGGTCTCGTGTTTCCACTCATCAACCAAAACATGGTGCGATCATAAGTCTTCCCAAGTCCTCGAGGTGCGTGTTGGACTGGGAGGTGGTAGAAGTGGTTTCAGATGTTGCGCAGGGACTAGAGGTAATCTATGGGTCGTAAATCGCGACTCCAATTTCGGACATCTTGTCTACGTCGGTTCCGACGTAGTTGTCGACAGTCTCCAAGTCGACGGCACAGATGATTATCTACGTGCCATTATGATGCCTTGAAAGCCTCCAAATCCTTGAAACAGTAGATCGAAGGAGGTGGAGGTGTGGTCTTACTCTTACGAGGCGCCAACCCCTCGTCGTCGCTGAATCCGCCTAATGGCCTTCAACCCTTCAAGCGACTGACCATGAACCAAAATCGTTCACCTCGTGATAATGAAGCGGCACTGATACGGTTGCGTCTTGTGAAAATTTCCGGTCTTCTTCCGGTCTCGATGCCAAAATGTTTTGCATGTTGTCTTCGTCTCATGCTTACCTAAAGTCCAGGAGCCGATCGGCCCTTGGACTGGTGGAAGCGGCTGCCCTGGTTCGGCCGAGTCGACCTCTCGTGGAGGCTCCTGGGCCTCATGTTGAAGTTGTGGTCAAAAATTGACGCATTTAGCCAGTCGAAGGCCAAAGGAGAGGAGTCAATGTATTTCACGAACCAAGAAATCCACTCTGCCTCCTTCATGGTCAAAACCCTCAAGAGGGTAAGCAACTGTGCCACACAGTCGTTGGTGGCATTATGTAGGTTGAAGCCCTCGCCCAGGGTACTGAGCGACGAAAAAACCTCTTCCCCCTTGCTCTGCGCTTTGTGAAACCGGATCTGAAAGACCGACCACAATTGGAGATCCCAGATTGTCACATCTGAGCCAGTAGCGGTCAGATCCAGACCGCCGAGATGAAAAACTGTCTCTTCCATGTGTGCAGCCCAGTAGAGGTGTTCTCATGATCCTTCACGAGGGCATAGTCTTGGGTTTGTGAGACCTGGTACTTGAAGAAGCTTTGTGGAAAACGGCAAGCTTGTATTAGGTGTAGTTGTCTTCGTCTCATATACCTGTATTGTCGGCTTTGGGCCTGTTTGGCAGCTGGGTTGACCTTGGGTTGGTAGGATAAAATGGTGATGTCTCGTAAGGACTGGGTCCAGCAGCGGGCACGTTGAAGGCCGGTAGAAGTACGAATACAGAGAGTGTTTTGACCTGCTGATGGATAGATAATGCGAAGATCGGACAAGCAATGGAAGGTATAAAGACGGGAGACACGGTCTACTTTGCGTTTAGATAATAAGCAAACGTTTGGTTTCTCTATGCTAGAGGTAGGACACTCAAGGATTTTGGACTGCCTGTCTCTTTTCTACCTCCACCGAGTAAGTTTTTAAGGCAGGTACCTCTATGCATGCAGGTGGATAGCTTCCTAATACCTCTGGGCCAAGCTTCCAATTCAGAGCCTGGTTCGAGTTTCCCTCTTCTGGGGCACACATCGTTTATACCTGGGTAACCATTCTTTCCTTCCTGCGATACTTCCTGCCGTTTAGAGTAGGTAAGCACACCCACCCCCAAACAACTATAGACAGCGCATGTATCTCTCAATGAAAGTATCCTCCTGCCCTTTCCGCCTTCAACTTGGCCATTAAACCATCATCGCCCTGTGCTCTCCTTAAACTGTCGAATGTAGAGGTAAGCATTTAGAGGTAGGTGGTGTCTTCTAGTCGACCGACTGAAGGTACATGTCTAAAGGGGCCCTGCCCTTTTGTACCTCTAGGCGTCGAAACACTGTCATCTCAAACGCCTCACCACTCCATCTCAGCGGGCCAACCGGTACCAACTTCTTCGGTCGATGGGGCCATAGTAGCAATAGGTTTCTTGTACGTTGCCATAGTGGACGAGATTTTGTCTTTTCTGGCCTCGTAGGCAGCCCACCACTGGTCAGTAGCACTACCAGAGGTATGTTCCTTGCCGCTGGATCTCTTTGCCGTCTTCTCCTCTGCTGAATGATTGCTAGAGGTACCTCCAGGCACCATACCTCCAACACCCGGCGCGGAAGGTGCTTGTGAGGTGAAGTCGTTAGAGGTATAGTGGGGAGTAGGCTTTGTCACACGTTTGGGCTGCTTGTTGACATAGTGATTGTAAGCAGGGAGTCGTCCCTGACCGTGTCTGGTGTGTGCGCTCTCGTAGAGAGCCCTGGGCCTGGAATTAAAGTTGTCTTGATAAATATGAGGACTCACCCATGACATGGCCATGGGAGTGAGCTCGATCTGTTGATAGAACCAGGAGTTCCATTCGGTCTTTCTCATGGAAAACACCTTCAAGAGGGACAACAACTGCGCTACGCAGTCGTTTGTAGCGTTGTGTAGGTTGAGACCATTTCCGAGAGCGTCGAGCGACTTGAATGCTTCTTCTCCGCCAGTTTGACCCTTCTGGAAGCGAATCTGAAAGATGGACCAGAGCTGCATGTCATAGATCGTGACATGGGTGCCAGCAGTAGTAAGGTCGATCCCGGCCTGCGCAAAGACTGACTCTTCCATGTTGGCGGCCCAGTAAAAAATGCAGATGCGCCGGTCTTTGCCGCTTTGGTTCTCGGACTTGGTGAGATTCTGGCTGGAGAGTACCTTGATGAAGTTCTTCACATCCTCCAGTGCCTGTTGGGTGGGCTTGATGATCGATTTCGCGAAGGCGCAATGGTAGGGGCGCGCATGATGTTGCTTCTTCGGGTCATTGGCAAACTTCTTGTGATAATATGCCGGGCAGGTCTCTTCGGTGACCCGATGAAACCGATGAACAATTGTGTGATGGGCGTGAATGCACGAGCCAAGGGCCTCCATGTCATCGGAGGTCGACGTCGAAACCTTCTCACGAGGGTCGTAGGTTGCAATGCCTACTTCTGACAACTTGTCGTAGCTTGTCGGAGCAGGTTGGCCGGCCTTCTTCATGAGGTGATCAACACCTTCGAGGTCAATGGTGACCAGGATGGAGTCCTCCAATTGTTTCCTGGTCGAAAGCAGGCTATCATGGTCCCAGACCACAGGAGGCGCAGTCGCCTTGTAGGTCATGATGACGGATACTGAGAATACTTTGAGGTATCTCTGTCTTGTGTATTAGTATCGCCCTGAATTCTACTGCTACCTGCGAGGCTATGCTTACCTCGACGTGGCAATGGCTCGCTGGGATATTGGTGTGTCGACGAGTGTCGAAATGATATATCACTCTCTTGATCGTTCGACTTTCTGTCTTGATTGTTCGATTTCCAGTCTTGACTGTTCTGTTTCCTGTCTTGACGTTTTGGGGTTCATGTCAGGACGTTCGAAATTTAGGAGGAATTGACCTGCAGAAGGAAGAAAAAGAAGTGTGAGTCGGAGGAAGAAGTGGGGGACTAAATAGGGCTGGGAAGAGATAAAACTCAGGTCATCACGAGGAGAAGTGAAGGGGAGTTTGGTGGTGAAGGGCTATGAACAGGTTGATCGAACCTGCAACTATTCCGCTGTTCACGGTTCTTATTGAGAGAACAACCCAAAGTGGGTTCGAGACCCAGGTCCTGTGATAGCTTCCACTTCACAGCACGGCCGGTGAATGGCTTTACTTCCATGGTCAAGGTTCAGGTTCTCGTCCAGCTTCTGTTGGCGGACCTTTACTGAAGGGAAGGCAAACCCTTCTCTCTGGGGACTCCCCACCCTTGGACTCGCCCATAAGGTTTGAGCATGCACAAAGGTTCAAAGGTGGACACTCGGGAGAATGATGTTCTTTGACTGGATATTGGGGACTTCAATCGAGGGATCTGGCGATGGCCATGTGAGACATCAATGTCCAAAAGGTTTATACGCCGATACTGGAAAACACGACAAACAAAACCAGGTCATGGAAAATTGAGGTGAAATAGATGGGGGCAATGTACGTCTAGAATTGAATTGTGAAATGGTAAAATGCCCTTTGATGCTATGGGAGCTCTTCATCATGCAGCCCTCCCACTGTTCCGTCTGAAACGGAGAAGTGTCTTCGCAAGAATCGCAGTCAATATTCAGGTAGGTAGATGTTCTGATGAGCTGCCTTTAAAAGGTGACGGCGGCGGCTGCTCTTCATCCACCTCTAGCCTCTTAGCGCAATTCTCCCTATAAATCGCCGGATCGACCCGGTGGGTCGCACCTGCCAGTTTCTTCGTGAATCAGCGACCACGCGTAGTCAATAAAGTGCGTCGCTTCGATGTGGTGTGCAAGCTGATCAACTGTGTGTTTGTTGTACGGCGCCAGTCGAGGGTCAAAGACCGAGACTCCCAGCACGGACGCTTGGCAGTACTTTGAGACCTCGTCGTGCTTAAAGTGGTCTACGGTCTCAAAGTCAAGAGACACAATTATTGCATCCTAGTGTTCGGTGCGGAGGGCCTGGAGAGCCTGGTATGAAGAAACTGGCTTGGGCGAGGTTGCCCAGCGAGGGCCGGCAGCATGATATTAAGGCATGTTGAATGATGATTTGTCGTTGGTACTGGGGGTGTTTGGAATGCTCTGGTGGCCCTCATTGAAAAAAGATGTTCATAAATACCTATATGTATATACGAAGGAAGATGGTAATTACCTGCAAAAAAAAGGTGTCCTCTGGAAGTTTTGGCGTCCAAGATTTGCTGAATCTTGCAAGCAACCTTCTAATGTGCCATGTTCAGATCCAGATGTATTCCCTGGGCTATCGAAGGAATTATACAATCCCGCTATAACTCCCTGGAGGTGTTCATTGCTTCCGAAGCCAATGATTTCTGTGTGCGGTTCGTACTCTATCATAGGTCGTCAGGTTAAGGTTCTGAAAGGAGAAGATGGGACTGAAGGCCGTGGTGGTTGAGTCGATGCGCTATAACGACCGCTATAAAATCCCAAAGTTCAGTGAACATCTGCAGGGCAAAAAAGTTTAGACCAATCAAAGGTTGTGTCTGCCCTCCCAGCCATCCGAATCGGGAAGGTGGCCCGTGTCCAGCAGCACTGTCAAAGAACCTGAACGACACGACGACAAGAGTGCTGGAGAAAAGGAGGAAAATCATTTCCATTTCCAAGAAAAAAAAAATTAAAGAAGAAAAAAAAAGGGGGAAAGAAGAATCAAGAAATTTGACGAACGAAAAGAAAAGAAAACAGAAGAGAAGCGCCCCTATGAGAAGTGAAAGCCCCAGCCAGGATAAAATCCCGCCAACGGTCACATGGGTCCCAGCTCCAAGACGAGATAGGCGGGCAAGCGAGAGTCTGAGCAGAATTTGATGCCGCTGACGGTGCTGATGTTGGAGGAGCAGCCCAGCGTGGCAATGAAGGGGATGATGTTAATGATAATGATACCGAAGGAGCTCGGACTTTCTCCCTGTTAGCCGCTGGGTTCACATATAAGGGAGGGAAAAACAAGCAGAAGAAGCGCCGAGAAGAATCACGACGTACCTACGAGTATATACCAACCCAAGTGGGAGAGTAATAAAGGTGCAGTCCAAAAAGATCCTCAAAAATCTCAGGTGCCTCAAGGTAGCAGGACATAAGTTCCATGAAGTGTGCACTGCGCAAAGGCAAAGTGTCCATGATATCCATCCTCAACAGGCAGGTCGTTGCACTGGCGGGATAAAGCCCAGCTTTATACCTCATGAGGGTCGCGATTTCTGACTTGAATCCTCCTCTGATTGCAGCTTCTCATGACACGGAATGCTTGATGTAGTCAAATAGCAGACATTTGCCGAGCAAGCTCCAACCCAACAGGGGCAAGCCGTCAAGGAAATAACCTAGGCCAGCAGTGTTCTTGGTTAACGGTTTGACCACAGGCTTTGTACCAGACTTTATGCAAATGCCTAAGCGCAAATTGATAGTAGAGGCACGTTGGGAAACAGTTGAAATGATTGCGATGTTGTATGGTGAACGCAATGATCTCGCTCCTCTACCTTGATAACTTCAATTCCTCTTCATGTTTCTTCTAGATAATCACCCTTTCCCACTTTGTCCCCATATTCCATGTTAATCATCAGCCGTCATACCACCTTCCTTCCATGCTGTCACTTCCACCCGTCGCCCTTGCCTCCCGTGAACCGTGCCTCCTTCCGCTCATTCCTCCTCCTATGCACACGGCGTAGCGGCAGATAGTAACAGTGGCTACATCCAAGCGCCCTTTCACTCAGGTAGAGGAACCTAACTGCGCTCTTCATCTTGGCTTGGCTCTGATTCCCGCGGCACTGCCCCAAACTCCAGCCTTGCTTGTGCGAGAGATCTTGCCGATGCTTGCTTCCCTTTGAATACCTCTAGGTAACTCGAATGATGCGTCCTGCAGACTCGCCCATTTGCGGTTTGAGACTTTATTGCTCGCTGCCTCTGATTCCATGCTGCGTGACGAATCTTTGCCTTGGTGATTGATGCAAACCGCAAAACCTTTTGCGTCCTCATGAGTCAGTCAGGTCGGCGGGCAACTTCCTTACCAGGGGTAGAGCGGACCTTGGCACAGCGCGTGACGGCGGATATTTACTCAGGGGCGGGCTTTGGTTTCAAATTCTCACTGATCGTCCTTTCCGTAGTGGCAGGCTTCCTGTTTGCCGATAGTGGGACAGCGGCGGGCGCGACCTTGGAATTCCGAGAAGTCTCGACAAGTTACTTTCTGGACTTGCCAGATCTGATGGGTATGTTGTCACGCTGATATGTTCCGTCGTCGGGTATTCCATTTATGTTGTCTACGGGGGAAGATATGGTACTTTATCGGATAGGTGTCTTTCTTCGTTACGGGGCTTAGGGTAGGCGACGACAATCCAGTCAATCCCTTCCTCTACCTCCATGGTAGATAGGTTACCCCTAGATGTAGGTAATGCGGCGGGACTCCTGGACGTATACCTGCTCAACTTGGTCGACAGTCCAGCATGGCAGTGCTCAACGGATATCAGCAAGTCCCAAGTAGACTACCACCCCGTGGTTGACATCCATTCCCATGATTCCCAGGAGGATGAAGTCCAGGTCGTCGAGGTCCAGGTCGTCGAGGACCAGCTTGTGATCGGTGACCATGGCGAAGCGGGATTAGTGACCTTCTCTGCCGGCTTTCGCAAAACATCCGCCCAGCTTCTCGACTCCATAGCGCTACCGACAGTGGTGACACTGGTGAAAGTAAAACCAGCCTCAATCTCTGCCATTGCGCTGTAGTGCACAATGGCGGGTTCAGGCTCTTGATCCTCGGGATCCTCAACTTCCACAGCTCTTCTCCCCGGTTGAAGTATCGGGCGAAGCTCCTGGTTCGCCTTCCACACTTCATCGCTGATCCAGGACAAGTCAACTGGATCCAGGTCGCCAGGGTAAAAGTCCGAGCGACCCCGCCAATTCTTCCACTCAGCCTTGGTCATTACCATAAATCGCAGGAAGGCCACGACTTGGGTGAATGTGTCGTTGGCAGCGTTATGTAAGACTGCCATACCCCTGGCTCCCGCTCCGAGGGCCCCGAGACTGTCGAAAGCCTTTCCTGCACCGGTCTTGGTCTTTTCAAACCTCGACCGGAAAGGCTTGAACTTTTGGAAGTCCCATTCGATGGCCCCGTAGTAGCCGACATTGAACTCCATGTCGTGGAACCAGTTGGCTTCCATTCGCGCGTCCCAGTACAACACGATCACCGTACGGAGCATGCATGCCTCTCTTTCCTCTGCGGTGAGGTCTTTTATGGATAGATCGCGAAGAAGGTGATCGAGGTCAGAAAGTGCCTGGTCATAGGTCCGAAACTGGGACTCCGCAACCATGCAGTGATATGGCATGGCTGTATGCGGTATTCCATGGCTTTTGTGGTGCGATGCGTCGCACGTTTCCTCGGTAAAGTTCCACCAGCGGTTGATGATCTTGTGTTGACTGACGATAGATTTCGAGATAGTGGACAATCTGTCGGTTGAATTCGTAGAATTGGAGCCGAGACGAATTTCCCGAAGGTCGATATAGGAGACACCAAGCTCTGAGATTTTTTCCCAATTTTCTAGTCCCTTAGCGTACTTTCCAATGCGGTGGTCGATGGCTACGACCACGCTGTCGGCGTACCAAGACTGGAATACAGCTAGGGCGCCGTAACTCCGAACCTCCGGGGGTGCTCGTGGCATAACAACCGTGGGTTGGTTGGCACAATTGAAACACATTTCTTTGAATGTGTACCTGAAGGTATCTAGGTAGGTGGGTAAAGCAGGGTAACTCGACCGCGTGATGCCGATGAAGTCTGTTGTTGAAGATTTGTGTCAGCTAACGGAAAGTAATCGTTTGTGGTTCATCCATGAAAGGATGGTTTACCTGAAATTTGGGTATGTGCCTGGGGAGAGCTTGTGTACGAGAACAAATGTATATAAGTTTTTGAATATCGAGGCAGGTCGGTGAAGCTTTGTGAGGTGTGGGGCATAAGGAGGAAAGAGGAATAGAAGAAGAAAACTGGGGAGGAGAGACCCTATATATAGGTAATCATGCAGGGTCAGAGGTTCGAATGTGTTGATGATATGTAGGCCGCATGCACTGCACGTGAATGGTGGTCAAGTCGCGCAGTGAAGGGAGGGCTTCAACAACAAACCTTGAGAACCCGGTGATCCTGTTGAAGGAGACAGATATGCAACAGGTTTTTCTGTTGATAGAAGATTTGAGGCGCGGGTGGTGAAGGGTTGACATCCATTTTGAAGGAAATAACGGGATATGACATGTCGAAGTCACGGACATACGCATGATCTGATGAGACCTGAATAGTGGAGGGAAGGTCAAAGATACGAGGGGGGTTCCTGCGAGTCTATGAAAGCCGAAACTTTGTGTACCCCCTGTTATAATGGAAAAAAGTTTGTCTACATCTACCACACCAACGCTCGTTGTCTCGTTGAACCCTTTGGCTCCCGTTATGATGTTAAACTCGTGCACAACCAGACAGAAAACAAAGCTGCAAAATCACTCTCGTATAGCTGCAAGTCTACGCTTGTAAAGTAGCAAAAGTCACATCTCCCACAATCGAGTAATACCGACTACCGGTATCGTTCAATCCGTATAGGTAACTTCAAATTTTCAAATTCTTCGTTCGGCCTAGTTAAGAAAGGAAGCAAAGCAAAACCGTTACCTAAGCAACTCATCCGCTAAAATCTCTGGCTTACAACTCCCAGACCACCTGTTTCTTCCTTCCTCGCTTCTTCCTCTTTGGCGCATTCTTTGATAGGCACTGGCCATTCTCCATCGCTGGACCGGCGACTCCATCGCTGCAATTTCGAGCACTTGCTAATTTTTGATGGGATTATAGGTCGTCTGAGCCGATTTTATCAATGGTCGCAGTGCTGCTACTTGCAGGTGCGTTGCTATCGGTGGTGTGGGTAGGTCGTGAGGGGGTATGGGAAGTCGAAGCTGAGGTCAAAGAAGGAGGCGTGGAGGCTGGTGTTGACTGGGTAGGAGATGTGGTAGCAGAAGAAGAAGAGGGTGATGAGGAAGATGGACGAAAGCAGAGTGGGACAGACCAGCAGGATTTGGGTGGTGGCTTGGCTTCCGGACTCCTCGGGACTTGGAGACCGCTGCCCTTTCCGGTTGTATAACTTTCCTCAGATTTGAACAGATTTTGCGCATTTGATTTGGCGCCCCACACGGTTTTTGGAGGTGCCTTGATCTCTTGGATCCGAGGAGGTAGCCCGGGAAAGACGGAAGTGTCGTTCATGGCGGGGGGTGGACTGGGCTTGCGATGGTGATGCCCGTTCCTGTTTGCGGCTTGACCGAGCAAAGCAGGGCGCATTGCTAACGAAGGACCAGAAAGACCGTTCTTGTTGGGGAACCGCTTGTACTCATGTTCCAAGGCGGTGTTGTGGTGGAGAATCTGGAGATCAACCCAGCTCAAATCCAAGGGTTTGAGATCCTCTTCAGCCTGGACCCAGTGGGAAAAGTCCTCCTTCGACATGTGGAAGAAGCGAATGAGCGTAGCCACCTGCGCCCATGCGTCGTTGGAAGCATTGTGTAGCGTAATTGAATGGTCTTCCGAACCGAGGATGCCAGTTGTCTGATAGAATTTTTCGGCTCCAGTCTTGTTGCCATGACCGAACCGGTTCAAGACGGGGAGCCACAACTGGAAATCCCAGTGCTCAATGTTGTTGCTTCCGGTGAAATTGTATGTATAACTGTTGAACAGTTGGGACTCAGCATTCGAGTCCCAGGACAGGATGACCACCTTGCGGCGGACGCCGTCGGCCGCTTCTTCCTCAGTAAGATTCTGACTTTGTAGAATCCCAAAGTAATCACTGAGTTGGCTCATAACCTTCTGGCTCGACTGGACGTCGCTTAGACAGAATGTTGCCGTGTATGGTGATGGTTTGTGTGCCCCGCGATGCCAAGCCTTCCGACGGTTTGGGCATGTCTTTGCGGTCACCCAAGCCCACTCGTCGATGATGGTATGCTGTACTTGGATGGCTTGTATTTGCCCGACCTCGGAATTCGATGTCCTATTTCTTGGGTCGAAGGCTGCCACGCCCATCTCCGACAGTTTTTCCATCGGACGGTCATTGGGTTGGTGGTCGATATTCTCAATATCAATGGATACGAAAATAGTGTCGATATAGGTCTTTCTGAAGTCGACCAATTCTGCGAAGCTGTGGACAGCCGGGGGTGGTGGGCAAGTAGACTTCATTGTCACTATCTCTGCTGAGTGGTGATTGCGAGATGTTGGGTTGGATGTGTAGGTGAGTGGGAATTTGATGATGTGTGATATCCAGGCAAGGGAGGCAAAATGACGGATCCCAATGTAGGAATTTATATCAAGGAAACAAGGAAAAGAAAAGTATATACAGCCATTCACCAAGGCTCTTGACAGTCCAGGGCAAAGGTTTTAGCAACCTTGGACACCTTCATACCATCATTTACTCGTAGTACGGGAACACCGGCTGGAACCTGAGTTCACACCGGACCACTGAACAAATGAGAGAAAACGGCGAGATCTACAAGTTTCAAACAGGAACGGATAACTTCAGGTCCCTCGCCGCAACAAACGGTTCGTTACCGAGACCTGTAGCTGCCACCATTGAGCAATCTCGTAAACACAAGGTTCAGGCTGTTAAGTGGAATAGTCTTGGAGATGTATCGAAGCCTCAAAGATACTCGACTCCTCCGGGCAGCAGCGGTGGGGAAGGTTTTCGAGCACGCACCGGTAAACCTGCCCTCGTCCATTCACCATCACTTCAATTCTCTTCAAGGTTCAACCACTCGGTCTTCATCTCCATAAAGGTTTGAAATCTCAAGGAACAGGCCCAGGCCATTTCTGTTCGTAATAAGGCAATGCCTCTCCTCGTCCACTTGGCCAGTATATGCTGTTGCTTTCAACCCGGGGGTAAACGATGGGGTGAGAAAGCAAGAAATGCATCAGGCCCGGCGCTGGACTTATTCTCGAGCACTTGACCCATTCTCTCGTTTGCTGGCGTTAACGACACCATTGTGAATGTGAAAATGGCTAGTTTGAACCAACAGAAATTGGAATAAGAACGAATTCGATGTCAGCAAGCGCTGAACTACAGCGTCAGGAACATGCCGTGAAATATATATACTGCTCCGAGTCTCGCACAGAATCTGCATAGGAAAGGGGAGGATCCGCAATTGCCTCCGGAAAGGGAATCGAGTAAACAAGGCCATTGTGTTCCGGATCCAATCTTGGAGCGACCCTAAGCCCTTCGTTAGCATGTAGTTCTTGGATAACATCAAGGGAAAAACCTCATGATTGAAGCGGCAAGACAGATTCCAGCAAAGAACCGACGGAGGGGCAGCCATTGGAACTTGTACATGCCCCTCCAACAGACCGTTCGAACGGCCTCGATCGGGAGCCTGCCCTGCACTGTCTTCCACTGCGCGCAGTCCATCTGTGCGAGAGCTCAACAACAACGACAAGTATTCCACCAACATCAATCTTCCCGTTCCCGTTGACTCTTTCTCGCCTTCACAAACATCCCGCTCCCCCTATCCTAGAAGTCAGACTAGCTTGCCTCGTCAACAATGGTTGCGTTCGCTCCTCCTAACCGCAAAGTTCCAGTTCACTTCCACGAAACCGACCACGTTCCATGACCGATATCCGCCGATTTGCGCTTCCCGACCCAGCTACTCGTCGAAACCTCGACAGCCCTGGGCGATTTCTTCGTCGACTGACCCGCGGCATCATTCAAGCCCCATCGGTGTTACCTAAATGTTCCCCAAGCCGAGAGCGACTATGCCCCAAAGGCAATCCCATCTATTGTCCCATCTCAGATCTGCGCAATACTACCTACAGAGGCACATAAGCCCAAAGACATGACAAGCTTTAAGGCCCCGCGCACACCGTTGAGTGACGATTGGTCTCTCCTCGCGGTACCAGGGATCCCAAACTTCCCCGAAAAACATCCACGAACCGACGAACCGACAAAGTGAACTGTGACGTGCCCGGGCGGGAAGCAGATAAGATAGAGATTGGGCCGGTAGGTACAGCGAAACTCATAATCGAGGTAATCTTCGCTGATTATCATGAACAAAGCTGGAAGATGGCTAGGCGCTCGCTGTTCTGGAGATGTCCAAACTGAACAACATTACATGGGTTCGCGCGCCTGAAGTAGCCCAACACCCATCCTCCGTCGCTCACATGCCGATATTTACCCAACACTGCCAACCTCAATTGAACGCCTTCCAACCCGGCAAAGACACAAGATTCAGAAGAAACATCCCAGACACGACCCAACATCCCAGTTCGGATCCAGCCTCTCATTGAACTCGGCAACCTCCGGATCAACCCAATCCAGCTTGACCATATACTCCTCTGGAAACCACGTAAAGTCCTTCATATACCGACTCCAAACCGCCTCCTCGCTATAAAGCAGGTACAAAAACGCCGCCAGTATCGCAAACACATCGTTCCCCGCATTGTGCCCACACGCCAGGACCCCAAGGGGCTCCAACAGATTGTACGCCGAATCGCTCGTCTCCGCGTTCCGCCTGGCTTGCTGGAGGTTATGCCACTTTTGCAGATCCCACAACTCAATGGTCATCTTTTTCGGGTCGGGGTACGCAGGAAGCTGGATCCCCCACTGCGTCATGATTTTGATCTCCAACCTGGCGTCCCAGAAGAGGAGAATAACGGGCCTGCGCTGGCCTTGCGCGACCTCGTCGGCGGTCAGACAGCGCGTGGGGAGACGGTTGAGGATATCCTGCAGCTTGTCGCGGATGGCGTGAGCGGGTCGGATGCGGGAGCGGGCGAAGACGCCGTCGTAAGGGTGGGCGACGTGCTCGACTATCTTTCCGCCTTTGCCGGGCCAAGTCGTGTGCATGAAGGCGTCGCATGTCAAGGGGGTGACTTTGCGCCAGCGGGAGGTGATGTAATGACGGACGTGAATCTTCTGGAGTCTTTCCTCGATGGTGTGCGTAGCGGAGGCGGCGACATCGCGGGGGTCGTAGACGGCGATGCCGAGCTCGGACATCCTTTGGGATTCTGATAGGACTTTTTGGTGTCTTGGGTGATCGATCATTTCAAAGTCGAGGGCGATCAGGATTGTGTCTCTGAGATCGTGGGCGATTTCGGCAAGTTGGTCGTGGTGCCAGACTATAGGTGGTCTGCGTACTGGGCATCTGGGAGTACTAGGACTGGGACTTTCGGGCACATTTGGCTCTTGATTAGCGGTTGTTAGCTGGTATGTGCGATGGCGTTTTGTGAAAGGCTGACCGGCCTACTCTGGCTTTCCTTGCCTTCGCTAGGTGGGAGGGGAGGGAAGTAAAGCTGCTTTTTCATGGCAAGAAATAATTTGTAATTGTGCTGATAGAGATACTGATTAACGCTAATTGTGGGGATATCGGTCTCTTCGGTGGAAGCTTTGAAGAGCGACCGAGTCAGTCAGGGTAATGAAAAGAAGTCTGTCCCTGGCTTGGAGAAGAGGAGGTTTTTCAGCAGAAAATCAACATTTGAACTACTCCAGACCATGTGAGTCGGCAGGTGCCAGTGGAACACCCAAGAAGTCGTGATCGGGAATCCAAGCACATGTTACTCTTTGTACCTTCTTCGTCGGTGCAAACTATTCCCGTTCACTGACGTTAAGCCATCCTGCCCTTTTCTACCTGCCATGGCTCCTTGCTCACGAACATATACAAAATGGTGTTGGGAAAGATGTAAAGAAGCAATGAAGAGCATGATGGCTAATCCTAACTCTCATGTTGCCTTTAGTCTGCTCACCCTCAAAGTGATACGGGCCATGGGTGATCAGCCCAAAGGCCATTTGTACTCTGCCTTGAGAAAGTGGTTGCGTTTCTTGACTCACTGTCCAAGATAGAGAGCAATAACAAGAGAAGCATGAAAGTTCAGAGAACCAGTCATGCTAGGAGTCAGAAATCAGGCTGATTGCTTGGCATCTTCCAACAAAACTTGTCTGTTGTGCAGATGACTAACAAAAATGAGATGAGGAGAAATAAGTGTGAACCGGGGACAGTTGGTTTAATGAGACACCTAAACTACAGGGTACTCAGCGCCAACCGCAGGGTAGGCAAGTTTGGAACTCACGATGGCTGCGATGTGTTGGAAAATGAAACGCACGGACATGAAAAGACATGTCTTTGAACTCTGGCTGTTCAAGATGCCGGGCGCCGACCGTCTGCCTGCCGGGATATGGTGCACGGTCCTCATGGCGGGATTTGTGGCTCAAGCTCCAAGCAGGGAAGCGGATGGCACCCGACGGCGAACACGGCTGGGTGATCCAGAGTGGCGGTCCACTGGATGATAGGAGGTCTGGCAGTCTCAGGGCAAAAAGTGCACTGAAAGAGTGCAGTGGCGTTGGTTACGTCGCCAGGGGCACCTAGCAGACGCGCACAGAGCGCCTTTAGGTTGTGAGGTGCTGAAGCCGCCGCGGGCAACAGAAAGCGCTAGTCCTGTCTGGACCTTGGCCAACCGTTTTGGTGGGAAAAAGTGTCCCAGGCCCGGCGAACGAGAAGAAGTGTCCAGTTCGGCGAGCAACGCCAACGTCGACCAGAGCAACCAACATCGATCCGACGGAGTATTCGACACCCATCGAGTCGATTTGTTGCTCCCATCACCACCACCCAACATCTCATACGCGCGTCGACGACACTTGCCAGAGACGACGCCGTTCAATGCCGTCTCTATAGTGGACACGCACCCAACCGCCGAACCGCTATCATGGCGCCGCTCGTCGACAACGCGCAGATCCAGTCTGCCGAGCTGTTGAGGCCGCTGCCTCTCTACCTCCACGCCTACGTCTGGCCGTTTGCCATCATCTGGCCCATCTTCTTCCGCTACTATCTCGACCAAGATCTCTACGACAAGCACATCAACGGCCAGGAATGGACCTTTGTTTGGTCCGGCACCATCATCACCATCCAGGCCCTCGTCTGGCTCTGCACCCACTGGAACATCAACCTTCGCGCTGCCTTTACCGCGAAGAAGGCCCGCTCCGTTGACGATGCCCAGCTGATCAAGGTCATTCCCGTCGCCAACGCGGGCATTTCCGATATCTGCCCCATTGTCCGCGATACTGTTAGTTTGCCCTTATCAAGCTATCCCATGAGAGAGAAAAGAAGAGACAGATTGCTAACTCGAACCACTTCACAGGCCGGAGGCAAGACCAACATCTCCTTCCTCTTCCAGAAGCGCCGATTCCTCTACAACGCCGAGACCAACTCCTTCAGCACCCTCACGTACCAGATCGACGACGAGCCCAAGCCCAAGCTTGAGGTCTTCCAAAAGTCAAAGGGTATCACGACCGCCTCGGAGCTCGACCGACTGGAGCAGCACTATGGCACCAACACGTTCGATATCCCCGTCCCTACCTTCACCGAGCTCTTCAAGGAACACGCCGTCGCTCCCTTCTTCGTGTTCCAGGTCTTCTGCGTCGGTCTGTGGATGCTGGACGAATACTGGTACTACTCGCTCTTCACCCTGTTCATGCTCGTCGTCTTCGAGAGCACCGTCGTCTGGCAGCGCCAGCGCACCCTCAACGAGTTCCGCAGCATGAGCATCAAGCCCTACGACATCTACGTCTACCGCCTTGGCAAGTGGACCGAGACCACGAGCGACAAGCTTCTCCCCGGAGATCTTGTCTCGGTTACGCGTACAAAGGAGGACAGCGGTGTTGCTTGCGACATGATCTTGGTGGAGGGGACCGCCATCGTCAACGAGGCCATGCTTTCTGGCGAGAGTACCCCTCTATTGAAGGACTCCATCCAGCTCCGTCCCGGTGAGGCCCAGATTGACCCCGAGGGTCTGGACAAGAACGCTTTTCTCTGGGGCGGCACCAAGGTCCTCCAGATCACCCACGGCAACCCCGATGAGGAGAAGCCCAGGCTTGCCTCTGGTGTTCCCACTCCTCCTGACAACGGCGCCATGGCTATCGTTACCAAGACCGGTTTCGAGACTTCCCAGGGTAGCTTGGTTCGCACCATGATCTACTCGACTGAGCGCGTCTCCGCCAACAACGCCGAGGCCCTGTTCTTCATTCTGTTCCTCCTGATCTTCGCCCTTGCCGCTTCTTGGTACGTTTGGGATGAGGGTGTTCGCAAGGATCGCAAGCGCTCCAAGCTTCTGCTCGACTGCGTCTTGATTGTCACCAGTGTCGTGCCCCCTGAGCTGCCCATGGAGCTTAGCTTGGCTGTCAACACTAGCTTGTCTGCTCTTGCCAAGTTCGCCATCTTCTGCACTGAGCCTTTCAGAATCCCCTTTGCCGGCCGTATCGACGTTGCCTGCTTCGACAAGACGGGTACTCTCACTGGCGAGGACCTCGTTGTTGAGGGTATTGCTGGTCTTGGCCTCGGCCATTCCGGTACCGACACCCCACGCGAGTCCGATGGTGCTCACAGCCACATGACCCCTGTTGACGAGGCCGGTTTGGAGACTACTCTTGTATTGGCAACCGCCCACGCTCTGGTTAGGCTCGATGAGGGAGACATTGTCGGTGACCCCATGGAGAAGGCTACCCTTACTGCCCTCGGCTGGTCCCTCGGCCAGAACGATATGCTCAAGACCAAGACTGGCGCCAAGAGCACCGTTCTTGGTAACGTTCAGGTCAAGCGTCGCTTCCAGTTCTCCAGTGCCCTGAAGCGTCAAAGCTCCGTCGCCACGATCAATGCCACCGACTCCAAGACCGGTCAGAAGCTCAGAGGCACTTTTGTTGGTGTCAAGGGTGCGCCCGAGACCATCATGAAGATGCTGGTTACCGTCCCCAAGGACTATGAAGAGACCTACAAGTACTTTACCCGCCGCGGTTCCCGTGTGTTGGCTCTTGCCTATAAGCAACTGACTACCGAAAACGAGCTGGGTGCCAGCAAGATCAACGACCTTAAGCGCGAGAACGTTGAGGCTGACCTCACCTTTGCCGGATTCCTTGTCCTCCAGTGCCCTCTCAAGGAGGATGCTAAGCAGGCCGTTCAGATGCTCAACGAGAGCAGCCACCGTGTCGTCATGATTACTGGAGATAACCCGCTCACTGCCGTCCATGTCGCTAGGGAGGTGGAGATTGTCGACCGTGACGTTCTCATCCTGGATTCCCCCGAGCACAGCGCCCATGGCGAGGAGAAGCTCATCTGGCGCAGCGTCGATGACAAGGTTAACATTGAGGTCGACCCTACCAAGCCCATTGACCCCGAGATCATTAAGACCAAGGATCTGTGTGTTACCGGTTACGCTTTGGCCAAGTTCAAGGGACAGGTTGGTTGGAAGACACTTCTCCGCTACACTTGGGTTTACGCTCGTGTCTCGCCCAAGCAAAAGGAAGACATCCTCCTCGGTCTCAAGGATATGGGCTACTACACTCTCATGGCTGGTGATGGCACCAACGATGTTGGTGCGCTCAAGCAGGCTCACATTGGTGTCGCTCTCCTCAACGGTACTCAGGATGATCTCGTCCGCATTGCCGAGCACGCTCGTAACAACAAGATCAAGGATATGTACCAGAAGCAGGTTGATCTCATGAAGCGCTGGGGCCAACCCGCTCCTCCTGTCCCCGCTCTGATTGCTCACCTCTACCCGCCTGGACCTTCCAACCCGCACTACAACGCGGCTATGGAGCGTGAGGCGGCGAAGAAGGGTATCACCGTCGAGAAGCTTGCCAAGTCTCTTCACCACACTGCTGCTATCGAGACTGTCACCTCCCCTGGCGCCCAGGCTCTCATCAACCAGGACCCCAAGCAGAGACAGGCTGCGGCGGCTCAGAAGGCTTCCTCCTTTGCTGACAAGCTGACCTCTGGTATGATGGACATGGAAATGGATGACGATGAGCCTCCCACGCTCAAGCTTGGTGATGCCTCGGTCGCTGCTCCCTTCACGTCCAAGCTTCGCAACGTTGTTGCCATTCCCAACATCATCCGTCAAGGCCGCTGCACTCTGGTTGCCACCATCCAGATGTACAAGATTCTCGCCCTCAACTGCCTGATCAGCGCCTACAGCTTGTCTGTCCTCTACCTTGAGGGCATCAAGTTTGGTGATGGCCAGATTACCATCAGTGGTATGCTTATGAGCGTCTGCTTCCTTTCCATCTCGCGCGCCAAGTCGGTCGAGGGTCTCTCCAAGGAGCGTCCCCAGCCCAACATCTTCAACTTTTACATTATCGGCTCCATCCTCGGCCAGTTTGCCGTGCACGTGGTCACTCTCATCTATATTGCTCGCTTCTGCGACCAGCTCGAACCTCGCTCCGAGAGCGTCGACCTCGAGGCCGAGTTCTCCCCTTCGCTGCTCAACTCCGCCGTCTACCTCCTTCAGCTCATCCAGCAGATCTCTACCTTTGCTGTCAACTACCAAGGCCGTCCCTTCCGCGAGTCTCTGTCTGAGAACAAGGGCATGTTTTACGGCATTGTTGGTGTGACTGCCATTGCTTTTGCTTGCTCGACCGAGATGGTTCCCGAGCTTAACGAGGCGATGAAGCTTGTGCCCTTCAAGGATGAGTTTAAGTGGACGATGACTGTTGTCATGATCCTCGACTACGTGGCGTGCTGGCTCATTGAGGTTGTGTTCAAGTACCTGTTCAGCGATCTCAAGGCTCGCGACATTGCGGTGCGCAGGGAGGACCAGCTCGAGAGGGAGAGGCTGCGCAAGGCGGAGGAGCTCAAGAAGTTGGAGGAGGTGAAGAGGAAGAAGGAGGAAGAAGAGGAGAAGGCAAGAATGGAGAAGGTGGCCGAGTTTGAGAGGAGGCTGCGGGCGCGAATGGGAGGGAGTGCTTGATAGTTGTGGTCATGATGTGGCATCTTGATGACTGTTATGACTTGACTACCTGGGGGTTAGAGAATGGGGTGAGTGAACTGGATATGTTTTAAGACCAATTAAGCTACATGTTTATAATAGGGGGAAGTTGTGATAGAATTGTTGCTGTACAATACATATACTAGGATAGACTATGAAGCAGATTAGAGAGTTGTGTGTTCAGCGGTTGTTGTGATGCTTCTTTGGCCCCAACATTTTCCCCCATTGACAGACGCAAATTCCGTTGACACCCTGAAAATTATCGAGGCTCTTCGGGATGAACTGAGCCTTTTGCCCGGATGCAACATATTGTGGTATGATTGCTGGCTGGCTGGTTGGCGTCGTAGACAAGTGAGTGCACAGACCATGGAACTTTCCCAAGTCCTCCGTCTCATTGTCCTCAGCGACAAGTGACTTCGTTGGGAGGTGCTGTCATTGCTGCCTCAGGCGCCATGTTCCCAGTGGGCTTGGGCCTCCACAGCGCACAAGCTGGAAAGGGCGGGGTATCCCCAGCCGACCATTCCGAAATGTTGAACGGCTGCGCTAAGCCGGATTGGGCGGGCCCAGGAACGAGACAATTCGTTGCACAGCTTCATCAACATTTCGCGCGCGCCGACATTCCAACTTTTGTTCCTTTCTCTCTCTTCTCTCCCAACCGTCGTCACTCATCCCGTCACGCCGTCCACCATAGCAACCATGTTCGCCGCTTCCAGAATCCAGACCCGTGCCTTCTCGGCCTCTGCCCGCCAGGTATGTTGCCTATTGTCCTCCCATGAGCAATTATCATGTGCTTCGTTGTCCAGCAAGCTCCTCCAAGCTCGAGATCGGACCACCGTTGCTAACATCACCACCCCAACACTACAGCTTACCAAGGTCTCCGTCCTTGGTGCCGCCGGTGGCATTGGCCAGCCCCTCTCCCTCCTCCTCAAGCTCAACCCCAGAGTCTCCGAGCTCGCCCTCTACGATATCCGTGGCGCCCCCGGTGTCGGTGCTGATCTCTCCCACATCAACACCAAGAGCACCGTCAAGGGCTACGAGCCCACCGCCTCCGGGCTCGCCGATGCCCTCAAGGGCTCCGAAATCGTCCTCATCCCCGCCGGTGTCCCCCGCAAGCCCGGCATGACCCGTGACGACCTCTTCAACACCAACGCCTCCATCGTCCGCGACCTCGCCAAGGCCTGCGCCGAGTCGTGCCCCGAGGCCAACATCCTCGTCATCTCCAACCCCGTCAACTCCACCGTCCCCATCGTCTCCGAGATCTTCAAGAAGGCCGGTGTCTACAACCCCAAGCGCCTCTTCGGTGTCACCACCCTCGACGTCGTCCGCGCCTCCCGCTTCGTTTCCGAGATCAAGGGCACCGACCCCAAGGACGAGAACATCACCGTCGTCGGTGGCCACTCCGGCGTCACCATTGTCCCCCTCTTCTCCCAGAGCAAGCACCCCGAACTCTCCAAGAACGAGCAGCTCATCCACCGCGTCCAGTTCGGTGGTGACGAGGTCGTCAAGGCCAAGGACGGTGCCGGTTCCGCCACCCTCTCCATGGCCATGGCCGGTGCCCGCATGGCCGAGTCCCTCCTCCGCGCCGCCCAGGGCGAGAAGGGCGTCATCGAGCCCACCTTTGTCGACTCCCCTCTCTACAAGGACCAGGGCATCGACTTCTTCGCCTCCAAGGTCGAGCTCGGCCCCAACGGTGTTGAGAAGATCTACCCCGTCGGCCCCATCGATGAGGTTGAGCAGAAGCTCCTTGATGCTTGCCTTGTTGACCTCAAGAAGAACATCCAGAAGGGCAAGGACTTTGTTGCCGCCAACCCCGGCAAATAAGTGCATTTCTTTACACTAGCGATAGCTTAGAGAAGTGTTACTGAAGCGAGCGGCGCATTTTTCTTTTACGTCTCTAACCGACTACGCTGTCTTCGCTCTCTAGCGACATTCACATGCGCAATTGGGTGTCTCTACATGGGAACGGGTCAGCACAATTGGTGGGGATAGTAGACAAAAAAGTGGCCGAATCGTTCGTTGTATCATCGGAACATGACGGAAATGGGTGGAGTTAGTTTCAACCAGGACTATAACAAACAAATCGTCGCGGCCATGACGGAAGGAAGTGGAGTTGGGAGCCATTGTTGTTACTACTATATACATACGCACTATCGATATCCATACCGAGAGGTTTCAGTTTTTTGCTCGGGCGAAGCCTCATTCAAAAGAAGAAAAAAGTTACTGGCCTTTGGTTGAAAGCTGCTTGTTCCTGCTTGTTTCCTAGCATTAACGTATAACTATCATGACCTTGAATGATTGTTTTGTTCATCTTTCTTCCCGTCTTTGTCCTTGATTCGGCTGGGACTTTGCGCAATGGCGTCGTCCCTAACTGCATCAACTACATTCCCACAACAACCAGATCAGCCAATGCCAACCGAGATAAGATCGGTATTCATGGAAACCACGCGGACCACCGGAGATAGCAAGGAGCAAGCACAAGCACAAGTGGGTTCCCTTTCTAATTATATCCACATTCGTACATACCCCGTACCCATCATCTCCCGCTGTTCCCGAACGCGCGACCTACATAGCGAGCGGTCGAACGGGCCGGGCCCGCCGGACTGGACTTGATTGCCCCTGGAAGGCTGGAAGTGCTGGAACAGAACAATCAGCAAGCGTTGTTAGTTGCACCTGGCTGGGTGGCTGGGTGGAGGATCCATTGGGAATTTGGGAGATGCCGCCGGCAGGTTTTGAGCTTGACGACTAGTGTTTTCAACCTCACCAACTTCGTCGATTGGGCTTCAAATGCACAACCATTGTTAACTCTCACAGACATGACATGTTCTTGAACCTTTACCTATCCTATCGACAGCGTGGCGATGAACCCTTTACCTATCGACAGCGTGACGAGGACAGCTACATAGAGGATTACCGTTTGGTAGTTTGTGGAGTATTCGTTGGAAACGAAGCGGAATGTCCAGGCAGGGGCAGTCGGTTCTCCTAGGTCGAAGTAACGAACACCGTGCCCCTCCCTGTTTGGTCCTTACTCCTGGGTTCAAATTGTACAAATCGTACAAATTGTAATACCGCCGGTCAGTCCACTCTCACTCACTCATGGGGTCGTACCCTAGAGGTATGATTTCGGAAAATCACCACCAGTTCGCTGACTCTCACTCACTCACTCACTCACTCACTCACTCACCCGCCCACTTACGGATGCCACTCGATCGACGAGATGAGCAACCATGAGGGATGGATACCGGACAGTCGGCGTCAAAGATCCTTACCATCTATAAGTGGAATGCCACATTGCAGCCCTGCACAGAGACAACTTGCTCATTGCTCAAGTACTGCGGATATATCGCTTTGAATGATACCTATATTAGTACCTAGGTACATAGCTATCGTCGACCTCCCCTTCACAGAGACACTTCCTCGGCACTTTGGGTATGTCGCTAAATACTAGGTACCTACACTTAGTACGTATTTACCTCTAGGTATCGTCAAACTGTCTGAAACTTCAGACTTTTTCCGTTTCCTGATCGCAGCAATCGACACGGGATAAAGCAAAAGAACCACAGATTTAATGAACTACCGTACTCCTATAAACTAACTACCAAGGTAAAGAAAACCTTGTGTATCTCGTTTGCTTCCCTGTCCTCCACGTACATGTAAGATGACGCCTTGTTTGTTGCTGAACGTATTTTTTCCCTCATCCTTTGATCTTTAGCCATGGGCTTACCACATAGGGTCTTCCCAGTACCTAAGGTACCCCCTATCACCATCGCCAGACTCCAGAGGTGCCTCTATATTGATCCTTGTGAGAGGAAGCACCTGAGTGGGTATTACCTCTAAAGTACGAAACATAAGTAGGTGCCTCAGAGAACAAACTCTACCCACCCGTCCACAACCTCCGTGCCCCCCTCCCTAATGGAATAGTAAAGGCCAGGGGCTAGACAAGTCAATCCTACCTCTACCTCCAGACCATCCTAAGGCCCACCAGCCATAACCGTCATTACTTCCATCGTCTTCCCACCCACAACCACCTCCTGGCCCGGCACCACCGTTCCCCATACATCCCCTCCCTTCTCCCCCTCCTCCTTTTCCTCCTGTACATTTGGGCTCGCCTGTGCCTGGGCCTGTGCTTGTGCCTGGGCCTGGGCCTGGGCTTGTCCCTGGGCTTGTGCTTGGGCCTGGGCCTGTGCCTGAGAGCCTTGTGTTACCGATGCCGATTGCTCGTTTACCGATGGTGAGGCCGAGTTCGAGCTGGGCGCTTGCTCTACCTGAGCTGGAGTCGTAGCAGCAGGAGCAGGAGCAGGAGCAGGGGCAGCAGGACCGGCGGGAGTGTTGTGTACAAGGGAAAGAATTTTATATGAAGTAGAGATTACCTGAGGAGCAGCAGGAGGAGGGGGGGGAGGAGGAGGAGCTGGAGCAGCAGGGGCAGCGGGAGTGTTGGCAACCGAAGCCGAAGCCACAGGAGCAGGAGCAGCAGCCGAAGGTTTCTCAACAGGCACCAATACCGATAAAACCGTCGCCTCTTTGTTAAGCCCCCCCAACTGTCCAGCGGGAATGGTTATCAGGCTTTTCATCACACTATTCACCGCCGCAGGAGCAGCAACAGGAGTAGCAGCAGCAGGAGGGGCAGCAGGAGGAGCCACGGGCTTAGTAGGTTCAACAGGCACCAAAACCGACACCACCGTCGGTTCCTTATTAAGTCCCCCCAACTGTCCAGCAGGGATGGTAATCACGCTCGTCAACATCGATGGTGCAGGTGCAGGTTGTGCAGCTCCTGATACTGTTATTGATGTTGCATCTGGTATCACTATGGTAGAAGTCCACGTCCGCACCTTAGTAACAACCGTCTCGAACGTCATGAGATTGACCAGGGGCACTTCACCTTGCACGGTGGTTGTGCCAATGGTATATGTTCCGTGTGGCAGTCCCTGCTGCTGCTGCTGCTGAGCAGAAGGCTGTTGTTGTTGCTGCTGTTGCGGTTGGGGAGCTGCTGAAGGAGGCGGCGGCGGTGGCGTTGACTTGACAAGCGTAGACACCATATTCGCATACTTGCCGCCTATCGCTACTAGCTCCGGGTGGTCGGCGTCCCAACCAAAAATGTGGAGTTGCTTGATGTCCGCAGGTTCCCACTCGCCTTGCTTGACGACGATGTTGTCGATGTCGGAGCGGGTGGTGGGGATTTGGCCGGGGAGAAGCTGTGGGGCCTGGGGCTGAGAGGGAGGAGGAGGAGGAGGAGGGGCAGCGACGGGGGGCTGTAGTGGTGTGGTTGATTGTTAGTTGCACTATACTGTGTTGACTGCGGAGGTTTAAGAGAAAGGACGGGTGGGAGGAGTGGAGGGGATTGTAAGGGGTGTTAACGGTATGGGATGATTTGCGACTAGGGTCAAAGGGGATTGGGTAGGGGATTATAGGGGGAGGAACAGTCGGGGAGGGTAGGTAGGATGGGAAGGATGAAGGGGACCGATGGGTGAGGTGTGAATAGCAGGAGTTTCATTCCTCGATGAAAGACACAATTCGGCCCAGTCATGACGCTTCCCAGGTCCCAACTTGCTTCGAGCAACAATAACCAGGAGAAAAGAAAAGACAAGTTTGTTAACTCACCGGAATGACCGTAAACGTCCTATACGACGTGTAGATATCGGCACTCTCCACGTCTCTTTCTTCCCTCTTGCCAATCCTATACTGCGGCGGCAAGGAAGTTGGGAATCCCGCAGGAGGCGTCCACCCCGAAGGAACCTCTATCTCTTGAGTTTCGACATCCCTAATTTCTATTTTCCTCTTGAGTCCGTTCTGAGCCCACGGATACCAAGTACTGTAATTCCCGGTCAAGTCAGCCCCCGTCTTGGTGGATTTGATCACCGTCTTGGCTCCAGCGGGTGGCGATGCCGAGTTCACGGGCTGTTCGACCTTGATAACTGTCTTTGGGGATGGGGCCGGGGTATCGTGGACAGTGACTGTCTTCACGCTCTTGGGAGACGGTGACTCAACTGTAAGTGTGGAAGATCTGGTGGTTGTTTGTATGCCCTTGATGTGTGCTTCGGGGGCAGCAAAGGAAGAAGGGATTTGCCCGAACAGCAGGGCGACGTAGACGAGAAGGAACATTGTGATGGTAACCATGGTAATGTCGTGATGATGATGGAGTTGGTCAGATTATTGGTGGGGGATTGAGTTGGATGTATTGAGGAAGAAGAGGTCGTTTTGAGGATGAGGAATTTCAGTTGGAAGGGATAAAGTTTGTGGCTCAAGCAAGCTGGGCGGATCAAAATACGTGGAGGTAGGATTTCGATGTGTCCTCAACTTGCTTCGTGGCATTTCCATTTGTATTTCTGGTCTGTCCTTGGCCACATCCTGTTTTCTTGGTGGCGATATGCCAAGTCAAGGGCATTGATGCAGCAACACGTTTTTCGTGCATCCATCTGTCATCAGCCATCCTGAACTTCCAAGTCCAGGATTAAAGAAAAACTGTTGAATAGACTGCTCGACTCTCGATCCATTCAAAGCTTGTAGTTCTCAGGCTGAAGTATCAGCTCAGGGCAAGACCCTTTGGGGTGTCTTAGTGATGCAGCATTCCCAGAGAGGGTGAACGGTGATATACCTTGAGGTGATGTTCTGGAGATCAAGTGAAGAACGGCGTCATCATTGCTTTCACAGAGGAGCCAGAGCCGTAAGCGCTGGATGTTCCATCACAGAAGCGCGTCGGACTGCTGCTGGCAAGAAAAAAATGAAGGATCCATCTGCACATCAGAGAAAGTTGGGGAAAGTCCGAGTGACTTACATGCAGCGACTTTCACTTGGTATCGATGAGGCAGGCAACTGCCCCTGACCAACACCTACCAGCTGGACGATTATGACCCTTTGTTCTTTCCAGTTTAGACAGGCCGGCAGTATCAGGGCTCCGGGCGTGCCTGGACACTCCCAGTGTTGACTCATTATATCCGTCTTAGGTGAACATCACCGAGGCGTCCTCACGCTGTCGTCGCTGCATCGAGATTCCGACAGGTACTGCATTATCTCAGACCTCAGTTATCCAGGGTATCCGGATTCCAGATCAATCTGGCAACGCAGGGCTAATTAGTAGTTTGCCATCTGCGTATACTTGCGTTTGGCTGTATGTATGTGATACTTGAAGCGAACAGCTGATGTTTAACCCGGCGTTGCCGGACTGACCTAGAATCTGGATTTCGCAAGATACTATCATGATACGGCAGTGCACCGGTTTTTTCAACTCGAATCAAGATTCATCCATCCAAAGAGTTATGCATATGGAAACCCCAATCCACCAAGACCCCTCACATTACTCCCACCACTTCCTTCCTCCGCTCCTCCATTTCCTTTCCACCTCTCGTCTTCCCAGGTCATCACCTTCCCAGTCTGCTGCTGTCCATTATCCACTCCCATCAGCTCAACCTTCCTACAAGCCCTCAATCTCGAACTGCAAATCATACAAATGACACCCATCATCGTGACACCGCCCCCGCCTTGGCCCTTTTTAACTCCCGCATAAGCACCCGTATCAGCGTCTGCATCATTCTCCCCAACCCCAATGATAGCAACCCAGTGCGGACCCATATCCTGCCCCCTTTCCAAGTCCACAAGCTTCGATCAACTTTTCCCTTCGTTGGCACTTACACCACATTGGGCCCGTCACGAGCTTGAAGTTTGTCCACCTGCTTCATCTCCATCCTCCCCGCTCCTCCTTCCGTACCATTGAAGACAGTCCTAGCTACCCCCCGTCTTATATAAGGTTGGCCGTCGCTATCACGAACAGGCCTTTCGCGGTGCCAAGTGACACTCCACGCCTTAACGTAGTTACACCAGCAATCTTTGGGATCATTCTTTATGCAGCCGGCGAACCAGAAAGCACCGTGGTGAGCGCAGTGGAGCCCTTTCGGGAGACCACTGCGGCGGGTGAGGAAATTCAGGTGAGACTCGGAAGAGGAGAAGGCATCCTGGCCAGAGATCGCATATTCAGAGTCGGACGTAGTATAAACGGACTCGTCTGACTTGTCAGACTTATCAACGTCCAAGCCAGATTTCTCAGCAGTCTCTGACACCTCATGTCGAACACTGACAATCGAAGTGGTGGGATGGATAATGTTGAAAACGGTTGTGGCACTAACGATGACGGTGTCCTTCTCGCCGGCCGCGGTGGTGGGGATAATGGGAGAGGCCATGACGGGGACCGTCGCCAGGAGGGCGGAGGTTGCGAGCGTGAAGACCAGCTTCATGCCGGAAGTTTCTCGGGGGTATGTTTATGCTCCACGTATGAGTGTATCGTGTCTCTGTTGAATCTAGTAGGGGTATGGGTTTGAGGTGATGTGCGAAGTGGACGGATCAAGGGAGTATCTCGGAGAGTAAGACGGAGAGATGAGGAGGAGGGTGGAGGATCACTTACCAAGTGGGTTTAAATGGGCTTTTTAACGACTGAACACAGTAGAGTTCGTGACCCTTTTCTTTTCATGTGGAATGAATAGCCAATTGAGCGTTTCTGAGGTAAACTAGGATTCATGGCATGGGAGGGACTGTGCCGGCCCAGGCAGGCGATACGCTGGGCATCAGGGGGAAAGAGTTGGCAATTAAGGTCAAAGAATGTCCCTAGGCTTCTGTCGGAGGCTATTTCGAGATAAAGAGACCCCGGCACTGTGTTTCGAAGGCGCGGCTGATTATTTGGTTGATGACAAAGGCCACCCCGGCATCGCGGCGGTCTCTGATAGTTTCAACAGCCATGGTGACGAGACCGATCATCCCTCCACGGGCTGGAACGGTAACATGAAGGCTTGATTCAATATGGTAAGAGGTTCAAGAAGGAGAGGGCAGCCGAAGTCCGCCACTTGACCCCACTGGAGAAAAAAGGAAGACCCATGAAAGAGGGCAAGACGAAGTTTGGGGAATCTGCAACAACCCATGTTTCCCACCCGGCCGGGATGGAATACATATAGAATCTCGAAGTAAGGTAGGCCACGAATGCCACAAGCCGGTGACAACTTGAGCCAGGAAGGTCGCGTTCCTTGGTGGGCTCTGGCTGGGGAAAATGAAGAGCAAATAGAGCGAATGATGACGCCGGTAAGCCTGACGTATACTGACCCAGAGCGGGGAGAGAGTACATTGGCATAATGTTAGATCACCCAGGAGGCATTTTTCGGCACAATGATCCTCTTGGTGCGTGGAATGGGATCATCACGGGAGAGTGTCTTTGTTGATGATGGTCATGTTGGATCAACCTCTTAACCCTAACCCGGGAGTGGAGAGAGTGCTTGAGCCCTGGGGCCTGGAGTGACAGTAGCAGGCAGCGGCATACTACGGCCTGGAACGGTGCACTCACGGATGAGGGCGAGGACTCAGAAAAGTGTAATAATGCCTGAACACGCGAAGTGTGACGAGATTGGAGCGATTGGTGAATCATAGACGACTTGGGTTCGCTGCCATCAGAGCATTCTTGCAGTCCGGGTGCCGGAAATCGAGAGTCTGCCAACGTCCACTCGGCCACGTCTTTTCGCCGTTGTGTGGCCCGTGCTCACGGAAAGGCACAGACCTCTCGGCCGAGAAAGCAGTTGGACAGACCGCCAAGACTGCAGACACTTGACCTTCTGATTGCGCTGTGACAGAACTGGAGGAAAGAACAACATCGTCGTCATCGTGTGAAATTCATATTTGCAGTCACGACCCGACAAAACATTCATCTGGTGCTTCGTGGGGTTGCTCTTGCTTCTCACTCCTTTCCTTTTCAGTTTACTCAACTACTTGCTCCAATCAACCTTACCTCTACCGTCGCAAAAGACAGCAGCGCTTTCCCCGCGCTGCGCAACATTGGTCAAGCTGGAGTCCTGTTTGCGACATTCCCCAAATGAGCGCCCAAGGAAATGGCGCCTTCCTCGAATATCATGAACCAGACAGTACGTTCCCTTCCAATTATCGCTTGTCACTCGCTCCCTCCAACGAGGAACAACCGGCTGACCTTTTCTCCTCCTTCCCCCAGTCGTCAGCATCTTGACCTTAATCTCCTTCTTCTTCTTTCTTGCCGTGTCTGAATGGGTGGCCGACAAGGTGCTCCGTGCAGGGCTCATTGGCCAAATCATTGTTGGCCTCATCTACGGCGTCCCCATTGGCAACATCCTGGCTCTGGAATGGCAGGAAACCTTTCTCGCCTTGGGCTACATTGGCCTCATCATCATCATCTTTGAAGGTGGTTTGACCATTCGCCTGGATCTCCTTTGGCAAAACTTGTGCCTCAGCACCAGCGCGGCGCTTCTTGGTGTGCTCACCCCGATTGCCCTGACGTTTGCCCTGTTCTATGCTGGCTTTGGCTATGGTCTGTTACTCTTTCCCACCCTGCAACAGCCTCACCCCACTCAAAGACACCTTGCTAACCCAACGACAGGCCCCCTCGAAGCCTTCATCGTCGGCACTGCCCTGTGCTCTACCTCGCTTGGGACCACCTTCGTCGTCATCAACAGCGCCTCGTCAAAGCACGACTTTGCCCAGACCCGTGTCGGCACTGTACTCATCAGCGCCGCTATTCTCGACGATGTCTGCGGTCTGGTTCTTGTCAGTGTCATCTCCCAGCTGCGTGACATCGAGAATGCGAACCTGGGCTGGGTCATAGGGCAGCCTATCCTTGCCAGTGGTCTCATGGCCATCCTGACGCCTCTCGCAGCCAAGTTTGTTCTCGGCCCCCTGTTCCGTCTGCCAGCTATCGAGACACGGTTCTTTCGGAAGTTCGGACACGTCGCCAATATGGTCCTCATGGTGCTGGTCCTTTGCGCGTTTCTGGCCATTGCTGCCTATGCCGGCGCAAGCGTTTTGTTCGGCGCATTCCTGGCCGGGACAGTGGTGTCGAGTTTGCCTAGCAAGCAGCATGTCCGCCCCAGTGAAGTAAGCGACACGACCGACCTTAATACCAACGCGAAACAACAGAGGCCAACGTTCGGTGACACGTTCGAGCGATGCATCCAAGATGCACAGCGCTTCATCCTTCAACCATGCTTCTTCGCCAGCATCGGCTTTTCCATTCCATTCATCGAACTTTGGACAGGGGAGGTCATCTGGAAAGGCATTGTCTTTACCATCCTCATGGTTTCTGGCAAGTTGGTTGTCGGCCTAGTGATCCCATTGTGGGATCTCATCGCAAACACCTCCGAGAAAGCGTTTTCGACACCCTCGGCAAGACTAAACTGGTCCTCAGCAGCCTTCCTTGGTACTGCCATGGTCGCGCGCGGCGAGATTGGACTTCTCATCATTCAGATCGGCTTGAACGAGACACCATACCTGTCCCGGAAGGCCTTTGTCATTGCCGTCTGGGCCATCGTGCTCAATACGGTCATCGGCCCAGTATCCGTCGGAACACTATTGAACCGATTTGGAAGCACGGTCGCGGAGGATCCTCGGTGGGGAATACAATCAATCAACGATGGAGGCGAAGTCAATAGGAAGTCTGAGGTTGTATCCGAGGGTACTGGTACCGTGGCGCCGTAGCCGTTCCAAACAATTGCTGTTGTCAGCGTTCCATTGCGACCGTCAGTGTCAGCTAGATACTATGGACCTACGACTCTTCTAAGGGTCTGGAAGCTTGTCCTCTATTTATGAAGAGCAATACTCTTACTGTATCAAGAGGCACACTCCCTTCTTCCGTTGCCCTGTGACTGTCGATATGCCCACCAATGCTCCCATACGGGCTTTCTGCCTTCGCGGCTGAATCCAGCGCCCGCGGCTCACAAACTCGGTTCGACTCTCGGTACCACACCACGAAGCAGCTACATAGTACTGTCCCAGCGGTGGCAGCGCCAGTATATTGGTGTCCCAAATTTAGAAACATTGAGCCTCCATGTACCATTCCCTTGACAACCAAGATCTCGACAGCATGTTCCAATAATGAGCGACGGCCGAGTCTCCCTTCGATTCAGGTACAAGTTGACGCGGGGAAGCCATCACGTCCACCACACATACCGTGTCTACGGATCTATTTCATCTACCGGCCTCTACATCGTCAGACCATACATCACGAAGCATCCGGGTTCAGCATGAGCGCAGTCGTCGCCATCGTCATCTGGCCAGGTGTTCATGCGCCAGGCATATAAACCAGCAACACCATCTGCGCATGGTTAAGCAACGACAGTCGTGCTATCATCAAGGGCTGGCGGATGTTTCCAAAGTCACTGCTCGCTTCGCCTTCTTTCTTTCTGTGGTCGCGATGTTCCAGTTCCACCTTTGGGCCCTTCTCAGGCTCTTTGCTCTTCTCTCTTCGTTGGCTACCGCCTCAAGAATCGTTTTTGAAGAAGCGGGCCATCTACCGGCGGGGTGGGAGGTCGATCGCCATGCCACCGATTCCGATCGGATACAACTTTCCATAGCGCTGAAAGAAGCCGGGATGGAAGAGCTGATAAGACGTCTCATACAGCAATCTACATCTGACGACCACCCCAACAGCCGTCATCTTGCAAAGGAAGAGGTTGAGCAACACCGTCAACCAGACCAGAGGTCAGTCACAGCGGTAGGCCGTTGGCTACAGTCCCACGGTATCAAAAGCTACAATGCGGACAACAGCTGGATCACCTTCGACGCTACAGCTGCTACAGTCCAGGCGCTCTTTGAAGCCGACCTAGCCTACTACTCGTACAACGGTGATCCCAGCACCCAGATCCTTCGTTCCCGCTCTTACACGATCCCCCGGTGGCTCAGCGACGACATCGACTTCGTCCACCCGCTTACAAACTTTATGCCTCCTCGCAACCGCAACGACGGTACCCTACGCGTCGACCCTCGCCAGCCAACTCGACCAAAACTGTCCGCCCGAGAGGACTTTTTTGCCCCTCCTTGCTGGACCGGCACATTCCCTGGTTGCATTCGCAAGCTCTATAACCTCACCTATACTCAACCCTCCGACTCTCACTCCCCCTCCCCCGTGCGTTTCGGCATCGCTGGTTTCTTGGAACAATACATCACTCACCGCGACGTGACCTCCTTCCTAACCACTTACGCGCCCGAACTACTCCTTCCCACGCCCACTCCGTCCCGGGGCGGCAGCGGGGGTAGCCTTACGCTCCCTCCTGTCACAAACACCACCACCGAGCCCCCCTACAACATCACCATAACCCTCCTTAACAACGCCACCCGTTGGGATCCGCACTCCACCGACCCCGCCCTCTCCGGCCTCGAAGCCAACCTCGACGTGCAATACGCTCTCAGTCTGGGTCATCCTACTCAAGTCATCTACTACGCCACTGGCGGGCGCGGGACCAAACTCGACTCTTCCGGCCGTCCTCTCCCTGCGAACGATCATAAAGCGAACAACGAGCCCTTCCTCGAGTTCTTGCAGGCCCTTCTTGCGTCACCGGACAACCAGATACCGCATGTTCTAAGCATCAGCTATGCAGACGACGAGCAATCCGTCCCGCGCAAATACGCTCACAGAGTATGCGACCTCTTCGCTGCCTTGGCTGCACGTGGCACTTCCGTCCTCGTGACAACTGGCGACGGGGGAGCAGCAGGTATTGGCTTCTCGGCCGGAGGCGGCGACGGTTGCATCAAAAACGATGGATCAGGTAGACGGGCATTCGTGCCCACATTCCCTGCTTCCTGTCCCTGGGTCACCAGTGTAGGAGCAACTGATAACACGGCCCTAAACCTGACCGGCGCTGCGTTTTCTAGCGGTGGCTTCAGCGAGTACTTTGATCGTCCTCTCTGGCAGCGAGCGGCAGTGGACCCTTACGTCGCCAGCCTTCTCCGCTCTCAATCAAGCAAACCGGGTGAACCAAGCCAGCCCCGTGATCCGAAAGGAGTCTACTTCTCCCACAATGGGCGCGGTACGCCAGACATTGCTGCCATCGGCTCGGGCTTCCAGATCATGCACCGCGGAGAGATGGTGGAAGTACGCGGGACGAGTGCGTCAACGCCGGTGGTGGCGGCTATGGTGGCGCTGGTTAACGATCAGCGCTTGCGACAAGGGAAGAGGAGCCTAGGGTGGTTGAATGGATATTTGAACTTGGACCCGAGGGTGCGAGGAGTGTTGACGGATGTGAAGTGGGGACGAAGTGAGGGATGTGTCTTTCCTGGGGAGGCATTGGAGAAGGGGGAAGGCAAGGGAAAGGGGAAAGGCCGAATTATAAAGAAAAGGCAGGGGAACTCGACGGAGAATGGCGGTACGCATGAAGGAGATGGAGAGAGTGAGGGACATGGAGAGGAATGGGAATGGGAAGGGGAAGTTGGAGTGGGACAGGGAGAGCAGAGTGAAAATGGTGTTTTGGGAGGATGGGATGCGAAGAAGGGGTGGGATCCTGTAACGGGATTGGGAGTTCCTGGTGACTTTCAGGAGATGTTAAAGGTCTTGGGCAGTGTTTGGTAAAGGGAAACTCCTGGCTACACTCACACATCCTGTTTCATGCAGACATCCTTAACCACATGACAGCTGAGAGTAAAGAACAGTTGAGGTGTGCTTAGGTTGCTAGGCGAGTGATCGTGGAGATACACCGAACACGCCACGCTCCAACACATCACACAGTCTTCACACTCTTGCAAGTTGCACACGTCTTGCTCTCACTATTACACATTCCCGACCGGAGTATAGAACATTTCCTCCACCCCAAAAACCTATCTTTGGTGTATGCACTCAGGCGAACGTGATTTCTTACCTAGATTTACAACACAATCAGCTCATTTCAGCAGCTTACTTCACCAGAGTAAGTTCCCTGGTAGCGACCCCAGTGACATGCAAACCATCCATTGGGTGTTGTTGGTGCTGTCGGTGTTGGTGCGTTGTGTTTTTAGTGGGGATACGGCAACGATGCCAATTCGTAATCCATGTGGTAACTAATAAAGTCAACAAATCAACAAAGACGCGGAGAAGACGGAGCAAATGCAAGTGTTGTTTGCGACAGCTTGGTTTGAGATTCTTTTCGTAATCTTTTAATTTTTTTTTTTTCTAAATATTTTTTTTTTTTTAAATTTTTTTTTTTTTTTTTGGTTTGTTTTTCTTTATTTTGCTGCTCATTTTTCAGGGTCCTTCTTGGGTCGTAGGGAACATGGGACGGGCTTTTTTCTGCCTGCTTTTGTGAGACTTGGGTGTCTTGGTTCATTTGTTTGGAAGTTTATAAATGAAGTTAAAGAAATGATACTGGAAGTGTTGAGTATTTTATCGACGATGGTAGGCGATAGGATGTTTGTTGTTATGGTTGAAGGTGGTGTGTGGTGAAGATGGTGTGTGGTGAAGATGGACGGTGTTGAAATTAGTTGGTGGTGTGGTCTTTTTTGGTGTAAGTCAGATAGATGGTGGCGTAAGTTGGTTGGTGGCGTAAGCTCGTTGGCGGTGGAAGTCAGTTGGTGGTGTAAGTTAGTTCGTGGTGATCTCGGTTGGTAGGGGAAGAATGTCATTTCGAACGGTAGAACAAGAGATTCAATCTGGTGATGGCTTCAGGGCTTTCGTTGCTCGTGTGAGTTTTTGTTGCGCAATAATAATAATACGGCGTAAAGATAGTGTAAATACAGCATCTGTGGATCTTGACGCAACGCCAATTCAAGATTACACAAATAAGCCTTTTGACTTGTTCTTTTTCTTTTTTACGCAAAATAACGAGATTTTGGCCAAAATTTGCTTGGCTTGGCTTTGCATTCCGACTTCATTGCTTTTCTTTATCTGCATCGGGGTTTTGGTTTGTATCATTTTGAGACAGCTGCGGCCCGCTGGGCGAAACCGGAGGGAAGACGGCGGGATGAGGGGCAGACGCCACCGGGCCGTACCGTACCGTACCCCGCCTTCCCCGCCGAAATCAACGGCCCGCGTTACGCGTGCGGAGCTCTCGCACCTGCCACTCATTCAACAACCCCCCCCCCTCAGCAGGTCGTGCCTGGCGATCATTATTAACCACACAAGCTCGACTCTTGACTTTTTCCTCGTTTTTACTCTTTTATTGTCCTTTTTACTTTTTTTCATCGGCCCGTCCCTAGCAACGACGCTGGTGCGAATCATGCCCTCACTCGGTCCTTCGCCCGCCCTAGGGCTGCATCAGGAAGGCATCGTGGAGACCGTTCGCTGTCAAGAGCATAGCTCATGCGCGGGGCAGAGTCAAGGGCGGGGTCATCGTTCCAAGTCCATCCTGGTCGAAAAGCCTGAGTGCTTCAACAAAGTCATGGCTTCTTGCCTAGAGGTAGTGTACATGGTATGTCAGTTCAGTAGGATACCGGGAGACGTACAGCGTTCTCCCACCTTGAACATGTTGATTGCTGACGCGACGAACATAGAATCACCCAATTTGAGCTTTGATGCCGCGTGGCCGTCGACATAAACACAATGATCCCGTCGGGATAGGGTTGTGATCGCGTCCTAAGTAAACATACTTCGGCAAGACCTGATCTTCAACTTCAAGGGGCTAGATGCCCATGGCCGAACTGGAAAAGTTGACTTGTGGTACTTCGCAAGTATAGAAATATCTCCGAGTATCCGGGTTGAACGGGTGTCCACTTCCCAGTTCCCAGTCCCACCAGTCACTGCGGGGCAACGGCTCAACGGCTTCCCAATCCGACCGCTAATACCCTGAGTGTTCGCATCGTCCAATATAGGCCGCACAACCTCCACTGACGGTTACCGTTCCCGATGAACTCTCGCCCTGTGAAGGCGATGGCTCCAAGACTCTGACCATTGGGTATTTGTGCCCACTCTGTAAGGGGCCGCCGAGGTCAACGGGCGTTCGCAGACAAGTCTCGAAGGTCTTGGTTTGGGTTGAGATCGGGGAAAAATCGGGGTCCCCCCCAGCTTTCACGACACGGAAGGGGAACAACCTGGAAAGAGGAGCTATCAGGGACTTAAGGCTCCACAGCATGCAGACGCGATTCTTCGGACCGACATGTTAATTGGTCCAGCATGTTGACCCCTGATCATTGACAACCACACCCGTTGTCTGTTCCGGTGATATCGCGCGGTCGGGTATCACCAGTTGCATAATCCTAGACCCAAAAAAGGAAGGCATACCAGAGAATCCACGTTTCTTGCGCACCTTCCTCGATGGACTGAGCACCAAAATACCAGGGGCATGTTGTGCGCGCCGAATGATGGCCTCTTTTGCGGTGTTAAGTACAATGCCCCCCGAGTCCCCTCCCCAAGTTCCACCCTGTCATGCTTCGGGCACAACGACCTCGACACAGACATCTGTTTACCTCTGACTACCTTACTTTCCCTACCCAGCGTCGCGAACATGGCGTCCAGTCCCAAGAGCCTCAAGAGCGACCAAGCGTCCAACCCACCGGCACCCGTTGTCTCTACTCCCGGCCCAACACCGCTCACTGCCGAGGAACAGCACGCAGCTGGTCTTCTCCCAGCTTCGCACTGGGCGAATCAACCTGTAAGTCAAGCTTCAATGTATCTTCCAAGACAAGGATTAACACTCTCGTTCCTAGCTCGAAGATGACGTTACAGTAGATGATGGCGCCTCTTCACTCGGCTCCTTCACTTCGACCACCGCTTCCTTGACTTCGAGTATCTACCAGTATCGCACTGTCCATGGAAGGACCTACCACGGTGATGTTGGCAATGCCGAGTCATGGGAACCTAATGACCAACGTCACGTTGAGGCCATGGAACTCTTGTAAGGGACAACTGTATCCATGGCTTCGCAAGACTGGAGTTGACCATATACTGACGTTATACATGCATCAAAAAGCCACCACGCCATGTTGGTTCAGCTGGATGGAAAGCTCTACCTTTCACCACTTGATAAAAAGAAGGTTCACAAAGTGCTCGACGTGGGGACAGGCAGTGGTCTGTGGGCCATGTAAGTTTTCCTGCACGTTCTGTTCATCACACCCGAGCTGGCTGAAGCGAAGATGTGATCGGTCCCCGTCCCCGCAATCGTGGATTACGAGCTTGGAATCCGTCAAAGAAGTCATCATGTCGAGCCACAACAACCGAGGGGACTTGCACCTTTGTCAAACTTGTCTTCACGCAATCGCTGTGACCGACTACACAGTTCGGTTTTACCATCTTGATTACAATCGTACTAACCGACGCTTGCTATTTGTTTTAGTGATTTTGCCGACGAATACCCCCACGCGGAAGTCATTGGCACCGACGTTTCCCCCATCCAGCCTTCCTGGGTTCCTCCCAATGTAAAGTTCGAAATCGACGACTGCAATTTAGACTGGACATATGCCGAGGATACCTTCGATTTCATCCATATGCGCATGTTGGCAGGAGTTGTTACCGATTGGGATAAGCTCTTCCGTAACGCGTTCCGGTGTTGTAAGCCGGGCGGTTATGTAGAGAGTCTTGGTAGTGGTATTCATTTATTGAGTGATGATGGATCGGTTAAGGAAGGCACTGCTATGCATCAATGGGGCAAGGTGTTTGGAGAGGCTGGCAAAAAAATAGGAAGACCTTTTACTGTGTATGAGGACGATCTGCAACGGAAGGGTATGGAAGCGGCCGGATTCGTTGACATTGAGTTCAAGGACATTCAATGCCCCCTGGGGGTCTGGCATCCGGATAAGAAGGCGGCTGAAAGGGGGCTTTGGTATAAGCTGGCAATTGAGGAAGATCTTGAGGGTAAGTCTCATTCGTCATGACCAGATATCGAAGGTAAACTAACCGTTCTGCAGGATACATGAACTATCTTTGCAATCTCGTCATGGGCTGGACTCCAGAGGAGACCAAAAGGTTTGCTGCCCATGCCAAGAAGGAGTGGAACAATCCCAAGGTTCACGGCTATTTCTGGCTGCGTGTGGTGTACGGCCGTAAGCCAGAGTAAAGTTGTGGAGAGGATTGGAGCACATCCCAAAAGGGTTCCCGACGACTACCATTGGGAACCGAAGACACTGGGTTTGGTCCAGGGGAAGCCAGAGCGAGCATCTCTTCCTGTCACATTGGATCCCGATAGTTCGATACCATATCCATATATCCTTACGAGGACAACCGTAGGTCCGCACTATCAAGCTGTATGCATTCTACAGATCACATACACACAAGACCCCTCATTCCACGTTCTGCGCAGCTCTTTTCGTCTAGAAATCATTGCTCCTTCAGTCAGTAACGCAGAGGGGAGTTTGAGAAAGACAGGATTCGTGATGCGTGTTTTGGGGAATCTGCAATCTTTTCAAGTTGTTGGTACTGTTTGGGAGGTCGGGTACGAATCGTGGCATAAAGTGGGGGTAGGTACGGGTCGGGAGGGTATATCCCGTTCCCGGTCGCGGCATGCTTCCGGCAGGAACGACTGTGCCGTGCCCCACCATGCCGTGCCCCACCTTCCCTCGACCCGGACCACGCACCCCGGGCTCCTCGCCCCCTCCAAACGTCCTGGTCTGGCCAGTCTTCCTCCTCTCAAGCAAATTCAATGAATCGTCGACAAACCGTGGTTCGTGGCCTCACATCATGTCTCCCCCGTTTGAACCGTTATCCAACCTTTTCAACCTTGCCCACCCCAAGCTGTTGCTAACACCCCGTCCACTTGTTCAATAATTGAGACGCTGACCGGGCTTGTAGATGGCATCACTCCCCCGAAAAATACAACACCTTCTCCGACTACAGATCCTCCCCAAGACCTTCTGATCTGGTTTCCGAGCGCGCGAGTCAATGTTGTGCTTGGCCCATTCCCACGCCATTCCGTCGCTTCGAAGTAACAGGTTACCATCATCTTAACACTGCCAATCGTTCGTGGTCAATGCTCGCCCAACAGCGCGGCGATACTGATCCTTCAGAGGACGGGAGTCATGACATTGGGAAGAATGCGACGTGTCCCCCGCCTCTCCCACATTTAACCTTTGCGGTATTACCCAGTTGGGGTGCTACTGTACCGCAGCCTGCAGGGCCAAGAACCCCCTGCCACTCAGGTGATTTTTGCGTCCTCGAATGGCGGTTACCGTGCCCGGGACTGGGCGTTATAACCGCGGACGGCATGTCAAAAAAACTTGTGAGCAGGATAAGGCTGCCGATTGCCAGTCCCAATCAAGGCCATATTCAATTCAATCTTGAGCTGAGGGGTTCTGAACTTTTCACACCTCCACGCATAAAGTCTCCTCGTGGACCAGCTTCAAACCTCTTGGGGGCCTAGGGGAAAGGTTGCAATGCTTCCAACAGTCGAAAACCGCCTGGTCACGGCAAAAGGTGAAAGCATGCATAGTCAGGAGGGGCTATCGCTACGGAATCCCGCAGCGATGCAGAAAGCGTGCCTGACGCATGTCAATTGGTCCGCTGCCCAGTCTCTTCTTGACTTACAGAAACCAGACGTCGTATTATGCGTTGCGACGATGGTTTCTCAAAGTCCTCTCATGGGCCGTATCAGGAAAGCATCATAGTAGCTTTGCGTCTCCCATCACATTCTCTACAGTGAATGGAACGCTAGAATGTCAGCACACATCAACAAAGCCCTCCCGCCGTCGCTGTTTAAGATGTGGTTCCCTTACCTGCTCCTGAACCCATAACCAGACTTGAACCCTCAGCCGTCTGTCATCCCTTGGGTTTTGTCTCCAACATTCAGCTTGCCTCGCTCTCGTTGTTTCACTCACCAAAATCACCAGCATGGCAGCCCAGACTGCACAGCGGGCGCCATTGCTCAGCAATGAGGAGCAAACCTCTGTCGGTATTCTTCCCGCCTCGCATTGGCAGCAGCAGTCCACCGTAGAGGACCCCCACGATGATGCGGCTTCGACCATTGAATCAATGATGCCCAGCACCGCCTCGCTGAGCTCTACCATTTTCGAGTATCGCACCATTCACGGAAGAACATACCACGGCGAGATTGGCAATGCTGAATCCTGGGAGCCTAACGATGAGCGTCATAAGGACGCGTTGGAAATTGCGTAAGTCGTCACCACAACGCTCTATCGGTACACCTCTTCCTCATTGGCAAGCCAAATCTAAATCATAGAAACAGTCATCACGCATATATGGTAGTGATGGATGGAAAGCTCTACATGGCCCCCCTCGACAAAAAGAAAGTCCAGAAGGTTGTCGATATCGGAACTGGCACGGGCATATGGGCAATGTGAGTCTTCCAAAGCTTCGCCAAAAATGCCTCGCCTAATGTTTCCTCTCTCCAGCGATTTCGCCGACGAATTTCCGAATGCTGAAGTAATCGGAACCGACATTACCCCCATTCAACCGTCCTGGGTTCCCGCCAATGTAAAGTTTGAACTCGACGATTGCAACGGAGAGTGGACTTGGTCTGACAACTCCTTCGACTTTGTCCATCTACGTATGATGTTCGGTATTATCCAGGACTGGTACGCCCTATTTTGTCAAGCTTACCGTACCTGCAAGCCCGGTGGCTATACCGAAAGTTTCATCAAATGTGGTACATTTTTCAGTGACGACGGGTCGGTGAAGGACAATAGCGCTATGGCCCAGTGGCATAGAGTTTGGAACGCGGCCGGAAAGAAGATGGGCAGGACGTTCGAAGTTTACGATCACGATCTCCAGCGGAAAGGTATGGAGGCGGCGGGCTTTGTGGATATTCAGGTCAAAGAGTACTACATCCCTGTTGGTGTTTGGCACCAGGACAAGAAGCTGGCCGAAAAGGGCCTTTGGTGGAAGATTATGATGGAGAGTGACCTTGAAGGTACGTCTGCATCATGGCAAATTTGAGGGAAAAGACATGCCGGGCTTATACTAATGTGTGGTTATTCAGGCTACCTGAATTACCCATTCAACGCGGTGATGGGGTGGACTCCGGCTGAGACTGCCGTCTATGCCGCTCACCTTAGGAAGGAGCTCAATAACCCCAAGATCCACGGCTACTTCAAGGCGCGTTCCGTATGGGGTCGTAAGCCAGAGTAAGAACTCTTTGGATGTTTCTATTCTCTACCAAAACGGTGGTTCAACAGATGGAGTGTTGGCAGGTCATGTACCTGTCATGAAGCTCTTGGGGGTTAGTGAAAAAGGTTATGAGGCTCCAGCACACGCCTGGCGAAGATAAGCGTAGAAGGCACACAATGACCCACCTCAGTTCATGCAACCCACTTCCAATGCCAAACCCCCGTTATGCAAGCAATTCGTGGGCTCGAATTGTACACTACCAAGTACCAACGTTGCCTCAGGGTGGAATGATGGCCCCGTCAAATCCGAAACTACCGTGTGATGCAAGGGAGATAGGCTGCCCCAAGTTGCATAAAATGAGGGCCGAGAGGCTTCGGTGCCCGTACATGTTAGGGAGCATCTTGGCGCCAAGTACATACACTACAACCTGGATCCCACCGGGGGTGCAGGAAGTGTGCTTGGCACATCACATCACGGCAACTGAAGAGACGTTGAGAGTGTCCCTGCCACGTGCCTCTGGGTCCAGCACCCTTTCTTTTCTTTACCAAGCACACCAAAAAATGAAAGCGACCTAGTCTGGCCAAGTGTGCCTGCCTGCCTTGGTAGGTTAGAATCCAGCCCTCCAGATTCGCCGCTCTTACTACTTCATCTTCCTGCTTTCGAAGCTTTATTGACAGTCCAGTCTCACAAGGAAATACAGGCAGCGAGTCAGCCAGTGATCCATGCCAGTTCCACAAGAAGGCATCGCGGAGAATCCGCGTGGGTCCCGCCCTTTCCCTTAGGTTGCGTTCTTCACAGTGGAGAGAACGCTAGCAACTGTACAGGACCCCTCCTGCTCTCGCTGTTCATATGTAATTGGCCTCGAACACAAAACCAAACTGCGGCCGTCCATCCTCAACATCCACCTTGCCGACACCTCGTTCCACGTATTGTTTCACTCGTCAAAACCACCAGCATGGCTCACAACACCAACTTCCCCAATGGCGGTCCAAATAATACGGCATCGTCGTCGGCAGACGGGCCCAGAAAGGTTCCCATTTCGATGTTGCTCAGCAATGAGGAGCAAACCGCAATGGGTATTCTCCCTGCCTCACATTGGCAACAGCAATTCACAGACGACGAAACCGACGAAGATGTTGTCCCCAGGGCCAGGACCGCATCGCTCACCGAGTCCATTTTTCAGTATCGCCATATCCATGGAAGAACCTACCACAGCGATCTCGGCAATGCAGAATCATGGGAACCCAATGATGAGCGTCATATTGAGGCAATGGAGATTGCGTAAATACCTGCCCATTCAAGTACCGACAAGTTTGGTTGTATATGCTGACCATGGTAACAGCCACCACGCTTATATGCTCACCATGGGCCACAGGTTGTATCGCGCTCCACTCGACAAGAACAAGGTCCGAAAGGTGTTGGACATTGGCACAGGAAGTGGTCTGTGGGCAATGTAAGTCTTACTCCACACGTTTTGCGCACTCGTCAGGTCTCGAAGCGCTTTGTGATGTTGCGCCTGAGGGCAGACATGCGATTCGAGCCCTGGCAGCTATAGCCTGCCCCAATCGCCCTTCTAACAGTATGTCTGGTGCGGTCTAGTGACTTTGCCGACGAATTCCCCGAAGCCGACGTCGTCGGTACCGATGTCACCCCTATTCAACCTTCCTGGGTGCCCGCCAACGTCAGGTTTGAGCTTGATGATTGCAACCAAGAATGGACCTGGCCACCCAACACGTTTGACTTCATCCATGCGCGCATGCTAGTTGGCGTTATCGAAGACTGGTATGTGTTCCATCGCCAGGCCTTCCGGACTTGTAAACCGGGTGGTACGTACCCCCCCTGACGTCTTCCATCCACCAATTGTCCATTGACAATCACTCACACAAGTCCCATGCAGGCTACGTCGAAACGTTGATCGCTTGCACCACTTTTCAATGCGACGACGGTACGTTAAAAGAGGATAGCGCCATGTCACAATGGGGCAAGGTTTTCAATGAAGGTGGAAGAAGATTCGGCCGAACGTTTGAGGTTTACGAGAACGACCTCCAACGCAAGGCTATGGCAGCTGCTGGCTTTGTGGACATCGAGTATAGAGACTACTATTTGCCCGTAGGTGTCTGGCACCCTGAGAAGGAAGCAGCGGAAATCGGTCTATGGTGGAAGTTGGCCATTGAGGCGGACATTGAAGGTAAGCTTGCATGTGCAGCCAGCACTCGGTTTGCGGCGAGCACCCCACCGTCCCACGATCAGCGACCTGAGTGGGTCAATGCTAACGTTTCCCGATAGGATACCTCAACTATATCTTCAATATCGTGGTAGGATGGAGTCCGGAGGAGACCAAGTCGTATGCCGACCGATGCAAGAAAGAATGGAACAATCCAAATATTCACGGCTATGCCATTGCACGCAGTGCATGGGGAAGGAAGCCAGAGTATGTCCCAGGGAACAATGAGAGGGCTAGATGATTTCGGACTGTCCTGTGGCTCTGAAACTTGAACGACATTGATACCCCCCTTGTCAACACTCTGCCAGGCCCGCCAGCCGACTGCAGACTACCTGGCTCAGCCTTGTGCTCTGTGTCAGCAATCTCGAGAATTTTTGATCAAGACCCGCCTTCTGTCTCTTTTCCCAAATAACAACCTTTCACGATTCAAACTTGTGCACTCGAGCCGCTGGCAACACCAAATCAACCTGAATCAATCACACCGGTCAAACAAACATCAAGACTACTCCTACTGATCGCAATGGACTTTGCTACCGAAGAAATAACTGTCGAGTTCAGTGGCGCTCTCTTAACTGCCATCGAAATTCCCATCTGGGGTTCATAACAACGACCGACCTCAAAGTGAGCCTCAGTCCAGATCTCAACCCACCATCCATCTCACCACTCAAGCAAACCAGCCATGGCATCACGTCGTGTCGTACAGCTTCACCCCCAAGCCCTTCAAATATCCGAGTTTCACATTTGGCAGCGACCCGACAGCCGGGCAGGTATCCCAACGGTCGATATCAATGGGTATGATGGTCAGGATCTTCCATAGCCATCCGTGTGGTTAATTCGTCCCTCCCAACCCCCGCAACGTACGTGTTTCAACTATTTTTTCACTTGCGAACTCACCCATTCATCTAACTATCAACTAACTTCCACTCCTTAGCCCAGGTGGTCAAGAAGTTCATCATCAGTTTCGACAAGACCTCCATCCACTTTCAGCTTGTGGACGGCACCACAAAGAATATCAGAGGCAACGACACGATTAACGACAAGATTGACTGAAGAGGATGGAGTGGGCGATAGGCCACCCCGATCCTGTATGTTTTACCGATCAGATGCGGCGGTTGGAATCGAAGCTTATTTCATAGCCATCTCTTAATGTCAGCAAACGACCCATTTCCCCACAAGATGTAAGATTAAGTCATTTTTCACATGTTGCTTTTTCTTTCCTTTCACACAACTCATTTGCATCAACGTGAAAGAAACGGCAAGAAGGGTATGGTCCCCATGTTCATTTTACCATTTTCTCTTTCGCGCCCATTTCCTCAATTCTACTTCTATGATACTGATTCATGGCATATTTGCATTGTAGATGACACTTCGACACAAGGAAAAGCTCTTCTCCAGCCTAGCCCAACCGCCACCGCTTCATGCTCGTCGTTAGTTCCAATTCAATATGAAAACCGATTAGTCTTCCTCGCCCCGATGGTTTGAACGACTTCATGTTCGAGTGGAACCGACGCCCGCCATTCATTCAACATGATCCATCACATTTCGGTGTGCGCAATTGTCTCCGGATCAAGTTGCCGGGCGGGGTGAACCCTGTCAACCTTATCAAATCACAAACTTCTCTACCACATGCTGATGACTGCCAGTCCATCGATGGAGACAACATGTGCCTTTTCAAGGCCTGTAACTACGCCGCATGATCAGATTGAGACGCAACTGCAGCCCCTACTCTCTACTAGTGCAGGCCGCTGCAGGGAAACAGGGCTGCTCCAAGTTGATGTAGATACCGTCGCGGTCGAAAACTGCAGATTCCAATTCGACTGACGGTTTATCCCCGGCTTGGCGGCTACTGTGCCCGTCTTGGCTTGCACAGTCGAATGGGGTGAACGTCCTGGCGGCCATTGAAGAATGTAACGCTCTTTGGTGGATTGAACTGTTGATCCGGCGACCGACCTTGAGACGTTGCAACGTTCGGTGGCAGGGGACTGCAGGATACCACAGCCATGGCATAGCAAACACAAGCTATTTGGATCCCGCAGCTTGCAGAAGCGATGTTTGGCACCTGTCGATTGGTCAGATATACACCCCTGGGAATCCAGAACCCAGTCTTCCATGACAGTCTCACCAATTGCATTGCCCTTGGACCGCATCAGGAAGGAACTTTAGCGATTTGTGGTCTCTCGTGCGCGCTTCACAGTAACGCGACCATGAAAGGGACTGTACGCTCTTGCCTTTACCGTACGATACTCCTCTCCACCAAAATGGTACAAAGACCTGCCCATGGAACGACTCTCTCCCAAGTCCCAGATCCTCAACTTTTTACGTCACACATTTTTGCCCAGTGCTTCTGGCTTCTTTACTCTCGCTCCCCCGACACCGAACCGACTCGGCTGTCCTTGCCGCCGTCACAACCATGAGTTCCAGCGCGCAAAGCCCCCGAAGCCCCAAGAGCCCCCAGAGCCCCACGGGCAAGGCGACCTCGCCGGCACCCGCAACTTCCCCGGCACCCGCAACTTCTTCGGGCCCGCTCAGCGCCGAGGCGCAGGATGCAGCTGGCATTCTTCCTGCAACGCACTGGACAGAGCAACCGGTAACTACCTCAAGCGTTCTTGGTCCCAAAGTTGGCTTGCACTTGCTGATAAGTCCATCCATGTCTGCAGCTTCCCGAAGAGGATGTTGACGATGGGGCATCTAGCCTCGGTTCATTCAACTCCACCACAGCTTCCCTAAGCTCGAGCATTTTCCAATATCGTGAAGTTCACGGGAGAACATATCATGCCGAAATGGGTAGCGCCGAGGCATGGCAGCCCAATGATGAACGCCACGTTGATGCGATGGAGATTATGTAAGTTTCTGGAATCCTCTGGCAACGCAACCTTACCGTTTCGAAAAAACAGTTAACAACCAGAAAAGGCATCACGCTATGATGGTACAACTGGGAGGGAAGCTCTTCTTGTCGCCTCTCGACAAAAAGAAGGTTCAGAAGGTCCTGGATGTTGCGACGGGTTCAGGCCTGTGGGCGATGTAAGTCTTGTCCTCTACGTTATCTTCTATTTCCCGATCTACTCGAGTGCCTGTGAGAAGGCTTACTTGGCCGCACATGGATGGCTTACTTAATTGCATATTTAGCGACTTTGCCGACGAATTCCCCAATGCTGAAGTTATAGGGACTGATGTCTCGCCTATCCAACCTTCTTGGGTACCCCCGAACGTGAAGTTTGAGCTGGAGGATTGCAACCAAGAATGGACTTGGCCCGAGGATACATTCGACTTCATCAACCTACGTTTACTCTCAGGCATTGTTAGTGATTGGGATGCCCTCTTTAGGAACGCTTTTCGAGTCGCCAAGCCTGGAGGCTATGTGGAGAGTTATGGTACGGGAGCTCATATTATGACTGACGATGGAACAGTGAAGGAAGGTAGTGCTCTTGACCAATGGATGAGAGTTTTTAAAGAGGGTGGTAAAAGGCTCGGAAGAACGTTTGCGTTAATCGAAGAGGATATCCAACGAAAGGGAATGGAGGCAGCTGGGTTTACCGATATTCAGTTCAAGGACATTCAAGTCCCCTTTGGTGGATGGCACCCCGAGAAGGATGTAGCGGAAAGGGGTATTTGGTGGAAGATGGCCATTGAGGCGGATCTTGAAGGTAAGCTCGCTTGTGAACAGCACCCTTTCCACTCTCTCACCTCCCGCTTCCTTGATAAGTCCTAACCCAGCTGATCCTGACAACATGCTCTAGGCTGGGTCAACTACATCTGGAACAACGTCCTTGGTTGGACACCGGATGAAGCGAAGGCTTTTACTCGTCACGTAAAAAGGGATATGAATAATCCCAACATCCACGCGTATTTCATGGCACGTGTTGTATGGGGTCGTAAGCCGGAATAGGCATCTCAATGGTGCGAACAGTTGGTGGAGCCACATTGACCGGTAGGTCAGAGAGGCTTGAGCTTTGGGAACAGGTCGGCAAGATGCGTTGCAATTTGGAGTACATATGAATGCCGCTTTATATCTGGGAAATGACGAGACATACGAATTTTATTTCCTATCAGTGTATCAGGTTTCCGCAATGCGTCCCCAATCCTCGTCTCCCACCAGTCCCTACCCAATCGGTGTTTCCGTCCGCGAATGGTCCTGCCAGTCACGCCCACAATGAACAAAGCTAACAAGTCCCGGATCCTGTTTTTAGCAACCCCCTCGAACTTTTCCATGTTATCTGTCCCGAGGTCAACTACACGGCATATCCATGATACCTGGTCAGGCCAACACTCAACTCACGGCTTGGTCACGGCGCTTAATAAAACGGCGTACGGCGCATCGAGCTTCGGCTCGGGTACGCTCCGCATAACTCGAGGTTAAACAGATCCAACAACGGTATCATTGAATTGCCCTCAAGGGATCCTGCAAGTCTTGAATAAAACACACGGGATAATATAAACTTGAACAGATTAAAACCGGACCATCTCTCAGGTCATCGGATGCATTTTCCCTGTCCAACTAAGAGGGGACCGATATGCGTAACTCGCTATCTATTATAGCATCCATCAACACTATCTATTTATTCTCAATCGACAAATTATCCTTACCTCGTCCTCTTCGTCCAGTACCAGTAGCCACAGCCATGGTCTAACCGTCTTTTTCCAACATGCCTCCTGGAAACCCTAGCATCCATCCAGCTATCATCTTCTGTCATCCGCTTTAGCTTCCGCCTCTACCTCAATCACCAGCTCACAGTGTACCAGCTCCTTGCTCAAACAAATCACCACCCGATACATGACCGCCCAATCCCTCGGTGAATCTACCGCCATCGGTACCTCGCTCCTCTCCCCCCTCCCCACCCCCGGCATCAACTTCACCAAATCCGTCGGCAACCTTGCTTCAATAACACCCCGTCCAGACTCCATCACCACCACCACCCTTCTCTACAAAGAAAACGAATTCCCCCCTCCTACAACTCTCATTGGCTTGCCCACCGAAGAACAAGATTTATAGGGCATTGACTAGGGATTTACTGGGTTAACCTACTTTAAGATGTGCATTGAAAATCATGATTTTTACGGCTAAAACGAGATGATTTATATGATAGTTACCAAATTCAAAAAGTGCGTTCCTGTAGGTTTTTGGTGCGTGTCGGCAAGTAGACTCTACAAGAGATGGCTGACTCCCCATCATGATATCATGTGGACGGTAACGTGATGGAAGAGAAGACGGGAATGTCGGAGTATAGTACTTGAGTGGTGGATATCCTTGTTGAAAATATGGGCCTTGGATAGGAGCATGCATGTAGATAATGGGTGAGTGCGAGTTCTTGATTTGCTCTTTCTTACCTCAGTGCTTATACAGCGTTTCACGATTGCCTTAAGAGGTTGTTTGCCGGGTTCATGTCTGGAAGACCAAGAGATAGTAGCGATTGGGTCTCAAGAATATTGAGCTCCCAGGCTGCGCAGGTGAGATATCCATCCGGTGGGACATTCGAATTTCTTTCGGAAGTGGACGGCGTAATATTCACATCTTGAAAGTTTAACTCCTAATCCGCCTTCCGCCTCCCGCATGATTCAGATCATCCGTTGAACCGCCATTAAGTAGGGCAAACCTCCGCACACCCACCTTGAAACCGACACACACCCAAAAAGCCCCTATGTCAGCTGTTGGGTGACATATATTTTGTTGGTTGTAAAAATTGTGATTTGTACTGCATTGAGGTGGATCCGCGTAGCAAATCCTCTACAAATCTTGTCCTTTAGCGGGTAAGTAAGGTTAAGTAGACATGATGGCGCTAATCTAATAACACCGTTACAGTATTGACAGGATTAAAGTACGACATATAGTTTATGATATTGGTGTGGCTGCGTGTGTGTTGTGTAAATTGGGTGTAAGTGGCTGTGTGGCAAAGAGTATAAAACATTGATTAAGTTGCTCCTCAAGTCCTTTGTTATAATTTTCGCGTGCCTTTGAAACCCGAAATGTAGCTGATAAAAACGGGATTTACAATGTCAGGTGTCATTAGCTGTACGGGCCTACGTTTCCTGGTTCTTGGGTGTCTGTAGGTTTTGAGATGGGTGTGCGGAGGTTTACCCATTAAGTAGTACATTGAAAAAATGAAACAAAATTAATGTTCCTGTCAATAGGTAGGTACAGTAGCACCGCAAGGAAAGACGAGGTATTCTTGAACCAGAGTGCGGATGATCTAGCCAAGGATCCAGACTCTCAACACACAACCATCGATTTTTGACGCTCTCTACAGTTATCCCCCACCACAGACTCCCAAGACTCCGTTCCATGCCATGGCTTGACTCCATACGGAACTCCGTTCCATGCACAAAGTCCACTCCGCACTTAGTCCTCCTCCAACCGCCTCCCACCACCGCCCCAAAACTTGGGGTTTACCTTATCATCCGCGGCCCTCTCCGCCTTCCCATGCTTTTTCTCAAAGTCCCTATTATGTGCGTCCACCTCGGCCTGCTGTTCCTCGGTAAGCTTGGGCTTATTCCCAGGCACGCTAGCGTTGCTGATCTTGGGCTGGGCCGGCGCGCTTGGATGGGAGCTCGAGAGGGGCTCGCCGCCACCGGTGCGGCCGCGGGCGTCGCCGTTCGCTAGACCGTCCGGCATGGCGAACTTGTCGGACTCGGAGGTTGAGGTTGAGCTTGAGGTGTTGGACTTCTCCTGGCCTTCGGAGGCGTTGGGGATCTGCCCCCCGGTGGGCGAGGAGCCCGTCTCGACGGCTTCCTTGGAGCGGGAACCGCCTGATTGGGCAGAGGCGTCCTCGGGGGATTTTGGAGAGGAGGTGCCCGTGGATTGACCCGAGGTCGTGGTGTTGCCGTAGCCGGTGGTGGATCGGAGATGGCGGGAGGTGTGGAGGGGTGCAACGCCGCCGGCGGGGAGAGTAGCGCGGGGCGTTGCGAAGGCCCGGAAAAGGGTGCGGGAGGCGAAGCGGTTCATTGTTATCGGTTGTTTAAGAGGATTTTCTGTGGTGTTTTGGAGTTGTGGTCTTTTGCACGACTCAATCGATTGAAGGGTGGGAGCTGGAAAAGATTTTGAATCTAGGGGGCAGAAAAGCTGTGTTTTGTTTACGTGTTTGGGGCAAGCTGAAGTCGGATGGCCAAAGAGGTACTCAAATTGACGTTGTGGTCATGACATCACCAGTCGCTGCATTGTCCAATCATGCCCACTGATTCGCGGGGAGGAAGCAGGGAAAATGGACGAGCTGTGGGGCTTCTTTGCTTGTGGTTGATTCAACGTAAAGCTGGCCACCTGACCAACCTCCAACAGCTTCATGTTTTGAGAATATTCAACACAGAGGAAACTACATGGATACCTCAATCGATGATTGATTGGCGGGCTGTAAAAGAAAGGATGTGGCCTAGAGGCCCAGATAGACACCCACAATATCAGATTCCATTCACATTGAAGCGATACTGATCACCTCTGTCCAGGTACACGACCTTTTCACCGAGGCCCGCCTGTGTAACTGCCTCCTTAAAGTCATCCAAACCCGACAAGAACACATTGTAATCATCAAAATGCACTGGTATCGTCACGTCTGGATCCATCAGCTGCATCATCTTAACTCCCTGCTCCCCATCCATAGTCACCATAAGCAGCGGCAACTTTGGTCCCGGAATCGTAGTACCACCCAAGTGAACCAGCATTAGATCAATCTTCTCGTCCTTCAACCGCTGCGGAATCTCCTTCAGCTCGTCCACAAACAGCGTGTCGCCCGAAATGTAGATGCGATACCCCGTCTCGCCTCCATCCTCTGATCCATTAGCGGAGTAATTCATCTCGATCAACCAGCCATTGGTCGGTGGGACAGCTCCCAGCAATTCGTTTACAGCTGCCAGTGGACCTGGAGGCACATGCTTCCCCGGCATGCCCGTCACCTTGATCACTGGCTTCTTCCCTCCCGTGTCGCCCTTGTAGTTAACCACAGGAAGGAGAATGGACTGGAAAAAGTCCAAGTCGTAAACGGCCTTGAAGGGATCCTCCTTGCCCGCCAATGCCTGCTTCGCGTGCGGAGTGGAGATGATGGGAAAGTCCCGGTTCAGGCTATCCTCCACCAACTTGTCAAAGTGGTCTTCGTGGTAATGGGACAAGAGGATGCAGTCGAGCGGGGGCAAGGCGTCGATGTCGACGGCTGGGTTCTTGAGACGTTCTGCGGTGACACCCGGGCCCAGGTGGACGTGGTCGCCGGCGTGCAGGAAGTTCGGGTCAGTGAGGATGCGGATGCCGTGCCATTCAATCACGGTGGTAGCGTTACCGATGAAGTAGATGCTCCCGTTTTCTGGACCAGTCGAGGCCTTGGTCGGGTGGGTCTTGACGTTGGCGACGGGGAGGACGGGTTCGGGCTCGTGGTAGTGATGGTGTTCTAGCTGGGCTTTGAGGAGAGGGATCCGCTTGCTGGGGTCGAGCTCGAGACGGTGGACCAGTTGGGTCTCCATCATGGTGTTTAGTGTGCGACGAACGTGATATCAGCGGTAAAGAAATTTCTGTTGATCCTGACCGTACTTACCTTCTTGACTTCGGTTTCTTCCTTTGTTGTTACGTACTTCCAGTTCTGTCGCGCCGTTCGCTGTTTCTCTCCAAAAGCGTGCATGGATGTATGATGTAATTGATGGGGTCGGGGCAGGCACCCCGCGATGCCTCTACCGGCCCGCGTCAACCCGTGGAGGCGCTTTCGTTCTTTCTCCATCTGCCACCAGCATGTTGTTCCTGCCGATCACGTCCCCCTTTACACCACAACACCAACGAACTGACAGGATGCCTTTTTCAAATCTGTGGGCGTCCTCAGAAACACTCGTCAGGCCCTCATTTCTGATGGCATTCTCTGGCCAGTCTCTATCGCGCTTGGGGTTTGAAATGTTGTCGGAGGACTGATGCACGGGGCCAACATTCAACTACACCCGGCCTTACACCCACAATGCCGCGGGGTCTGTTGGTGGGTTCATGAGCTTCTGGTGTTTGTCAGTTTATCTCCCCTATTCAGATGACCACTGCTAACGGAGACAGACAGGACCAATATTCCCGGGCTTGAGATCTCCCGATGCAGTGGTCAGCTTGCCATGTCCATGACAACACATGGCCGGGTTTGCCGGGTTAGGATTCTGCTCGCTCGCAATGCCGGCACGCTTCCGAACGCATACCGCAAGTCCACGCTCAAGTTGACCCGTCGCATTTCCTTACAAGGGTAAAATGTCACCCAACAGTCTACACCTCGGCCACTGCGGGGTAACGTCGCAATTGCTCTGTTCGACACCGTGTACGCGGCCAGCATCATTCTCAGATGTGCCCAGCTAAGCCAGTTAAAACGAACCCCGCCGAAAGAATCCCGCCAGAGAAGCACTACCAAATGGACATGTCACCGTAGCATGCGCTGCTACAGGGGAACGGACCCTATACTCCATGCCGGCGCCGGACACCGTGGGCTCCCATTGGCGATGTCCACTCAATGAGCGGTTACCGTGCCCGACTCGGTTTCATCCCCGAGGATTTCTCTGCATTCTTCACAGTGGACTTTGTCGGGAAGTTGTACGGTTTTGTCCTCGCCGTGCGATACCCCTCCCACATTCTGTCAGTAGTTAAAAGCTCACCCATCGGCAGACTCATCGCTTGTCAGGGCCACAGTCTAACTCTTGCGTTTTTTTTATTTTTTTTTTATTTCAGTTCCCCACGCGCAGTCGCCAAAATGTCGAGCTCCCAAGGTCCCAAGAGCCCCAAGGACCCCGAGAGTCACGGGAGTAAAGCAGCTTCTCCTGAATCGAACCCGGCACCACCCGCGATTGTGGCGCTCAGTGCCGAGGAAATAAGGGAAGCTGGTATCCTACCAGGCGCCCACTGGACAGAGCAGCCGGTAATCTCTACGTCTTCGCCTGCCACGTCACTCGCTGAGTATCAACTGATTTGATTTTCTTCTGTCTAGATTGAGCAAGTAGACGACGACGGTGCCTCGACTATTGGATCCATTGCCTCCACCACAGCCTCCCTCACTTCGAGTATTTTCGAGTACCGGACCGTCCACGGGAGAACCTACCATGGCGAGATTGGTAATGCGGAATCATGGGAGCCTAACGACCAACGTCACGTTGATTCTATGGACATCTTGCACCACACTTTCATGCTTTCCCTCGGGGACAAACTTTTCCTCTCGCCGCTCGAGAAGAACAAGATCCACAAGGTGCTTGACGTTGGCACAGGTACCGGTCTTTGGGCAATGTAAGTCATGTTACCGTCTCATTACCCGCCGTGCACATTTTGACTAATCCATTTATTGCTGGGATGCAGTGACTTTGCCGATGATTTCCCCAACGCCGAAGTGATCGGAACCGACGTGTCTCCTATCCAGCCTTCTTGGGTTCCTCCCAACGTCAAGTTCGAATTGGATGATTGCAACCGAGAATGGACTTGGAACGATGACTCCTTCGATTTCATTCATCTTCGTTTGTTAAATGGCGTTGTGTCCGATTGGTTTAGTCTCTTCCGCAATACTTTCCGCTGTGCTAGGCCCGGTGGATATGTTGAGAGTCTGACTACTAGTGCCTATGTTCGTAGTGATGATGGGTCAGTTAAGAAGGGGAGCGCCTTGGAGCAGTGGCATGGTATATTTTGGGAGGGCGGTAAAAAATTGGGAAGAACCTTTAAAGTATTGGAGGATGATCTTCAGAAGAAGGCCATGGAGGAAGCGGGGTTTGTTGATATTACAGTCAAGGATCTCAAGATTCCCTTGGGCGCCTGGCCAGAGGACAAAAAGTTGGCCGAAATTGGCCTTTGGTGGAAGATGGCAGTGGAATCAGACATCGAGGGTAAGTTCCATTGCCTTGTCGCCCTCTGTTGGCCCCTTGCAATTTTCCGATGGATTGCTTGTACTAATCCGTACTTACAGGATACCTCAACTACCTCTGTAACGCTTTGTTGGGTTGGACTACAGAGGAGACTCTGGCATATTGTGCCCATTTTAAGAAAGAGTTGGCTGATCCTAACATTCACGGCTATTTTGTGATGCGTGTGGTCTATGGTCGGAAGCCGTAGGGAGAAAAGGAAATGCTGTAAGAAGATAGGTCCATCCTCTGGGTGCATGTCTTACTCCGATCTCCTTTACCAAGGTGAATCAAAGAACTTGGGACACATATGCCTGGAATACACAGGAGAACGCAGTGTTTCTTTCTTTTTCCCTTTTTGCTTAGAAGTGTTTGACTGTTTATCGGATGGCTCTACCTGCGGAGGTCGAGGCCGAGACGGGCGGGAGGTTGGTAGGGCAGGCCAAGTTCGGGCCGTTCCGTACCCCGCCCTCCCCACCATAACAGTCCACATCGTCCCCTCGTGTGGTGGTCAGTCATCACCCATCGCTATTGCAAGTACTAGAGGGATTCATTGCAGTCTCCTTTGGAGTATCTCCTTTCCTCCTCTCCTCTCCGACCTATAATCTATCACTCCTTGGTTCACTTTGTCCTTCTTGGTTTCACGGAGAGTGGTTCTCGCCATCGCCTCACTCGCCCATCAGCTCAGTTTGTCGTTCCTGATCAACACCGGCTCCTCTTCACACTAGACGAGCACTGACCAGTTCAAACACAAGAGCCCCATCTTTGGACAAATTCCTCCTGAGCGCCCGGTAAGACACACAAACTTATGCTTTGAGTTTAGAGCTTAACCCTATCACCGTCCGCCCTTTTGGTTGGTTTGCTAACTCCTGCTTGCTAATACCTAGGACTGACCTTCCAACCATCGCCACCCGAGACCATCGGGTTAGGGTTATCGGTCTTTTCGAAACTGGACAAGCCCGCGAGCTCCAAATGACACCACTCGGCCAGTCCATACCCGACTTGATTTGGCGCTTTTCCGAGCTGCAAACACGTCTCCGACCAATCCAGACAATCCTGGGAGCTTTATCAGTCTCGACCCTGGTTTATCAGTCGGGGGAGTCGGGGTCTTCTCTGTGACTGCGGGGTAATGGCTCGACTTCCCTCGTCGGCTGGCCCAGACTGAACACGCTACCGGCCCATTATTCAGTCAAGAGGATGCCGGCAACACAATCCGAACTGGTCAAGACGATTGTGGAGGATGAAGCTGGATGCGACGTGTCTCATCCTATATCCTCACAGGTCCGAGCTGGGGCACCGCTGAATCCGGATGCAACTGCAGTCTTCTCCGTCTGTAGTTCTACACTAGTGTTGTAGGGGTAGCAAACCCGAGTTGCTGCAGGCGTCAAGCAGGGTGGATTCTCATTGGACTGCCCGTCACTCACGGTTACCGTGCCCGACTGGGGGCTCGCAGTCTCAAGTGTAGTCAAATATTTGGCAACATTGAACGACACGGGCATCCTTATCGTTCACAAGTTATGGTCGTCAATCAGTGAAAGGACTGGCCTCGAAGGTTCTTGGTGATTGGGACAAAACACTAAATCCGGCGATGTTACGACTCTCCAGAGACGGGATTTGGGGAAGATAAAAGCGGCATAGCGAGGAGGAGCTATTTGTGAATTCGGTCCTGCAAAGTGCAACCGGCGAGTATCCATTGGTCTATCACGGTGCATCACAGCGTACTCTTGCGCACTCCACAGTGAATCGGACAAACAAGACTGTGTGCAGCGTTGTTCCAACACGATGCTCCTCCTCACCTGGGTCTTTAAAGCGCCCCAATGCCCACACGACAACTTGAACCATCGTCTTTGCTCCAAGTTCCGCCGATTCGTTTCCCTCAACATCTTTATCCGCGCTTGCCTTTCTTGTCCTCAAAGCCGCACTCATGGATCCTAGCAGCAGCCAGAGTCCCAAGGCAGCATCTCCAACACCGGCCACTGCCCCCGCGCCATTGCTTAGCGCCGAGGCAGCAGCTGCGGCTGGTATTCTTCCTGCATCGCATTGGGCTGATCAACCGGTAAGTTGAACCATGTCGAGCTTTCCTGTCACTGAGAACTCAGCTAACCAAGTCTTCCATCTTTTCGCAGCTCCCCGAGGAACATGCAGACGATGATAGTGCTTCTACAATTGGATCGGTTCTCTCCAGCACCGCTTCCTTGAGCAGCACCATCTTCCAATACCGTACCCACCATGGCAGAACTTACCACGGCGATATCGGTAATGCTGAGGGCTGGGAGCCCAACGACCAGCGTCACCTCGAGTCCATGGATATTGCGTATGTGCGGGCGCTCATGATCCCGAATCCCGAGTTTGGCGAGGATATATGAGTTACAATCATAGCGCAGAGACTGACGGCCTGAAAAAGCCACCATTGCTTCACAGTGTGCTACGGCGGAAAGCTTTTCCTGTCCCCTCTTGACACGAAGAAGGTTCAGAAGGTAGTGGATATTGGAACGGGCACCGGCCTGTGGGCAATGTAAGTTTCCCCGCAACCGTTGCTGGAATGCTGGGTCCCCTATTGATCTCCGGTAATTCTTCACTAACACCATATGTCTTCCATCCAGCGATTTTGCCGACGAATTCCCTCACACGGAGGTTATTGGTACAGACATCACCCCCATCCAGCCTTCGTGGGTACCTCCCAACGTCCAGTTCGAACTTGAGGATTGCAACCAAGAATGGACCTGGACCGACAATACCTTTGATTTTATCAATATACGCATGTTGATTGGTGTTGTTGAAGACTGGTACGCCCTTTTCCGCCAGGCTTATCGGACTTGCAAGCCAGGCGGCTATGTCGAGAGCTTCGTTTGTTCCTGTCATTTCGTAAGCGACGATGGGTCTATAAAGCCAGGCACCGCCCTAGACCAATGGGGCAATATTTGGGCTCAGGGCGGTAAGAAATTCGGAAGAACGTTTGATATCTATGAAGAAGATTTGCAGAGGAAGGGGATGGAAGCGGCTGGCTTTGTTGATATCGACTTCAAGGATATGATGGTCCCGATTGGCGTTTGGCACCCGGATAAGGACGCTGCAGAACGCGGACTTTGGTGGAAGATGACGCTTGATATGGATCTTGAAGGATATCTCAATTATGTCTGCCACAGTCTGCTAGGCTGGAAGCCAGAAGAGACCAAAGCCTTCTGCGCCCATTGTAAGAAGGAGTGGAATGATCCTAACATCCATGGCTACGTCATGGCGCGTATCGCATGGGGCCGGAAGCCAGAGTAAGAGTGGTTGTGCTCGCGAGGAAGTTTTGGATGAGAGGGGGGAACCACCGCGTGTACGGCAGACGCAGGGCAGGCAAGGCGGCCCCCGGAGTGTGCGATGCCTTGTCGGCATGGCAGGCGGCGAGTGTGACCTCGGTTGGGCATGAAAGAGCGGACGAGTGAGTTGTTGAGAGTACTGCTTATGTGGGAATATAAAGAAGTTTCTGGTTTCCGATTTGACGATGTTGTGACGGATGTGCAGACGAATGAGGCGTTCCAGGACACGAAATGAAACTTGCGATGCCGTCCGTGTTTGGTGTGGCACCTTGAGGCCAAGTTGTACGAGAGCTATGACGGGGGAACGAGTTGTCAGGAAAGTGGTATGTAGCGAGGGGGTGGCATCGTGATTGCTTCGACTGTTTTGTTTGTTTTGTTTGACTCATCTCAAAGCTTTGGTGCTTGGAGACGGTGTAGTGGATTATCGACATCGGTTTCAAGCCAAGGTGAGAAGGTTCAGACTCGGCTAGAGAATTACGATGGCAATGGGCGAAGTATGATAAGAATGATGATGACGATGGTGACGATGACGAGTGTCGTGATGGAACTTATGGACGAGCATCGATTACCATACTAACGAATGAGTATCAAGCGAGTGGAAAACTGAGATTCACATCCCGGCTTACACTTGCTTGTGACAAAAGAATGAAAAGGGAAAGATTGCTTGAATGGAGGGCATTCAGGACTGAGGAAAACGACAACGAAACTGTCGTGCGGCAAGCGCACAAGGTGAGGTGAGGTAAGGGATGTACCGCCGGTTGCAAAGGAAGGCAAAACCAAGACTGGTGTGCTCGATATCTCACAGTTTTTCCTTCGTGGAAGAGCGTGGATTCTCTAGGTCTCTTTCCACTTTTGCGTGAAATGTGGGGGCTATAGAACGGCTACGACAAGTCTCGACAATAAGCACTTTTTGCACTTTTCTTTGCATCGTTGTCATGTATGTATCTTGAACTTTGAATCATGGCCTGTCCTATAGTCCCACCAGTGTCAGCGCAACTGGCGCCTATATCCCACCCAGAGCGATATAACCATTCACTCTATCTCATGTATGACAAGCAAGTGAGTACATCTCCTTTGTATCCCTCTTAATCATACCAAATCAGCAATCAATAAGTCTCTTCCGAACTCCGAACCAAACACCCTGTCTTAAACCATCCATCTTGCACGCAGGTAAATTGAACACGATTCCTAGGTATACACCTCTTTCTCTCTCTTGAGACCTCAGCACTCCATCTTCACACAACCGCCGAAACTCTCCAACATCCTTCACAATACATCCATTTCACAACTCCCCCAACATCCCTTCCCTCTCCTCCCCTTCCTCCCCAATCTTCATACACAACTCGCGATTATTCTTCAAAGCCCACTTATCATCGACAGGCCACCGCTTTTGCTCCTGCACGATTTCGGCTCCAAAACGCTCAAAGATTTCTGCTTCCGTCATTTGCACGTCTCCATCTTCGTCTTTCTCTTCTTCACCATCAATTTCCATCAAACAAGTATTTCTAGTGTCATTTCCAGCAGCAGCGGCACCACCACCAGAAGCACCAACAGCAAAGTGCGCGACCGCCCTTCCCTCTCTAAAAGGATGTTTACCACCAAAGTTGGGCGACGGGCAATTGGGCGCTGGACAGCAGAGAATGAAATACTTGTCTTGGTTGATGGCGACGTCCTCGGCTGATCGAGCAAAGTGGGATTCGAGTTTGAAGGCCCAGTGGTGACCCTTTTTGGCTAGGGAGCGCTTGATTGTTTGGCGCTGGCGGGCAATGGCAGGTTGCTTGGTTACCTTGGTGATCTTGGCCTTGTCGGTGCTGTTGGTGGTGGGTTTGGGTTTGGGTGCGGAATTTGAAGGGCCCGGGGAGGGTGGTCTAGAGGGAGACCGGGAAGGAGAAGTGGTGGTTGCTTTGCCTTTGCCCTTTAGGTCTTTTTTGTTGGGGATGGTTCCCGGGCCGGAGGTGGATGTGCTGGCGCTAGGTTTGTTGTTGTTGCTGCCTTCCGCTGTGATAGAAGCAGCGGTAGTGGTGGTGACCATGACTTCGTCTTTGTTGTTGACATCCTCTGTGGTAGTTGGAGTAGGGAAGTGAGTTGGAGTGTCAATTGCCTTTCCCTTGTCTTTGTCCAGTTTGACCACGACCTCCTCTTGGATGTTGTTGTTGTTGATGTTGTTGGGCTTGCTGTTCAATGCAGGCTCGGTTGAACCTGTGGCAGGTGGACTACGCCTGGAGAATGGCTTGTTCTCCTTGTTGTCCTTTCTGGTCTTCGTGACTTTGTAACTGTTGCTTGTCACGGAAAAAGCAACAGGAGAGGGAGATCTGGCAATGGCTTTGCCCTTTCCCTTCAGATCTCTCTTGGAGGAAATCCTTCCAGATCCGCTGGCAGTGGTGGTCGTCTTGGTGGGAGTGTCGTTGGCCTTGTTCTTGCCCTTTGCCTCCTTGACGTTGTTTTCTCCTGTCTCCTCAATGTACGCAATGTCATGCGTCTCCTGGATCTCGTTGGACGTGACGCTGTTGGATTCTGATTCACTTGCGCTGGCGCTGCTGCTGACTCTAGTCGCGGTAGTGGTAGGGTCGAAGTCGACAACTTCGACATTGCTTGCTGCCTCGTCGGTTCCGACAATGGGCTGCTCCTCCGTGTCGTTCGAGGTAGGACCCCCGGAAACACTTGCAACAGCGACAACAGCGGAAGTCGAAGACGGACCAGGAGTGGAAGAAGCATCAGGAGGGGAGGAGGAGCTGCCCTGAAACTGCAACACGGACAAGTACACAGACTCCGACTCAGAGTCCGACTCTGGCTCAGGCTCGGGCGTGACGGCGCGCTGCTCAGGGCGGCTGGGACCAGGGGCTGATGAAGCAGCAGCAGCAGCAGTACCACGGGCAAATTTGAGCATGGACACAGGCTTGATAAGGGGAAGCCTGTTGGTCTTCCTGACTGTGTTGGTGATTCTCTGAAGGGTTTTGGCAGAGAAAGGCTCAGGTGAAGGAGAGTTGGACTTGGCTCTGCCCTTTCCCTTGATGTCCTTCTTGGAGACGATGGACCCCGAGCCGGACTTGCTGTTGCCGCTCAATTTGGTCGGGGTTGCGGTGGCAGTGTAAATGGCCTTGTCTTTGCCCTGATCCTTCCTGTTGTTGACATCCTCGCCCTGCGAGCCACCGGAAGCAGGGGTAGACTCGGCCTTGAGCTCGGCTGTAGTTGCCTGCTGCTCAGAGCCCTCGGTGTTGACAGGAATGGAGGGAGCGGCGACTTGGGTTTCGGGCAAGACAAGCTCCCTCAGTCTCTTTCTGGGTGCGGGCGTGACGGCAGCTTGGACGGCAGCCATCCAAGCTGCATTGGCTGGGGCAACCTCGACTTGAGAAAGAGCTTCGAGCGGCGCAGGCTGGTTGAGCGTGTTCCGGAGGCCCTTAACCCTCTCGTAGAAGCTCGTCAAAACGCCGAGAGCCTGAGCCGGCGTGGGCATGCCTCCCAGACCGGCAAGCTCCTCCAACTGGGCTTGGTATTCCTGCTTGCACTCTCGAATCTTGTTGAGTGCCGACTCCCAGGCTTCCACAACCGCGTCCATCGCCTTTTGGACGGGATTGCCGATCACACGGTCGTTGTCGCTCATGGTGAAGTTTTGGTTGGATGTCGATTTGAGTCTGGTACTGATTAGAATTGAGTTCTTGATTTCGTGAAAGATAAGCGACTTACTTGTTGGGTGAAAGGTTGACTCTTTGTTAATGTACAAATGTCAACGTGGTTGGTGATGTTGTGATGAAAGTTGAAGTTTGTTGCAGTCTGCAATTTGTTGAAGAAGTTGTAAAGTTGAGCCTTCGAGACGAGTCAAAGATTCAAAATGGAAAGATCTTATGCGATTGACAAGGTGGATCCGCGTTCGCATTGAAATTATGAACAATAGAAGTATCCTATTGTCAACCTTTCTGTTCCACCTTTTCTGATCTTGAATAGTTCGTCTGTACTCTGTGTTGAGTGGAACTGAAGGGAGTGGGTACCAACTGTTGCCCGGTGACCACAACTGGAACCTGAATAAGGATTTCCGATTCATTGCTATTATGCGATGGGACGAATCGACGAAAACAGGACAAATGGTACCGTCAAGGGCTTTTCATCTGATGTCGATTTCTCAACATCACAATGCGTCCTGTCTTGGCACTTGCCACCGCTTTCGCCTGTGGTGATGCTATTGTTTTGCTTGTAAGTTTGAGACCACCATATACGATACCGCGGTCTTTCTTTCAGCAGAGGAAAGACGACTAGCTGAAGCGTGAGCAATAATGGGTCTGTTATCTCGTTATTTGATCTTTAATCAGGCCTATCGAGTACTCCAGGTTGTGAAAATTGCCCGAATATCAACAGTCCATGATACCGCTTTTGGTTCAGGAAAGGCCGTTTCAAAATTGTGCCATGCCTCGTAATAATCTGCAAGCACGCCGCCTAGAGCCTGTTGTTTGTGGTCACTGGATCCCGGTGGCCATTCCTCTCAACGAGAGTCGAGGGAACCCCATATGGGGTAAATACTGACAAAATAGGTACCTAGCAAGGCGAGAACGTTAACGTATCTGGCACTTTAGTTTCGATTTACCAGTGAATGGTTTACGTCTGTGTTGTAAAGTGATCCACAAGTTGCCAACGTTTTCTTCCCAAGGCGCAACCCTGAGCGTACCACCACTTTTCTTTAAGGAGAGGCAGGTACACGTAGTCACGCACCCATCATGATGAATGTGAAAGAAACGGGTAACAAATTCCCCTAAACAATTGGCGACTTCTTTAGATTTTATACACACTCGGTCTTTCACTTGTGTCTTGCCCCCAAACTCAGAACCGTTGGGCTATCTTTCGCGGCTAGTTCATGATAACGCAGCGTTCTGTCTTTGTAACGCATAAAGGACACTGCTCCTCAGTAGACCTCAAGTTACTTATCTGAGAACGATACAGGGCTTGGAATTTAGTTCATCGCCTGTTCATCTGTGACTAAGTTCCTCACAAAAGATGGACCGAAAATTGATCTATTATCATCGAGTGTTCTGAGGACCTGGTGAGATTCCAAGTGCGTGTAGGTTACATACAGGAGTGGTGCGCATAGAACTAGGCTTTCTCTCCCCAACTCCCAGCCCTAAATAACTTCATTTGAACCCTGGAAAGTCCGAGAAAACAGTTAATCATATCAAATCAGATGATGGGTCTCATTGCGTGTGCCTGGCTGGAGGACATGCTTCCACGGGATTCTCTCAAAGTTCCGAAGCCAAATCTGGGCATTCACATCTGATCTGCCGGTCGTTTCAAGCCGCAAGGTATAAAGCCGGCGCTCCGGATTGGACAATTGGAGCCTGGTTACTTGAAGATTACAGAGAAATATGGCTTCTCAGTCAATATTTTCGACGGACAATGGAGAGCAACTAGTAAGCTTCCAATGCGGGCGACTTGCAGCCTATCGAAGAAATCCCAGGCGTAGACTCATTCCTGCAGTTGTATAAATGTGCATTTAGTGGAAGGAGCGGTCGTACAGCTGCGGCAAATCCACCAATGCTTGTGTGCGTGATGCGGCTCTCAGAGTCCCAGTGGCTGGGCACGACGCCATGCCAACAAGTTGCTGCGGGAGTAATTGACAAGGGCTGTCAATTGACTGTGAAAAGGACGTCTGAGAGGTCGAAAATACGGATTATACAGCACCGAGTTGGTCTATCAGCCAGAAACATGTCAGGTATCGCTCGTGTCACCACACATTTTGTCCAAACCGAGGCAGTGCACATCGGCAATCGTTATCTCCGGGCTTCGCTAAATAGGTGAATGAAATCAACGGTGTGGCCAGCCTTGTCAACCACTACTCAAAATCTCTCTCCTCAGCATCCCTCTCCCTCACCAACTCCTCCGCATCAAACACAATTTCCACCATGACTGTATCCTTGCACGGCTCCCCCTTGGGAGTCTGGAACCTCGTCCGCGCCGACACGATTGTGTTCTCACAGCGATGATAACGCGGACAATTACCCAACAAGGCCTCCTCGTTTGCCATGGCCAGCACCTGTTTGGCATTCGTTCGGTGGTTGTAGAACTCCCGGGTCGGGGAAACTTTGCATGCCCATCCTAGATCTTGAGTTCCCCCAGTACTTGTTGTAGTATTTAGGGTCGTGGTGCTTGTGGTCGTGTCGCTGGCTATGCTGCTGGTTGTAGCTACGAAAGCGAGGTATATACCGACGCATTTGGATGGATCGTCGTCGGAGAGGCTGTCGTTCTTGAACACAACTAGCCCGCTGGATATTTGCATGTCTTCTTCTCTTTGGGGAGAGTCGGAGGAGCGGACGTATCGGGAGGTAGGGATGAAGAAGCTTATGTCGTCGCGGAGGTCCTGCCTCGGCAATGCGGTATGCAGTCGGTACCCAGCCATGCCCCGGGGAAAAGTGATCATGAACCCATGATCGGGCTGGGGATAGACTTGAAACCCCTTCAAGGCTACATCGATCTCGCGGCCATAGGCAGAATAGACACGTCCAAAGTAGGAGATGTAGTAGCTCGTTTCGGAGCGAGGGGTTAGATCGAGGACACCTGCTGCCGCGCCCAGATTCTCGGTGGGGTTCAGTGTATATGAGGCATCGATCTTGCGGCTAATCAGGCTGATGGGTATACGGGCGCGCATGAATTGGTTGTCTTTTCCGAAGAGGGGCAAGCAGATTTGAGAGCGCTGCATGTTGTTCTCGGTGTCAACTTCAACACAATTGAAGACGGCGAGGACCCAGTAAGGAGAAAGGGTTTGTATAAGCGGGGTGGTCATGGCTAGGCCAGCGTTCGTCATGGAGAAGGGTAGTGTGAGATGGCGGCCATAGTTGGGATGGATGCAGCCTCCTTTGACGAAGGCGGAGGGATGGTGGGCAAAGAGGGTGTTGTCGGAGAGGTTGGTTTCAAAGGCGAGAATACTATGGTCATCGGACACCTTGATGATCTCTTCCTGAAGTCGCATAAAGGCCTTTGGTCCTTCCCCGTACAGCAAGGGCATGTTGATGCCGAAGATGCCAAGCAGGCAGTAAGCCAGATCTTCCACGCGGGTTGTCTCTCGCTTGGCGGCCCAGGTCATGCGCTGGGCAATGCTGTAGTCGCGCAACCGATTCTCCTTCTTCAGACATGCGGCGTCAATGCCGGTAATGGTAGAGATGAGAACAGCGAGGGCCTTCTTGGCGCCCAGAACCTCCCAGTCCTTTGTGAAGAACTGGACATGTTCGGGGGCGATGAGCTCTTGCAGGGTCCAGCCGCGGGTAAACCACCTGCTTTTGCGAAGCGAATCGAAGGTATCGTCATTGGCCTTTGTACCAGACGCAGCAACATCGGAGAGGTAGACGTAGCATATCGTGGCCTTCTCGTACCAAGTGTACATGGAATTGATGGCTTCTGATAGCTCGGCCGAACTGGACTTGTCGATACACACCGTGTCCACCCACACATAGTCGAGACCATCCCGGCGAGCCTGCCTGCAAGTTGCGAGAATTTTGTGGAAGCCGGGGCGATGTTTGTGGGTCAATCGGGTCCATATGTTGGTCCATTTCTGGAAAGTTGCCTCCTTTGCAACCCATGTGTGCGATAGAATGGCATATTTCGGGATGCTTGTGCCTGTAAAGTACTCGATCTCAAGGGTATGGGCATTGATGAGACGCATTGTTGGGAGAGAGAGCTCTGAATACCTCGGGGTGTCTCATGGCCTGGTTTTTGAGGCGGCAGCTAGTTTGGCGTTTCCGGCAACCGAGTCGACCTGTCGAAGGCGTAGTTTCGATGTGGTCTAGTCGAGGATTGAGTTGCAATTTGATCCATTGGGACAGTCTGGGGACGATGGGAGGGACGGAGTGTCAGCTCGGTGATGCGCCAATCTCGTTTTGGCATCGTGGCAGTGTCCTGCTCAGCCTGGCTGGGATGGGGTTGGCATTGAGTTCACCCAGGATTCGACATTGTCATCGCCTGCAAACAGAGAACAGGCAACTATGATTATCGGACCGATCGTACACGGTATCACTTCCTTGTGGACAATGACAAGGAAGATCAGAAATCCTCCAACTTGTAGACGGCATACGATGGCTCCTCGTAGGGGTGTGCTCTGTCAGGGTTGCTGTTAGCTGATGACCACTGGCATGTGACCATGATAGCGGTTATTGTTAGTGCCTCCCACTGGCTAAATTAATGGAACTTGCCTTTTGAGAGCCTCGACAGCTTTCCTGGCCGTCTCCTCGCTATCACACAACATCTCGACTCTGAGCTCTTCAATCTTTTCCAGGACGCCGACCGCGCCGGCGTGAGGGTTGGCGGCGCCGACGGGCCGGAATTGGCCGGTGCCGGTGGCAGTCCAGCAGCATTCGCTGTAGTTGGGATAGCGGCCGGCGCCAGCAGCGAAGACGGCTTGCTTAACCGTGTCCACAAACTGCGGCTCGGCGTGGAAGACGAGGGTGTATCTTGCGGGACGAGAAGCACGAGAGACAAGGGCGCCCATATTCAGCGATGTGTGATGTACGAGCAGTCCATGGAGGTCCGGTGTGATTTGACGGCGGCGAGATGTCAAATGTTCAACGAAGAGCTGCACTGAAAATCTTAATGTTCAGTTTACAGCGCCGAGCTGTTTGGTAGCGCGATGCCCAGACCAGCATGTCCTTGTTCAAGTGGGGTTATTGGCAGGTGTCAGGAGGGGGCCCACAGCTTTAGCAATCGGCACGGGCCGTCAGGCACAAACAGTGCAGACAAAGAGGTCCCCTCGTTTGCCAAGCGGATTTTGCAACTCTCGCTCGGCAGCGTTCTTTGGGCTCATGGACGGATGTCTTTCTTCTCAAACACAACCCGTCATAAATTCCCAGCCCATTTCTCGTATCCAAGACATTCATTGCAACCACACCCGATATGGCCGTTGACCATGGCTGAGGCTGAAGCCACAGAAAACCGCAACCGCTGAAGGGGGAGGGCTATTGCTGATAATTACAGGGCATGGCTTCAATAGTCAACATCGATGCCCTCTCCCGTCTGTCTCTTCCCGTACGGCCGGAGAATCCACTCCTCTTCCTGTCCCGATGCCGAGGCCCAGATTTGAGCGTGTCCGATCGACGTCAAGACAAGGACAACCCTGAAGACAAGATGGCCAGTGTCCACTGTTTGCTCTCGGCAGTGGAGATCCTGAGCTTAATTCAACCGCACCTTGATGACCTCTACAACGGTGACCCATTCGCGCGCCGGAAATATATCACGACACCGTCAACATCCGAGTTCTCACCGTTTCTTTTCTTTAACATTTCGATATATCGTACGCATGTTCTGATATTGGCTTCAAAGACGAGTATCTTCCTTGTTCATGCCAATGAGCACGGTTGGTGACAAGCCACCACCAAGCCACCCTCATGGTCTCTTGTCTTGACGGCGGTTGGAAAAAGTCACGAGACTGAGAGAGATCGCATGAGTGGTGACCAGTCAAACAAACAGGGTCAGCCCCCGCATTCCCCAGTTTTTGTCTCCAGATTCTGTCGTTTCTTTTTTATCACATCGGTTCGTCATCACTTGCATAGTTGCAAATTAATTCTCCTACCCACGAATCACACCTTGTCTGGCTTCGATCCGCGGCATTTGCACTTGCACGAGCCCAAAGTTCCCATCACGAGCACCATCGCATCCTGCCCTCCACACCCTCTTGTATGCCTGAAAGCAGCGCTTATTGGTCAAAGAAATGTTAACATGCAGGGGAGCCAAACTGTTTTCATCAAAAGTCGTCTGCAATTCAGGGAAAAAGTCATGTTCGCAAGCAATGAAGCCCGCTCGCCAATTCCTTGATCCTTGGTACACAATGTCTGATGCTACGCTGGTCACCCGAGTCATCATGTTCTTTCCTTGTGGTTAGCAGGCCGCCCCCATCACAAATATCTTGCCGACGTCACATCACCTGATCCAGAACATACTCAACAGCAATACCTGCTTGCAAGTACCACTGGTTTTGCATTTTTAGTGTGTTTCCTAAGATCACCTTACTACCCCTGATTCTGATGTATAATAACAGAGCCATCCAACTCTTTCACAAAATCAGGATCGACCCAGACACTTTCCCATGAATTTTTCCATGTCTTCTCCACCAGAGTGTTTTACACACGAATGGCAAACAGCTACAATGGCACAGCCGCAAGTCAGACGCAGAACAAGTCTTCACGACAAGCTCAGAATAAGGCAAAAGCCTTTACCCCTCCTGGATACCGTGCCCGACAATGAGGAAGAAAGACCGCGCTCCAGCTACCAGCCTAAGCATGCTGCCGCCGACTTTTCTCGCTTGACGACTACACCACCACCCTCGATTTTCAACGTATCCCGATCACGAGTCACAGAGTCCGAGACAAGTCAGCTATCCCCTTCACAAACACGGCGAGTATACCGCCGCCCAGAATCGGCAAATCCTCTGGCCGAGATACGATTCCGCGGTCAACGGCGGGACATGGCATCCGCATTTTCGCAACAAGAACAGTCCAAGCCAGCTCATCTATCAAGACAACCACCACAGACTGTCACGAAACCGGTTCCTCTCACCGACTACGAGCTTTTCCTTGCACGAGCAGAACTCGAAGAGAGAGCACACCGGGACTTGTTACAGACTATGGATGCCCAGCTACATGACAGTCTCCATGATCTCATCAGGCCAAACCCTCATCAACAGTTTGCCTCGCTGTCTCCTACGAGGCTAAGCGCAGGTTCGACCGCAGTAGCTGGGACAAGTCGGACAACGACCGGCAACAAGAGTCGTGAGAGCCGCACCAGCTGGGCCCCCCGTTCTGCAACCGGCAACACGGCGGCAGAGATCGTTGCGTCCCAACAACACGAGGGAACTCTAGGAACACAACCTCACCATGTCAGTTCACATCATCAGTCACAACCAGATTCAAAGCGCCGTCCAATGATGTCCAACGGCGTCAAGGCATCAATACATCGCTCAGGCACTGTAGGTCGGATCTCGGGCGACGGCCTTGCACAGCACCTAAGGGATCCCACTCTGAAGAGGCAAGCAAGCTTTGCCCAGAAAATCGCCGAATACATTCGGCCTCCACGACCCGACGTCATGGATATATGGAGAAACGAGACAACTTTGAAGTTGACACGGTCTAAAAGTCAGGCTGGGCTAAGGAGGCTGGTGGCTGTTCCAATTCACCACATTGAGACGCTGGCAGAATAATCATCACTCAATTACTTGGTATTGCTAATGAATGTTACACGCTACCTCTCCATGACGCTGTCCCCTTTGCTCTTTTTTGAACTTTCTGTTTCTGCGTCTCGTTGTGTAACGTTCGTACATGATGTTAACGACTGTGGGATGACCAAGACCCATTCACCGGCTCATCATTCAACCCTCAATAAGCTAACGCGGTATCTCCACCCGGTCAACAACCCCTCCAAACTGATTTGCTTCGGTCGCCCTTCTCAGTGCCGGCACCGCCTCATAAATCAGTTTATCCCCCAATCCAAGCATTACGCACACCGTTCCACCTTCGTAGTACATGGAGATTGAGAAGCTGCATATCTTCCGGGATCGTTTCCTTTAGGCTCCTAACGTACGGTCAAGGCCATCATTACCACGTTTCGTGTGCCTTGACCGCTGATCGAGCACTATTATGAGCCGATGTACTCACATAATTGGCATATCCGCATCGAGGTAATGCGGGGAAGATAGGTGCGCTTATTGCCTCTTGGGTTCTGTCGTGGGAAAATGGATCGCGAATTAGACAGTAGCGATTGCATTGCTTACTGTGTTTCCAGTGAGGTCGCTATGATCCCATCCAGAGTAATGAAGACTTCTGGTGAGGTACATACCTGAGCGAGTGAAAAGCTTGTGGAGTTGTAGCCAGGACATTGAACCGTATCCTGGCCCAAAAAGTGAACGGGCAAGAGCTTGTCCTACTGATCACTGCAATGGGACGTGGAACCGGGCGTGGCTTGACTAACTAGGATAGACTTCTTCTTGTGATTATAGAAAGAGAGCGGCATGGGGGTGATGTAACCAGAACAATAGCAATTGAATGTTGGTAAGTTGCAGGTGATGGTTGCGATCTGCTTGCTTGTTCATTCTCTTCGACGCCGGCATGTCTTTTGATCTAGGGTACCTCCTCAGAGCAGCAGCCCTCATGAGAGAGTTGTTCAACCAAATTAAATATTTTGGCAATCAGGTTTCGATGAAAGCCGGTGTTTAGATCCTGATACTTGATCCGGCCGCATTTGCCAGTTGGCGATGGCCGTGTGTAACTGGGACGTTCTGAACGCTCTGGGGACTCTGGTGTCGGGGTTGCAACAATGTTACTCTTCGGACGCTGTCTGGATTTGTACCGGACCGACGACCATCCAATATGCTTATACAAGTGGAAGGTCCTTGATCATGACGCGAAGCCTTTGGGAGTTTACCCATTATCGACGTGGAGGACGGTAGCACGGGAAGCGTGCAGGAGGGCATGCTGGTCGGGGGTGAGGGTGGCCATCGGAGAAGGTATGTTGCTACATAAATGAACAACGCGCGTGAAGAAGAAAGAGAAGTATGGGGAAGAGCAACAACGAGTACAGATTTAGCCCTCGCCGCGCCGCTCGCAGTTTGTTCTTCTTTGAAGTCCCTGTCCCCATGGGGTTCAGCATCGCCGTGTTATTATGCACGAGGCACCATCTTAGCGGGCAATGGGTGTGAATTTCGATAAGTGTATACCTAGCTTTATCATAATCACGGAATATTGCATGTGTACCGAAGTGTTTGTCTGTTCCACTGCCGACGTAGATGAACGGTAGTTCCTATGGCTTCTTGAAGACCAAGATGTAGACGGAAAGGCCGTGTTTGTCGGTACAGGTAAATTCGGGCAGGGCCTTGATGTGTCCAATGTTGGGGATGTGGCGCTTTTGAGATGGTTAGGCTGAGGGGGAAGTGTGTTTCAAAGTCGAAAACGGTCTCCCACAACGATGACAGGATCGATGGGAATTGCGACTGGATGGATCAATGCGGTATGTGGTCCACACAAGATACTTGCTTCGAACGTGCATTGCTCTTACCTGGAAAATTTCTATGGCCAGTCATTGGAGGCAATTACGGAAGGGAAGGCGCAAAGTCTCGTACAAATATCCCAGATCGTAATGCGGCTGGTTTTGAAATGGATGTGCCGGCGTAGTGACGAAGGCGACTTCGTTTGGCGAAGTAGATCCAAGTTTGCATTTACCTCAGCGCCGGCCGCCACCCGACTTAATTCTGGCAAATGTCCCAGTGGCTCCTCGTCCCAACTTTGAGGACATTTAGCCATATCAACTGGACAACCAGCTATATGGACCAGACAGAAGCTTTCCGAAGTTAGAAAACCGCGCATTGCCATTCTATTACAGAGGGACTTGAAGTTCGACAAGCAATACCGTTCGACCCTCGCAGGATCCTTTCGTTGGAACGTTAATACCATAAAACAGCGAATGGTGGTGATGGTTATACCTTCTCAGCATTGGCAGCGTCAACCCAGATTAGATCTACCATCGACAAACTTGACCATGACGGTCATGAAGTGGTAGCACTCAAGTACGCCATTAAAGGTACAATACTTAGTCTTCCTTTTCCTCCAATGAACCACCCTCACGCTCTCCATAGAACCGTACCGTGAGCACCACAGTCTGGCTGCACCTTCTACATCCTGACCGGCACCCCGCAACCCCCAACGGGCAAGTACGCCTTGGTCGACAAAATCAAGGCCAAAGCCAAACGACACAAAATGGAAGTTACGGGAAGCGCTAGTACCTACGCACCTTGCCAACGAATGAATCTACAAGCCAGCCAATTTGTCGACTTCAAGGGTAAGGAGTCCCAACTCCTCCAGGCATCGACGCCCAAGCGCATGGCGTTTTTGTTACAAAGGTGTAGGTGCGCATTTCACTAGGACCTGATCGACAAAAGCCATTAAGAACCAGCTAGGTGATGTAGACCTACCTCGTAGGTGGTGATGAAACACTGCATCATCTCCTTCGTCTCGACGGTCTCGTGACACGGCACCGAAAACTCGTCGTACAACTAGGCAAGGACGGCATACCTGTTGAGCCTCTCCAACTCTCCATTCCCGCTTTCGGATGGTATAAACACTGCATTACTTGTAGATCCTCTATTCGAAAGCGTATGTTGAATCAATCAGACACTCGATTTTCAAGGGATGAGAATCTTTGAAATGGAATCTCTTCGCTCTACGGCAGGTCATCACTCGTGTTCGCCAGGATGTACATGGCGTACTTCATGGCAACACCATCCCGGTCCTCGTGGTCTTTCTCCCCGTCGTAAAGATCGGAATCTTGATGGTTGCCAAAGGGGTAGATATTTGCTGGGAATGTGTATGACTCCCTGTAGTTTTTTTTTTGTTGTATATCATCTTTGGATGACTGGGGGCACATTCCTTTGGTCGCATGGAAGCACGTATTCCGGAGCTTCCCATGTCGATGGATGGCCATGAGGACATTGAACGGCGGGCTGTTGAGCGGCTGCTCTTCTCGCGACTGCTGCTTCGTGTGCAGTTCTCGTCATACGCTGCGTAGGTGTTGGCGTAGCTGAAGTGAGATTTCGGGTAACTGCTGCCGGGCCTCTGGCCTTGCAGTGTTTGATGTTTTCTAACTCAAAGGTCTTACGTCGTGATGGGTAGAGGCAGAGACTTTGCCTATAATATATAGCGTATATAGATAGATGGGCAATAATCCGTCTTTGTACCTCTAGATCGGAAGTTGTTAGACCTACTGGTTGAAAGAAGTGGGTGTTGAATGTAAAGGTAGAGAGAAGAGCGGTTTGGCCGCTTCCTTTTCAGATTTTTTCCAAGTCCTCGGAGGTTGATGGTTTATTTCATCCACACTCATCTCATCACGGCCGCGCCTACTCCTTGCAGGAAAATATGTGGTAGGGTATGGCATTGTATGGGGAGTTCCGCTTGTCTACATAGCTGCTATTAAGAGCCATATAGAGAACCCCGGAACAGAAGGGACAGTATGGCGATGTGGAGGAAACTCATGATGATGTCACGATGATGACGGCGGTGAAGACCAGCATGCAGATGGCTTTCTCCTTGGAATGATGTGACTTTGTGAAGTGAAAACAGGGCCCGTATTTGCGGACACGAAATATGCTAAGAATCTTGATAAATGTCAATCTATCGGATATTCTCTTACTTTTTATATACCTGCCCATGACTCCTTCGATTCTCCATGACTCCTTTTTCCCTGAGAACCTGCTCCTGACCTCTATACATCCTCTTTTGTCATAATGTAAAGTGTGACAAGCTTCGTCACCTCCAAGAACTGGCTGGAGAGTGTCACCATCATCCATGTCCAGCACTGGATGTAGCGATCCCCTTCTCCTGTGTTCTCTCCAAGCCTTCAACAGTCACTCGACCATAACATCACTCCCTCTCATTCGATCAGTAGCAATCACTCCAAATCCTCCATAGCCACATCCCCATCTCTGTCCCTCTTCCCAATCAGCCCCTGGTTATGTTTCCTTGCCCATTCATCGTTGACAGGCCAGCGGGCAGTATCTTGGACAACTGTTGAATAAACACAATGTTAGCATCCATCATCAAAACACAGCAACAAAATCAAAGGGTAATTAACCAGAATGACGACTAACCTTCCATAGCAAACCTCGCAAATATCTCTTCCTCTCCCTCTACCTCAACACCACACTCCACAAAGTGCTCCACCGCTCTGTTTCTCTTGAACGGATGCCTGTCGAAGTTTGGGGTATCGGCCAGACAGACTCCGAGCAGCTCAGGGGCAGGGCAAGCGAGGGCAAAGAACTTGTTGCTGTTGTCGTTGTTGCTCCCCTCGTCAGCATCACGGCCAGTGTCGTCGCTGTCGTGGTCATCGTCGTCGTCGTTCTTCTTGCCAGATTTGGAGGTACCGAAACCAGCAGCAGCGAGAAGATGTTGTTCCGCCTTGAAAGCCCAGTACTTGCCCTTTTTTGACTTGGGAGCGCTTGATTGTGGCACGCTGAGCGGCGGCGGCCGGCTTGGAGCTTGAGGACTTGGTAATTTTGTTTGGTTTGTTGTTGTTGACGGGGGCAGTGGCTGCGACGGCAGAGGAGGAAAAGGTGGATGGACCGGGTGAGGCGGTTTCGGCTTTACCTTTTCCTTTGTCTTTCTTGGGAGACAAGGCTCTGGAGCCGGAGGCAGATGCGCTGGCTTTTGTCACGGTCGTGGTGATTGACTACGAGGTGGCGGCGGGGGCGACGTTGTCCTCGGCAATGTCCGTGGCCTTTCCTTTGCCCTTCTCTTTGGCTGTGAGTCGCTTGCGGGAACGATGGAATGGTTCGGGGGAAGAAGAGCGAGAACGAGCGCGTGTTGTAGGGTTGGTACCGTCGGTAGCGGGGCTAGGATCGCGTTGTCCAGCTCTGGCCTGGGCACGAAGGGAGCGAGCGGTTTGAGCAGGAGCCGTAGTAGAGGTAAGCTCGGTGGGCTGTTGTGGGTTTGAGGTTGTGGCTGCCGGGGCAGCTGATGGCAGGTTTGGACGTGTGCTGCTGTTCCCACACTCAAACGCCTGTGCAGTCTTGGCGGATGTGTGCGTGTGCACACACACACGACTTTTTGGTAAAACGGACTATCGATGAGATTTTATTTGTTTATATTTCTACTAAACGAAGAGATAAAAGAAAACCGACTCAAGATTCTGAATTAGCGTATTTGAGACTATTAGGAGAATAGTCTCTTATATAGGAGAACTAAGTTTCTTCATCTTCGTCTTTCGTTTCGATGGTCCGTTTTGCCAAAAAGTCGTGTGTGTGTACACACGCACACATCCGCCAAGACTGCACAGGCGTTTGAGTGTGGGAATGGAGGAAGCGGTTGCCTTGACGGTGGGCTCCTCGTCGACTTCCCAATAGGCAATGTTTTTCGGGTCCTTCGCGCGGAGTGCGGCGCGAGCGGCGGCAACTTTGGCGGCATAATCGGGAACAAGGGTGCCAGGATGGAGGTGATGAACCTCAAACCACGGATTGCCCCATGGGTTCTCTCTTGTTCGAGGAACCCGAAATGGGTCGGGCTCCGGCGAGGAGTTTCTTGGAAGAAAATCGGCATTCTCAGCGCTGTCGAGCTGGATTCTGTCCTTGAAGTTCGCGTCGTACCATGGGTGAGTTCTCATCGGGGTTACTCTGATCGACCACCCATCCAACGAGTTGCTTGCGTCGTAGTCCACCATCAACGGGATCTGCCAAAATTGCTGTTTGTCGAGCAGCACCATTCATTTCATGGGCGAGTTGAGAAGGGTTGTGAAGTCGTCCTGCAGGTCTTCGTAGCGCTTCTTGTACGCTTGTAGGGTTTTGAGCGTCTCTTCCCACTTATTGCCGTACGTGATCAATTCTTCTGTAAAGGTGACAAACACCTTCATGGCTTGCTGGTGGACTTCCTCGAGTTTGTGCTTTGTTTTGCGCCAAGCTTCGTCCTCCTCGTCATTGATCTTGACGAATTCCGGAGTGAAGGGTTTGTGGGGAACGTAACCCTGTTCATTGGGCTGGTCCTTGGACGTCGTTGCGTTCTCCTTGCCGCTCATGGTGTAAACTTCTGGGACTTGGAATGCGTGGAAGGTTGTCGCCGGGTGCAGACGCTTCTCGACTCTGAGGAAATATCGAGCAGTGAGATAGGAAGCGGATGTGGCTTAATTGGTGTACAAGGGAGTCGCTATTGACAAGTAGACGGCAAATACGTTGACAGCACTTCTTTGTGTGTTGGTGCAAGGAGAAAATTCTTTGTGTTCGGGCGTTCGGTGAAGACGATGAACCGATAAGAAATTAAGGGAAGAAATGCCAAGAGTCAGATGATATGAAGCTATTGATTGTGCTTTTGTCGACGCCCATTACCTGTTCAATTACGTCTGCTGAATACTTCCAAGTGCCTGAATTGGGATTGCTAGTATTGTGCTTCAATATTTCCATTCAATCCAACCCCAATCATTCAAACCATAGCCGGCATCAAAGTAATAATTTCCTGGATCGCTAGATGGAGTTTTTCTGCAACTTCAAATTTCCCACAATATCAAATGAATAACCTAGAAGCCCACCCAACAAATCTTTTATAGATTTTACAAACGTACCGACATACCTAGGTACAATAGGAGGACACTCAATATCGTAAGCAAGATGATGAAGGAGGAAAGATCGAGTGAATGGGAATCATGTAACCTATTGAGCATAAGAGGACTTGTGAAACAAAACGGATATTTTTATATTTGTACGTACGTCTTGAGTTCGTAGTTCAGTTGTACGGTACCTCTACTATAGGTAGTACCTCAAATCACGACCTTAACTACCCAACAGCCCTCTAATTGTTGGTTCAAGTTGCATCGACTGGAACACATTACCCCCCAACTGAACTCTCGTCTTGCCGTCTATCGTCCCATATTCCAGCCCCTCCGATATCCAGACTACCTGAGCCTTGCTCCTTCCTCGTCGAATCCTTCGACAAACGAACCTATCTATGACCCACTAAAGTATCCAACTGGAATCCCTAACCAAATTTTCCGGACGACCAAGATTACTGCCTATTCAAACCAGGTGTCCCTCGTTCTGCCCTTTTATCCCTTCTCCTTCGGCCGGCACCAACCTTTCGCGTTCTTCCCTGGCTCTTGAACTTGCCAGCATCGCTACTTGTCTTCAACCAACGTGGCTAGAATTCCAATCAAGACTTTCGCTAAATCTACAGCAGAGCTATAACAGCGTCTTCCTTCCACTCTCAAGCTTATCCCTTTATTACTATTGCTCGTTATTATACCACCTAGTCATCAAGCAAGCCAAACGATGGAGGACAACACGCAGTAAGTATGCCCAAGAAAGCACCTATCAGGTGGAAATGCCGCCTATGAAACAAACAGCAATATGAACAACCTTGAAGTCTCTGAAATGTTCGTACTGACCAAATGCTTTCACTTCTAGAGGTGGGGAGCATGTCTGCATCGGCATCGACTTTGGAAGCACCGGTGTTCGGGCCTTCGCATGGTCGGTAGGAAAGACCGGAAAATATTTTCCTAACCTACATCACCTTCGTATCAGCCTGGATGGCATGAACTATCCTTCTCATAGCTATATCTACAATGACAACGAGCCCATATATATTCCTCGGAATCTCACAGTAGACCGTATGCCGGAATCGCTCAAATACGGTTTCTACTTGCTATCTGGCGACCCGCATAAATTAATGGATCAGTACCCACTGATGAAGAGACTGAGGGATGCCTGCAACGATCAGATTCGAAACAAACTGCGAACCGGCATTACTCAAGTGCTTCAGGACTTGAAAACCGCGATCGAAAGCAATGAAGCGTTCATGGCCAACGGGTGGAGGATCGGTCGACTATGTGTCACCGTCCCGAATCAGTGGACGTTGGAATTTAAGGAGGTCTACACCAGACTTCTGGCTCAAGCGTTCGACTAGACCTTGGGCGAGGCCAGATCGAGGATACTATACTACACAAAGACAGATGCTCTTACCCACTTCTTGCTCTCTACGGATGATTATATTCAAATTACCAAGCTCTTACATAGACAAGAACAACAGAGGGTTGTACTCGTTCTGGATTTTGGTAGTCATAATTTGGTAAGATTCATTCACTGCCCTCGCATGAACATGTACATTTCATTTGGACAGTAAAGTGCTAATACCTCACCACAGAATAGTGCAATTTTCTGGGTACAGAGTACTCAGCACCAGGAACCCAAGTTTTTCAGACATGGGGAAGCATTTAGTTAGTACCACTTCGCAACAGCAGCAACAACTAAACGGTTCAAACTCAAGTTCACCGTTCAACTAGATACTGATCGTAATATAGGAATTAGTGGTGGTGGAGGAGAGCATCTCTACTTCAATGTGCTTCGGGCTTGCGAAGAGAAGTACAAGGCACAAACCGGCGCTGCTGTGGGGGATAGGCTATCTGCGGCTGCAAAAGAACAAATAAGGCAAAAATTCGTCATGGAGTGTCGTCACTGTTGGGGTCCAGGCGACCATCTTCCTAGCCCATATGCCTTCCATTTATTCGACAACAACTTTCAACACGTGCCACTCATTTTCAGCAAGAGTGAGATCGATGATCTTTAGGAGAGGGCGTACGAGGGGGTGATCGTTGTAGTCAGGAGGGAGCTACAAACCCTCAAAATACTGGCATCAAAAGAGCATGGCGGATCCATGCCTATCCCTTTGGTCATTAGAGCAGGAGGGAGCATCGGCAATCAACCTCTATATGATAGGCTACAGAGCCTCATCAACCAGTTTGATATCGCGGATACCACGTTTATCAACAAAATTGGACTGGATTACGAGTCAGTCATTTTCCCTCACGTGAGCTACTAGGTTTCTATTGGTATTTACTAACAACAAGGCCTTACACCATATACAGCACCGTTCGGCTTGCGAGGGGAGCACCTATGGCAACGGTAGACATGGTCACTGTTGAAGATTTCCTCAAGCAAGGTGTCTGTATCGACATCCAGATGCGGCAACGCCACACTTACAAATGGGACAACAGCGCGACCACAATTTTCTACTATGTGAGTCCCCCCCGGCCCCCTGCTTCTACCATGTACACTCGCCCATGGCACAACCACTTTCCTAGAGGACGACAGGCTCCGTCCTAACACATTTCTCCTTTTTCTTCAACAGTGTACCAGAACAGGACATTACAGGGGAAATTTTGATTGCCAACTCCTCAACATTCGCGACGGCGATGAGTTTTGTCTTGTGTGTGATCCCTGGTACGCTGATAAAAACCCAACCCTCCAAAACGAGGACCCCAACTACCTTCCTCAGATGAGCGCCGAGCGTGGGTACGTTCTGCTTGGAGGTCAACCCTCTATTTTGCCCCCCAGTCGCGCTGAGGGTAGGTATTTCATCAAAGCGGATATCAGAGGAAATGGAAACGACATGGAGCTTGTCCTGGACATAGCGCTGGTTGCAAACCCCAATCGAGCCCGAAGTAGCCTCTACGAAAAGGTCGATATCCACCTCCCGCTTTACTATGAAGGTGGAAACAACTGTGTTTTTGTCGGAGAAAGGGGAAAAACCTTGGGCGAGGCCATCAGAGACTTTCAGGCTAGGCGCCGCCTTGATGTCCAGGACTTCCTCAACCACGCGTCATAAGAAAGCCACACGGCCATGGCTGGGAACCCCCCGGAACTTTTCTCGGCTTTTTTGCTTTACTTTCTTCTACCTTTCTCTTCTTCTTGGCTTCAAGCGAACCAGTCACACTTATTGTCAGCCAATTTCTTCACCTTAACCATAAGGAAGACGACATACAACTGGAAGTCCACTTGCAGGTTCTCAGCTCAGCTATGGGAGTCATTTTGGCAGTGGAAGCACGGTTTTCAACATGGAGGAAACGCAAGTTGTGTTCTCAATGGCAAGGGCATTGGGAGTCCGAGACAAGTGTTCTCCAAGCTCAACATTCAGTGGCAACTGGGGATCTCATCTGCTTCTCGTCATCAAGACGTGAAGTTCGCGAGCTTTGCGCAATCGAATCAGCAACACGTTGACCTGGATAGATTTGAACACGACGAGGAGCGGATATAGCAGGACTTGACCGAAAAAGCGGAAAGAGCTACTGGGTCTCTCAATCAGCAATCATCACGTTGACGATAGCGACTCACGTTGAGAAAGTGAAAAAGGGCCCGGATATTTCAGTTGAAGTTATGGTGCACGATACAAATTCAAACACCTGAAGCAACAGCATTTCACGAGTCTATTACACCTAAAGGGCATCACCAACGGATTCAACGGTCAATCTTTACGTTTTTGAGAATCTGCTCAATTCACGTTGCGTGGGTGAAACGAAATCTTGTTGAGTGTCTTGGAAACCGAAGTTGGAAAGTGGACGTTAAAGCGCACCGAAATTGGGGGTGGGTGCGGGTCGTGCTTTCCTAAATGAATCTGCAGGTACAAAGCGCGGATAGACGACTAATATGCAGCGGCGTGACGCCGCTATGGCCTTCAACTTCTGGTTCTATGGATGTGATGCTGTCCGACGTGTTTGCAATTTTACATCTAGTACAGGGGTAGTTATCATCATCATTACAAGACATCCCTAGAAAGCTTGCCAGCTTGAGGTATCATAGCAAGTTGTATATATGTGTTTTCTTGGATAACAGGAGAGGCTTCGAATAAGTTTGCATGCCTGTCACCTTGGACACCAATAATCTGCTTTGTATGCATAATCGTGCGTCTTAAAGGGCAAATAGGGGAATTGGGCAGTTGCAAATGGTCTTATTTGGGTACCAAGTGGAAGCGAACAAGCAAATCTGCATTGAACTGTTCCCGTCAAGCGACACATACACCGTCGACGTCGAGAAGACGACGATAAAGCATCAAGGGCACACGGCCCCCAACGATTCTAGAATCCGGATCACAGACAACTTTACTGCTAATGTTATGATTCCATCCATGGGCTTGTGCTGCTCGTACTCTGTTGAGTCTGTTGCTCTTCTTTTCCCCTCTGTTACCCCTTATCAATTTCCTCCGATATCAAATGCTGATACACCGTTGGATCTGACGATGTAACTTGACGTTGTCAACGGGGGGGACATCCTGAATGAAACGAACAAAGCAAACGCTAGAACTTGCTAGAACCTTGCGACGATGTAAGAAAATTCAGAAATCCATGCAGAATGACCACCGGCGACAAAGCTTTTTGTCAACCACAAGCCCAACGCCACACCATCTTGGGCGTATCCTTCAATCTCAATCCCCCGCCAAAACAAATCGCCGTTGCTGTTAGTCACGTCAGCCACCGCCAAGTTAATTATTGATCCGCTGAGCCCTGTCGAAGTGTCGATTCCAATCTTCTTAAGCTCTCGGGGGGCAACCCGCCTTCAAGGTCGTCAAAGTGGTGGCTCCACTGGAGTTTCGCACCGGGCTATGAAGAGTATGTTGTCAGTGCAGGTTCCATTTGTCATGTAGCTGTTAGCTGCAGAACTTACTCATTGACAGGGGACGGTTAGTGGCCGTCAAATAAAGACCGCCATGGGGAGGTTGGCCTCTCTGATCATGGCCGATACCTTGCGCCTCCAGGGGTCGCTTCTCGTGCTACCTCCGGCAATGCAAATCACTGCTTCGGGGATAGTGCCATTTACAGCATCTGTGGTACTCTTGCTCAACTTCTCGAGTAGATTTTCGACAAGCTCGAAGGTAGCTTTATGCGCTTCGTTCCAAGCTTGATCGATCTCGGCTTGGTCGAACGTGCACGAAATAACCTCCCCATGTTCTACCAAGCGCACAGTAAAGGTGAACTGCTGTTCCTCTCCGAGATTGTAAAGCTGAGGGCCCCAGTTTTCTCTAACCGCCGATTTGGTGAATTGTTTCCGAATCTGTTCGGCGATGAAAGGGGACATTGGGCGTGCGGGTCCCTGGCAGCCAACAGGGGGGTCGAGGCATTTGGTTTGAAAAGCGGCCAGGATATTGTGCAGCAGATGCTCACTGCCGCCGCAGGCACCTGAAATCGTCACCTGTCAGTTTAGGCCACGAGATGGTGGAGTTGGTGGCACGGGAATGATGAATCCTACCAAATGCGTCTTCCATTCTGTAAAATCGCGGCGGTCCAGCATGGCGCTTCTCCACGCGAAACAAAGCTCCGTTCTGGGTTGAAATGTTAGCAATAGGTAGAAGGTAGTTTACAATTAACCAGATAAAAGCATAAAGGCACATACCAGGTTATGTCCGCCGTGCTCAATGACCAGCCAGACTTGGCCAGGTTTCGATGACCTGACGTAAGGTTCCTCTCTGTTCAAGAGGGAATGAGCTAAGCTATCAGGTTCTTTGGTGAAGCTGACCTTGTCGTATGTCGTCATCCGGTCCCAGTCGAAGGCCTCTCCAATAAGAGCCAGAAAAACACGTTGAAACTCCAGGCCCCATTGCGCCGGCATTCCTACGGAGAGACGATCGATCTTCCAGTGCTTGCGCATATTTGCGAGGCTCCACCTTCGGACTGTTTTCAACAGCTCCAGGATTCCGGTTCGAAGTTTTTGACGAAATTCCTCGCTGTCGTGTTGACGAAGCTTCTGTAGCATAGGACACTGATCCACGAACCTATCCGATGCGTTTGCAAGAATATAGAATCCGTACTTGAGCGAAACAGATTCGCGGTTGGCCAGACGAGCTTCGCCCATGTACACGGGGCCTTGGTCATCGAATGGATAGCCATGAGAGGCAAAAATCTTGTCTTTGGTGTAGTTAAAAACAACGCGAGTGCCAGAGCTGCCGAGATCCAGGCCGACCTTAATAGTCCCGCTAGGTCATAGAAGATGGGTCAGTACAGATGTTAATGGGGTAGGCAGTGATTGGCAAACACACCATTGTTCGTCCATGAACTGGAACATATCCATGGGGTCAAAGGAGTCAGTCATGGTGGGAAATCTGTTGAAGTCCTGTCCGCTTTGTCCCAATCGTCTGCGGCAATGAAGCCTAGTGGGGGGAGGCGCGAAACCGAGTTGGCGCAAAGAGAGGAAGGATCTCCGGGTCAGAGTCGTGGAGAAAAGGGAAAAGAGAGGGTGAAGAAGGAAGAGAAAAGCAGACGACGTATTGCTTTCTGCCCCGTTGCATGTTGGAGGTAGAGGAGCAATGAGTAGAAGACGGGCGAGGATTCGGGGCAGTCTACTTATACCACCAGGAAGGGACTGGTGTGCGGGTGGAGAGAAGCCCCAGCCCAAGTGAATGGGCACCTAAGGTTACGGGGCACGGACATCAACAAACAGAACAATCCCATCCCCAAGTGTCACGTCCCTTCACTGATGAGTACACAGTGCCTCACCTAAATGCTGTCCGGTACATGACAAATAAGCCCCACGCATGATAGTGAAGGGACGCACCATCAGACCAACAGACGCCAAGAAGGTTCACCAACTGAATTGGGCCCCCAAGGAGGAACATTATTTCGTCTTGTGTTGACAGGACTTCCATCTGCTCGAGGGGCGGTGGAGTACCTGTCGAAAGGCATCCAGTTGACCGATTCATGATCATCTTTTCCCGCCGTTGATGGCTTGATGCCATACCGTTGGCTCTTTTTCTGACTTTCCAGCACTGTTCCTCGCGAGACGAATCCTTTACCCAAACCCGCCGGGCCTCCTGCCGTCCGGCATTTCTTGCCAATGCCTCCCATACCGGTCCCTCCCATTGAGCCTCCACGCCGACACACCAAGCAAGCGTATTCTCTTCCGCACGACTACCCGAGCCCACCGCGGTCGCTGTGTCGGTACTGCCAATGCCGCCCCAGCGCCTGCTCCCGCCCCCATCGCAGTCCTCTCGGTCACCGCGCCCAATTCTTCCGCACCCGCAAACGAAAAGACCACCCACACGAGGCGGATCAAGTCCAAAGAGAAGAGCAAAGAAGAAGCCAGTGACTCAACACCGAGTCAAAAGACGACAAAGGCAGCGGGCGCAAGAATAGGAACAAGCATAGCAGGATCTCCAAGGCCAGCACAAGCTCCAAGACCACCTTTGCTGCGTCACAGCGCGCGACGAACAAGCAGTCACTGGTTAAAAAGGAAGAGTATCTGGCCCCCGAGGCGCCGGAACCTGTCATGGCTCCCATCTTTTTTTGACATTTCTTCAACATTGGAGGAAGGGCGAAACGCTCGCCCTGCTTGGTGGAAAAAGGAGGATGTGTTGATGGACAAGCATTGAGGCTCCAACTCCAATGTGAACGGCTTGAAATGAATGATGTGTTTGTTTGTTAGTCATGGAAAAAAATCAAGAAAATAGTCACCTGCCCATTTGCTGGCCATAGATGGATGTGGGTCACAATCGGTCTATACGACTGGATCCCCAACAACTGGTATAACGCGACTGGTGTAGCAAAAGACCATTGAGAATGCCAGTGCTCTTGAGAGAGACTATGGAAGAGTGACAAAGGTAGACATCACCTGGTTGAACAAGCAGTATATAGCCATCATGTCCTGCCACAATATCTGGCTGGGCGTCCCTCCCACGCTGATGGTTCCGCCCATGCCCATCTCCCCGCCTTCGCTTGTCACAACACGTGTGCTGACTGGTGTCTGGTCCCAAAGTGCCCCTCTATCCTACCGCACATTCTTGACAGTACACTACAATGGGTTGCAGTCTCTCGCCGAACGTCCCGTATACCCCACATTTGCATGAGCTTTCAATAGTGGGCGACACGTGTGTTGAGGTTAGCCAAGGGGGAGTTTTGGGATTTTGGTAGGAATGTAACGTGTATCACCCCATCGAACCCCACGGGAGGGCCGAATATGGTTGCAGTATACAGGGGTTGCAGCTAGAACCCCTTGTTGCTGCAGGTATCGGGAAACAGGGTCTTTCTTTCCTGTGCATGGCTCCCAGCTGGAACCGCAATAGAAAGGCCAGGCATCCAGAGAATACAACGGAACTCTTTCTGCATTTTCCACAGTGACCCATCAGGGTAGCAAAGACTGTACAGCTTCCGTTTGTGGATGCCGACTCCCGGTACGATGCTCCTCTTGGCTTCTCCTCTTCCTGCATGCCGTGCTTAAAGTCAGGCCCTTTCTCGCTCCTCGGTCAACAAGTCCTACTCCCGTCCTTCTCTCATCACCCAAAAAGACTCCCGTCAGACTGTTCACCCAGAAACCGCGACCATGGTCACCAGTCCCCAAAGTCCCAAGGGCGAAGCAGCTGCTGCTCCAGCCCCGGCCTCGGCCCCGCTCAGTGCCGAAGCGCAAACCGCCGCGGGCATTCTTCCTGCGTCGCACTGGACAGAGCAAGCGGTAACTCCCTCTGTTCATTACTATATTATAGCGCGGATTCGAAACCTGGTGTTGTGTAGGAGACGCGTTCTTCATGGACTGCCAGATGCGTTTGGGGGCCGTTGATGAGCACGTATTTGGTTGACACTACCAGCCTTGCATTCCCGACCCCCAATATCGCGAGACTCTACTGTACTTGATGTTCCAGGCACCGCAGCTAACACACTTCTCTCTACTTTGCAGCTCCCGGAAGAGGGCCCGGGCAATGATGGCGCCTCGACACTTGGATCTTTCATGTCAACCACCGCTTCTCTGGCTTCGAGTATCTACCAATACCGCACCGTTCAAGGAAGAACCTATCATGGCGAGCTGGGTAATGCTGAATCGTGGGAACCGAACGATCCGCGTCACGTCGAGGCCTTGGATCTCTTGTAAGAACCCGCATACCCGCAGATACCTGATTAACCATGGCTGTGAGCTGGTTGCCTTTAGCTGTGTTGTTCCAATCAAGACTCCTTCGTCTTGTTGCGACGACAGCCAAAGGCAACCAGCTCACACGCACGATCAACAATGACTGCTTCGATCATACAGTCTAACAGTTGAAAAGACACCACGCTCTGATGTTGCAGACAGACGGCAAGCTGTATCTCGCTCCACTGGAGAAGAAGAAGGTCCAAAAGGTACTCGACATCGCAACAGGGTCCGGGCTGTGGTCCATGTGAGTGCCCCCTCAGTTTTTCTTTCTCCCCTCGAGTCCTTCTAACAACGCCGTTGTTTTCTTTAGTGATTTTGCCGACGAGTTCCCGAATGCCGAAGTTATTGGTACCGATGTCACGCCCATTCAACCTTCCTGGGTGCCGCCGAATGTCCAATTTGAATTGGAGGACTGCAACCAAGAGTGGACATGGGCCGCGAATACCTTCGACTTCATTAATATGCGCTTCATGAATGGTATCGTCACCGATTGGTACGCCCTCTTCCGTAATGCCTACAGAGTCTGCAAGCCTGGCGGTTGGGTTGAAAGCTCTGGGACTTCTGGAAGGTTCTATAGTCATGACGGGACGGTGAAGGAGGGGAGTGCTATAGACCAATGGGGCATAGTCTTCCGGGAGGGCGGTAAAAAGCTCGGAAGGACTTTCACTGTCTATGAAGAGGACGTTCAGAGGAAGGGTATGGAAGCTGCGGGATTCGTCGATATCCAATTCAGGGATATCGAAGTCCCTCTGGGTGTCTGGCACCCGGATAAGAAGGCCGCCGAACGAGGTCTCTGGTGGAAAATGGCTGTTGAGGCGGATATCGAAGGTAAATGGTTCTTCAAAGCAAAAACAAGGTGGAAAAACTACCAAGGGGGAAACGCCAACATACATCCGACCCCTTGATCGAAACTGCCGAGCTTGATGCTAACATACGGCCACAGGATACATCAACTACTTTTGGAATGCCGCCCTTGGCTGGACCCCCGAGGAGGCCAAGGTGTTCGCCCGTTATGTCAAGAAGGAATGGAACGACCCTAACATTCACGGCTACTTCATTTTGCGGGTCGCATGGGGCCGTAAGCCAGAGTGATTGAATGGAAGGGGGACTTGGAGGATGACGGATGGCAGTTGTCAGTCTCGCAGATTTTTGTATATTCCTCCGGTTTGAAGGGAAAACATGAGCATGACAGGCCTGGATGAACCTAGAAGACGTTTTCACCGTTGTGATTGACTCTTCAAACACCATACATACCATCACAATCAGCGCGATCATGAACATGAACGTAAACGCTACTCACTGCCCTAAAGCAAGTGCTTCGTCATCCTATTTCAAGCAGCCCGAAAACATGGTCTGTCTTTCCAAAAGTGAAGGACGATTTGATGGAACACTCGAAGCTTTGAGGCTCTAAATTTGAGTTGAAATGGCTTGAGAGCAGTGTGGTGTCTGTTCAACAGTACGGTTTGTGTTGCCAAGAGGACGGGAGTCATGAAATGAATCAAAGGAGTAGAGTCATCTCATTCTGCCAATGGAAGAAGGATACTTTTCACACTACATATAGTGTGATCGACCATGAGTCCTATACGTTGTTTCTCTGTTTCACGCTTCTACGCATATAATACGACCGCCGCATTTTTATCAGCTATATACGTCGGCAGATCTATATCATATGACCCACATCCTCTCTTCTTTCTCTTACCCGGTTTTAAACGACCTTCAGGTCCTTCCATCCTTGCCTTTATCAGTTCAATCCAGAGGTAAGTCTACATCACTAGCACTACTACATAACACGTCCCAGAACCCATAGCGTTGCGCCAGTGCCTGTATCAGGGCGCAACAATCGCGCGGCAGATCGAGCAGACAGGGGCGACAGAGTGGACAAGCCACGAGACCTTGGTGTACTATTGCGTGAGTTCGCTTTGGTGACTGCTCTACTCAACGCATATCTAGGATGGAACTGACCAGCTATGCCTTGATAGCACAAAGAAGACGGAGCAGAGATACACCCACCTTGCGAGGTCTCGGTTTTCGCGGGAGATCGCGTTCAGTTGATATGCGACCCCTTCTACGGCCAGGATAACGTGGGAGCTGATCAGCCGATCACGGACATGTTCCACACGAGAACCTACGACGTCCTTCGAGACATGCCCAAGGCCCCTTTTCGCGGGTCCTATACCTACAACGTGCGGCTCGAAGGAGATGACAATGGGGTGGTGATGAACCTTGGGGTCATCATGAAATCCGATGATGACGAGTTTGAGGTGATCACGAGGAACTATCAGGTTCCCTTTTACTTCTAATATCCCACAACATAGGAGACAACTTGTCGGTATTGATTTGGGATGTTCCGGAAGCCGTATAATGGTTGTTTGTCCTATTATGCGCCCATACGATGATCCTCAAAATCTCGTGGTCTGAGCTATCCATCCTATACGGAGATTCAACAATACCCCGTGGGTTGGCAAGACTTTCCAGCTCACGGCTATCCCTTCGATGATGATGCCCCGGCATATGACCTGAATACTAGATGGCGCCAGTTTGAGCCCGTACCGCTCAAGTACGCGTTTGTCCTGCTCGCTAAAGAGCCTGATGAGGCCGCCCCACGACATCCGATGGCGCAAGAGCCTGCTATATATGACTCTCCGGAGTTTCGAAGCAAGCCCTACTCCGGTCTAGTGACTTTGTTCAGGAGCATGCGCACATGCAAAGACGCTTATCTAACCGAGCGCTTGGGACGGTTATTTCACTACAACCGAGCGATGGACCATATATGTGTTACTATACCGGCACCTTGGAACTCTTCGTTCCAACAAGTTTACCTCAACGTGCTCGCCGAAGCGTTTAACATCCCTCGCGAGACGGTCCATGAACGCGTTACGTTTGTCACCGAATCGGATGCCTGGGCTCATTATTTTCTTGGCCCTCTACACGGAGGAGATGGTTATCGTAATGATGCGACGAGTGAAGGAGTTGTCCTCGTTCTATGTTTTGGTGGTCACATGATGGTATGTTTAACTCTTAGCTGGCTTCTGTCATTTTAGCTAAAGATTGCTTTACAGAACGGCTCGGTCTTTTGGCTTGGTCCCACCAACTGGCCCAGGAATGGACCAGAAGAAAACGGCAGCAACCGATTTTTCCGCCTCGGAGACTCATTCGGTAAGGCTTTAGCACGTGTATCTTGTTTTCTGTTTCCGAATTGCGCTGATCTTTTGTTTCACACAGGAGCCCCTGGTGGTGAAGAGCTACTGGTGCAGTATCTCATCGAATACGTGGATGATGTGTTCTCCACTCAAACTGGAAGAGCGTTATTCCCAGCAGAGAAAGCTGACGTTCATGATCGTTGCAAGAGGTTCGCACGAGACCTGGGCCCTCACTTAAACAATCCCAGTAGGAGCGTGCCTTCACGCTCACAGTCAATACCACCAAAGGTGGCAGCGTACGCTTGGAGATTTCCAACGCGGCATACAATCACTTCTGGGAATGCGCGTACCGTCATCCGCTCAAAGTTGCAGCCGAACAGTTCGCGCTTCTCAGAAGAATCATGCGACACCGCAAGGTTGCCGGAAGTGTGATGGTTTCAGGAGGAGGATTGGGGCATGAGCTTTACAATTTTCCTCTATTGCTTCGCCTGCAACAACTCGCCAAAGACGCTGGTCTCCCACGGCCTCATTTCGAGCGGGACATCCACAATCATGAACAATCGTCAGCAACTAGGGGTGCAATTACAATGGTAGAGTACGCTCTAACTGCCAGATAGTTCCTCACTCAGGGTGTCGGAATCGGCGTGCAAATAAAGCCGCACGGTGCCTTGAGTAGGAGGATGAAGCTCCAATCGGTTTTTGTGATTGAGTTCAAAGCTGGCAATCACCATATTGTGCGAGAATATCCGAGAGGTTGACATAGTTTGTCTTGTTAGGTACCTATATAACAGACATCATAGCCCAAGAATACCGTCAATACAAGTACACCAGACTCCGATCCGAGTTCGAACGAACCCATTTCAGCTTACTCTGCGACCCGCCTTATCACATTAAGCCGGAATATGCTGCTTCCGAGCAGTCGCACCAAGATCCTAAACCCAAAAGCAAGGCAGAGAGGGCCCCGATCGGTCGATTCCGATCGTACGTGTTGTTTGACGACCTTCCCAAGGCTCAAAAGCGCGATATGTACAAGTGCGAGGTCTCCATGGATGGCAGTGGAAATAACACGTTCATGATGGTCAAGATCCTCCAGACAGGACATCTACCTCAAAGGACGACACACATAACCAACCTTCATCTCCGCCTTCGTTTTGATCCAGGTCCGAGGCGTGCCGGGGCCAATATTGAGCCAGTCAAGGTCGATGAAGAGGGGGAAAGAATGGGAGACAGTGATTGAATGAAAGTGGGATTCAGGACCGCAACTCGATAAATGTCCAGACTTTGGGTCGAGAACTCTCTGTACCTCTAGCAACCACCTACCACATCAAGGCTATCGGCAATTGTAACCCGATCGCTAGTGTAATTGAAGATCGTAATGTGCGAGCTCTATGTGGAGCTAATGCCTGACAATTTGCTATCAACCTACAACACAAGCTTTCATGCTTTCACGATGTTGAAGTATCCATGTCGGGGTCTTGTTTACAACTTCAATGTTAGCACGGTACCTAGTGATAAGGGGTTGGCTCCACAAGGATGCATACTTGTATGCTTATAGGCTCGACAACGGTTGAATCTAGGGTCATGCTTGTACGTTTAATTGGCAGCACTGTTGTATGCGCGAGTTTGCAAGTCCACTCGTGTTTTTGAGCGTCAAGCGAGCTGACATTCAGGACTTTTGGTTTGATTCCGCTTTGTTAAGTTACCTGAATCTATGGTCAAGTTGAGACAAAAAAGTTATAAAGGATATCAGGGAAGACAGGAATGAGTGTCTTAGGAGTGTTGAGGCGGGTGGATGAGCCCATGGACGGGGATGCCTCGCATATGCACTCGACAGGGACCATCATCTCATGACCCACTCTTTCGTACTTCACAGTAAAGTAGACACATTCGTTACAGAGATCATTCCAAAGTCGTATACACGGATAATGGTAATTGTTCAGTGCCTCCAACATCGCGCCGGAAATTGTCACTGTATGTTGCAATGTTCGAGTTTCACTTTGCTTTTCTTGTTTCCCTATTGGTCTGAACTATCTATTTGCTGTTCGCCCTTCCTAACTTCTCACACAACGTTATCGACATTTGAAGGAGCTTCTGAGAAACTATAACTATAGTTATACATTTGATCATACATGTTGATATATACTACAACCAACCCGTTCAAGCACACACTCATACGACCTCACCGAGCCGTGGCGGTCACCCTTCGGATTTGATCTAGCCCGACATGTGGGAATCTCCATCCCTGTCCAGGAAGAGGGCCGGGATTGCTTCTTCTAGAGGTGTGCTTTTCTGACCCGGCATTACGCATCGGGTTCCAGGGTCGAAGTACAGCGGGAGAACGAAGTTCCACTCCTTGGTGAGGCGTTTTGTGGCCGCTTTGCTTCTCAGTATGGGAGTCATGGTGATACTTAGGTTAAGAACCACCTTCTCACCGTCTCTTTGACGACGAAGAGACCACTCGCAACGACTTTTATGACTGGAGTGCGGCAAGGCGTCCAAGAAGTCATATGTCCGCTTCCAGGACATCTCCACATTGGATTCATCGGAATCGTCGGACTCGTCCATGTCAAGATCGTCGTCTTCACTGGGGCTATTATTGTTGAGAGTGCGGTTCTTTCCAAAGGCAGGGTCGCAAATCAACCGAACCCGATCTTCGGGAAACAGCTGGACTGCGCACGCCGGGTGTACGTCTGTTTGCCGTTGAGTATCCTGTCCAGGCTGGTTAGAATGGCGTGTCGCGGAAGGCTCGGGGTTGATTTGAGAATGTCGACTGTACTCACGTAGTAAAGCATGCAGTACGCCACATCCTCCCATTCGCCCTGTCCTCCAGGCTGAATTTGCACACCGATACCCGCGCCCCGGTTGAAGAACTCGTCCACGGAGATCTGGTGGACCTCGTCATGTGCCATTCCCACGGCATTGCGGACGGACCTGGCCATTTAGCATGGTTAGCTGTGTGAAGACCGTACTATGAGACTCAATAGAGGTACTTACTGCGAGTCACCACCCTTGTGGAAAACTCGCTGCGCGTCTCCAAGGCCAGCTTCCTTTACAATATTCATGATTCTCTGGGCCAGGGGGGTGTTCTTGAGACTTCCGCCTGCCAAAGCAACAAGAGCCGTGGTGTTGAAGTGCTGAACCTCGTCCCTGTCGACGAGGGCCTCGATGTTGGTTTTGGCCATTCGAATTGTGCGTCCAAAGGCATCCTCCCAGGCCTGCAGGATATCTTCCTCTGAGAGATGGCAGTTGACGAACGTTTCCGGGCCAGTGTTGACCACCAGATTCAGCGTCCTTGTCCTTCCACCAGGGCCCATGTGTGCCCTGTACCTCTTGAAAAATGCTCTGGCTTGCGCTTTACCTGCAGGGGTTACGTTCGATGTACCGTTGCTCGCATTCGCCACCTTACGGACACAAGTGTTGACCAACCTGTCAATGAAGTGCTCGCCTCCACCGCCAGTCCCTAAGTAACGATCCGGTTAGACTCTCTTTGAAAATCGAAAGTTTGCAAAAGGAATAGGGAGGCTGGGTAAAAGGACTCAAATCTTACCAAAGGGAACTGCCGCTGCAAAGAAATTCGAAACTTCGCCACTCTCGCTGGTAACCCAATACAAGCACCCATTCTGAGTGAAAAACGTTAGTTGTCTGAAAAGGCCAAGACCGATTAGGGGGACAATGCGAATGTTGAATTGCCTACCATGGAATGGCCACCAAAGTCAAGCATAAGGCACAGTTGGTGACCATGTCTGCCATTTTTCACAAGTTGGCCCTGCAAATCCAGTAGCAGGCTACCGGCCAGACCCTCGGTTTCAAAGTAGAATTTGATCTGGTCTTTGGCCAAAGCCAGACTCCAGTCAAAAGCTTGACGCAAGAGTTCACGGTAGACTGCCTCAAAGTCAAGGTTCCACTGTGAAGGAATGCTCACAGTGAGTTTGTTGATAACCCACTCCTCCGTGTTGCCCATGCCATTCATAGTCTCCTCTGCTCTTTCGCGCATGAACCGCAGCATGCTGATGATGCCGATTCTCAACCTTCGGCGGAAGTTTTGGCTGTCTCGTGCGTCCTCAGCCAGTAGATCATTTATCAGTGGGTATTCCTCCGTCAACTCTGCGGGGGCATCCGCGAGGATGTAGAAGCCATACTTGAGTGCGACCTCCTCCCGACCTGTTTGGAGCTCATACCCATCGTAGATGACCTCGTCATTCACGGTGCCAAAAACGCAGCCCTGGGCGCTGAATGTGTAAGGATTGCTCTCGTTGCTGTTGTTCTCAATCCACACAACCTCTGCATCCTTGTTGGGCGGCCGAAGACAGGCACGTATACCCGAACTGCCCAAGTCGATGGACATGATGATACCCACCCTTTCACTGTAACAGGATACCCGAAAGTGTCAGTAATATGTAGCGTTGAAACCAGCAATGGAAAATAATGCAGAAAAACGCACACTTGTGCGTGACTGTTGGGAGCCGACGCCGTCGAAGCTACGGTAGCGGGTTCAGTGTCGGCTGATTCTCTCACGGCTGCTGCCGCGCTTCTGGTGATGCGCCGCGTGAAAGTCCCTCTTGACGCGAGCCCCATATCGGCCACTGCCGCCCTTCTGCCCGTCATATTGATTGTTTGATCAACCGAAAATATCTCTTGGGAGGGCCTCACGTCGAGGCGATAATAGACCTTGTCTGATGTGTTCTGACTGCAGGAAATAAGAAAGCGCTGTGTACAGTTGAGAGAGGAATGTGTACAGCTGATTCTTCAATGTGAAGGCGAAAGGGAAATTATTCAGGTCGTGAACAGCAAAGGAAAAAATAAAGTCATTCCGTCTTGGTGGGCAAGGGAAAGAATAGACAGAAGGGAAAGCCCTACCGCAACCAAATTTGGCTTACGTACTGTGTAGACTGGACAACTATCAGCCCCGCCGTCCCATTCACTTGATGACGGTGCCGCGTAACTGAAGTCCCTTCACCTTGACTTGGATATCGGCAGAATCCCAAGGAATCGTCTTGCCGGCCGAACGCAAATATTCGTACCGACACTTTGGGACCAATCACAACGTCAGTGCATTACCTCCAATAATTCAGTGAGAGCAATTCCTGCCTTGGAGACTCCCTCGAACTGTCATTCACTCGTTGAAATGTTCGGACGACATAAGGTACCTCGCACCTTCGCTCGAAAAGTGGCCCGGGGGGGTTCTGCCAGCCCCCGCCGACGACGTAATCCCAATATCCACAACTAGGTACCTAAGCACCACTGCCTTGCCGTATTGAGTTTGTATTGTGTATTACTTTGGTTCATTTCAAGTTCTTGTTGCATCCACCTCATGTGCTATTGAACCCAAACACACTTATTGTGACTCAAAACCTGGTGGATGCCCCCAACAAGAAGCCAACCAAGCCGGGACAATAGTATCTACAGCTTTCAATAGAACTGCTTTCAGATTATTCTACCTGACTGTCTCCACCTTACATGGCCTTTAAACTGTCGAACTCAGACAAACTTTGCGACCAATTCTACCCTTGAACTCCTTCTGTCCTTAACAGACGACACAGATACCGCCACCAGGTCATTGATAACCTTCGACACAACCCCCATCTCGACACCCAGACAATCCTCTCAGCGTTGTCCAATTTTCAACCACCTTGCCTTCGTCAATCAATTCGCCCTTCCTTCAGTCTTTGAAGAAACACAACTCGAACATTCATTTCGCCATACCATTGCGACAATGAGCGATTACGACATGGAGCCAGGTGATCGTGAGAAGCTCCTAGTGAAGACTAGACTTCCGTATCCGGAATACACCATTTACCATGAAGTTCGCGAAAAACTTGCTGCTGTGCGTGGCCTGGCGTGGGAGCTGCACGACAATATGAGAAATGCCCTTTGGGACATTACCCAGCAGTACAGAACGACACTAGCTGGTATTGCGGAACACAAGAAAGAATATGACGCGATTCTTCACGAGTACAGCACTGTTCACGACATGGCAGACCGAGCCCACGATCTTTCGTTGATTGTGAAGTGGCCCGCGATCTTCGCACACCCCCACATTACGCTGTCCGACAATGAACATGGTTGGAGGGTGGATGTGCAGCCTGAGGCGACAAATCGCTTGTACTATAGTGATTGGATTGAGAGAATCGCAACCGGAAGAACCTTTTGGGGCGTAAACGGGCTCCCTAATGATCCTGCCGAAATTTACCCTCTTCCTCAACCTCCTGGCTCAACGGAATCACAGCAGCAAGAGCAAGATGGGACACAACAGCAGGAGCAGCAGGAGCAGCAAGAGCAGCAGGAGCACTCCGGCTCAGCAGCAAGCCCATGCCAGCCGGTCCCAACAACGGCTGTCCCTGCCAATGCCGAAAAGAATTCCTCCCCAGAACCACTCTCATTGAGCCTTCCAAGCCTGAATGTTGCCGATCAACCGGTTGCTCGCGCTCGCTCCCACTCTCCGTCCAGGGGACTGTCTGATATCGACCATAGACCAGCCAAGCTCGATAAAGGAAAGGGAAAAGCCGTCGACATCCGCCAGGGAAACACTAGCGCGACTGCTGGCACCACCGCTGGATCCTCATCCGTCTCCGTCAGCGGCCAGTCCACTTTTGCCGCTGACCCTCTCTTTGCTTTTGCCTCTGCTACCTCTATCGCGGGACCGTCAGATACCGACCGCCAACCGACCAAGCTCGACAAAAATAAGGGCAATGCCGTCGATGCCCCCCATAGCAACGCCGTGGCAACCACCGCTGCCACCGTTGGCTCCTCGTCCACTGCTGTGGGCGTTCCGTCTATACTCGCCGGTGAACCTGGCTCTGCTTCCGTCTTAGCTATTGCGGGACCATCCAACACGGCCAATGCGGTCGACAACCCCGCCGACACTACTAGCAACAAGAGCAGCAGATCTACCAGTAACAACTCCACCACCACCGTCATCGCCACCACAGTCAGCAAAGAAGAGGGAAACCAGGAGGTCGTCGCTAACAATGCCGCAGACAAGAGCACCGCAAATATGCAAGGTAGAGCGACCAAGATCAAATTCATCACTCCTGGCAGCAAAAAAGACGTCAAAGGCAAAGGCAAAGCAGTTGACAAACCCAGCAACATTGACAACAATGCCTACAAGATTGTCAAGCCTGGAAGTAGCAAGCAACCCGCAGCCGTTGCCACGCACAGAACCATCAAACGATCGCAGGTTGTCAAGGAAAAGTACTGGGTCTTCAAGCTCGATTCCTCCATGTTCATAAAAAGTGGCAGAATCAGGGCGGACTTTTCGAATGACAAGGGCAACAACAAGAGCAAGGTCAACGGAAAGGGTAAGGCGACGGTGCCTGGCAGTACCAATGACAATGACGAAGGAAACGGCGTAGGCAGCGGCAGCATGGCCATTAGCAGCAAGACCGCTACGGCCATCAACAGTGGCAATGACAACAACTCCGACGATGAGTTGGCTCTTGGCCAAAACAGTGATGACTATAGTAGCGGCAGCGAGACAGATGACAGCAAGGACAGTAATTTCACTCTCAGTTCCAAGTCCAAGAAGCGCAAGGCTACCCCCACCGCTGCCGAATCGCGCACCACGAAACGCAGCACCACCACCGGCGCCACTACCGGTACCACCACAACCACCATCGCCGCGGCCTCTAGCTCCCACTCCAGCGGCAACAAGCGCAAGCGTGCCACGACCGACACAGGCGACAAAGAAGAGACCGCCTATTACGTCCTTCGTTGTCCGCTCAAAGAGGAATGCAAGTCCGCATCCTATTGTCCTTTCAGCCACGACAGCCCCGCAAGCATCAAAGGCGTGTTCAACCGACACCCATTCAAGAAGCGCCGAGCAATGGACCATTTCAAGCTCTGTGAACAAGGACATGGGGACTACAGCACTGAGAGGAAGATTTGGGATAATTGTTGTTTGAGGGGTGAGTCTTGTCTTCTTGTTATCATTGTTTTACCTTAATTGATTGCTAACAGCCAAACAGTGGTGCCGGACAGAAAGAACACCCCCGTGAACAATGAGTGGGCTGAGAAGCACAACAGAGCTTTGATCCAGAGCTTGATCAAGAAAGCCGCGGGCGGGAAGAAGGAGAAGGAGATGCTGGAGAGGGAGATGGAAGAGGAGCTTTGAGCTTTCCTGGTTTGTGCTTCCTTTTGTCTTTTCATGTGTTCTCCTCAAGAGTGCTTGTTTTGGTTCGTCATTTCATTGTTGGCATCTGTTTGAAGGCCGGAAGCGAGCGAGGAGTTATGGTGTTATGGCGTTATGCAGTTATGGTATGATTGATGACAAGCAAGGAGCCGGAAACAAGGCGATTTGGTACAAGAGACATGGGTTCGGGCGAAAACAAGCCTTGAGAAAGTGTATAGTACAGATAGGCTCGGCGAAGAGATGCCTAGAGAAGCTGTGTCGTACATATACAAGGACAAAGGATAGAAAGGTGGAAAAATTCACGCGCTGTTGGACAGGCGTCAAGATATCTGAGACGCGATACCAGAACAGTTAGTAGCAGTTACACAGAGTGTCCGAATACAAGGACATTGGAAAAAAAAAATCCGGAACAGCTACCGCTTTACCTACGCTAGTGATCTTGATGACCATGGGGGAGTTCCGAGCTGCTTCGCGCGGCTTTATTCGATGCTCAACGAATGGTTTGGTTTTGACAGAGGAGAGCATGACATGGAAGATGTTCATTGGCGACTGAAGACACTGATGGCGAAAACATTTCTCCCGTTCTAGTTCCGCTGTTCGGACTGTCAAGACTTATCATCAGCAACCGAACGATTTAATGGACTAGAGGGTTGGAGAGATGCTTCGTTTTTGGTCATTCAAGATACTAAATTATCCAAATACTCCAAACAAGGCCATTAGGTCCATCCAAACCACATCCAGCAAGCGAGATATCGCCTCTTCCTTCAAGCGTTCCATATCCTACACACCATATCCTACAAGATCCTACAATATCCTACAACACTTCCGATCAGTACCTCTCACGTAAAGAAATCCGTCAAGTCAAGGCCACTCCCAGCCAACAATTTTGCCACATCCTGTCCCTCCTTGGCCAACACCATGACCTCGTTGAATCCCAATTCGGAGCCAATGCTTAGACCTATTTCCATAGCTACCAAGCCCATTCCCACAGCTTTCCAGCCTATGGCGAGTCACGCGATCAGCTGCGTCACCAGCCCCTCCACCAGGGCACCGGCCACACCGGCTCCGACCACGATCCAGGTCCACTTGTTGGAGACCTGGCACTTGTCGGGCCAAAAGGCGTTCTCCTCGCGACGGTACTTGTCAAAGTCGATCTTCTTGTTGACGTTCTCGGTGCTGTAGCGGCGGGCCTGGCTGTGCTCGTTCTCCTTGTCGCCCGACACGTAGCGGAGGAAGATGTAGTTGGTCAGCGGGCCGAGGAGGTGGATGGGCTGCAGGGAGTTGCTGGACCAGAGGAGGAGCGGGAAGGAGAGGTGGACTAGCATGTCGCCGAGGTAGCTGTGAAGTGTTGTTAGTAGAGCGCTTGTGTTATGAACCAACAAAAAAAGGGGGGGAGGGGACGGGGACTCACTTTGGATGTCTGACAATGCTCCAGACTCCCTCTCTGCACATGGCTGAGGGGCTCTCCTGGCCACTCTTCTCCTTCTCCTTGAACGTATCAAGCTGCCAATCCGCCAAAACCTCCAGCGCAAAGCCCATACTGAACAATCCCACAGCCACAGCCTCTGCCACCGCCGCATACCCGCCCGACAGTGTCGCGAACGGCCCCGGCACATCCGACCCAACCAAGTGCCGGAAGGGCGCGGTAAACGGCAACGTGATCAAGCTCTGGAACAGCGCCTCAGGGAGATAGGTGGTAAACAGCGCCTTGTTCCACGACCATCCATGCTGCTTCTTGGTCGCCTCATACCGCGGATCGTCCCCGCCGCGCTTGACGCTCCGGCTCGCGATGCGCCAGAACAGCCGGCTGCCCCAGAGGGTGACGCCGGCGAGTAGCAGGCGCTGCGGGCGGTCGATGATGGCCCACGAGCAGTATAGCGGGATGCCGTCGCAGATGACGCGCTTGCCGAGGGCGGACCACCACGCGTTGAGGACCTGGCCGGCGGGCCAGAGCCAGTCTTTAGTCTCGAGACGGTCGGTGAGGCGGCCGGCGCCGTAGGCGATCAAGCTGAGGCCGGAGTGGAAAGTTATGGAGGGGAGAAGGGTGTCGCGGAGGATGCCGACGTCGAAGAGGGAGGAGTGGAAGAGCTTGCTACAAACGCCCCGGGAGGCGGTGGTTTCTGGACCCGTGGCGGGTTCGTAGAGAGGGCGGTTGTCGAGGGGGATGGCAGATGGACTGTCGCCCACCCACGAGTGACCGCCCCATGGGTTGGTCGTTTCAGCGAGGTGCAGCATGGCTGAAGATGATGATCATGACTTGTCGTTGTTGTTGTATGTTTAGATGGGGTGCATGGTTGGTGCCGAGCGGGCGTTGTGCATCGATATATCTGCGATATTTGGGTGCAGACGGGGACGACAGTGATGCATCGATGATGTGATGCTTTCTTGCACGGGCCGGGCATCGTCATGTGTTTGGAGCCCTGTAGCTGCAGCGGGACGTGCCCTATCTCCGCTGCAGCTACCCCTGTAAGCAAGCTTGACAGGGCTGGATACCCCATCGACCTACATACCCCACCATCGGAATGCGGGGGCCTCGTTCGTCGTCTCCAGATTTCTGACGTCTTCCAATTTTTCCATCAAGTTCAACTTCAACCCAACACCGAACTTCTTCCGCCCGACGCCTTCATCCCCTGATACACGTCGAATTCCTCTTTGAGAACCAACCATCGATCGTGCCAGTAGTGGTACTCCTCGAGCCGAGTCTTCCGATGTCCTAATCCGCATTTGAGTATCATCATATCGTTCTCGCCGCGCTCCCCTTGTTTACGATACCACTTTCGCGAAGCCGCGTCATTTTCGGGGAAGACCAGCGCAAGCGTGCCGAGAGTCTCGAGACGAAGTCCAGTGGAAGTTTGGGTTTCTAGACCACGGACTGTCAGCAGCATACGATGGTGTTCCAGCAAGTGCTTGGATGGGAAGTTTTTTACACATAGCCCGGATTGATGGCTAAGGAAAGTTGATGGGCCGAGTTGGTCGTCAGCTCGACTCAAAAACCAGCAATAAGAACAGCTAGACGGGGACATGCTTGCAAAGCAATCCGGCCTTAGTATGTGTACGGTAGAGGCCGAAGTAAGGATCCTAGTCAGACTGGGCTTTGGGGTTGGCGAAGCGGACGAGTTGGGGACAGTTCCACAGTTGCTCAACGATCAACTCTGGGTCGACATCGCGGATACCGGCTTGCATATCGAGCACGGTAGCTGAGCGGCATGGTCAGTTGACCTTCTGCGGTGGTGGCCATCTCCAAGCATGACATGATGTTGTTGAATTTTGGGTCACAGCACGAAAATTTGTATCATAGTAACGATCCATATTTGCGTCAGAAATGGAGTAGAAGGACAGGTCGCCATAGTGCGTCCATCACCTTGACTATGTTAAGCCCCGACTTATACCTTGCTTTGAAATCTTACTTTATAACTGCATTGGTGGTCTATTGCATCGTCCGTAATCCAGTTGGGAGTGGATGATGGTTGCCCATCAGACTATTTGCTGGTGAGCCTAGCATGCGCCCGTCCACTTCAGGCTGTCAGCCCAGGGCAACATATCAAAAGGCCTCCTCCCAGCTTGCATGAAAACGCGACTACTTCTAAATTGAGGCAGCCAGCTTTAGTGCCTACCCAATAACACTTTCCAATTCTCCCAACATCACCAGAACGGGTGGCTGTGCACCGCAGAGCACTCCGAGACCAAAACGGCCAACCCCGAGGCATCACTCGGAACCTTCTACATATCGATGAAGCGTACAAGTGCTCGTGTTCTTCCTCCCCCGGTTGTTTTTATGACGAAGCTGTCTTGGGTACTTTCGTCGACCATGTCTTCTACGCTGACATGTCACACAACGTGTTCGAGTTTGGAGTGTCTGAAAGCTCTTCTATGGGCGCCACTGGCCGCGGACCAAGACTTTGGCCGTGATGATACCTCAGACTACAGCGACAGTGAGCGCAGTCGGCCTATCCAAGGCGACACTCAGTCAACTCAATATCAGGTCTCTGAGGTTTTCCTTGGTGCCGTGGACGGGCGTGTCCGGGAGCCGAATGAGCAGAAGAACACCCCAAGGTGGCTGGATGGAGCTGCAGTTGGCTTCGAGGTTCGTGCCAAGGCAGATAGATGTATCACTAACGACGACAGCAATGACGAGGGCTCGAAACAAAGAAGGCCTCCATGGAAGACGCATGGTATGGCTTCCTGGGGCTTGCGTCTGTTCAAGAACAATACAACCGGCGAGGCGCGCCTTCAGCTCTGTACCGAGTCCTAGGACATTCTTGTACTGCAACAGCCTCTGCTCTCTGATTTCTACAGAGAGGAACCACCGGACCCCGAATCCGTCGGTATAGCTGTCGCAACGGATGATGATCAGGTAGAGCAGGGATGATACAATGACATCGAGTACGCGTACCTAGAATCGCAGTGGTTCCTTTTTGGTCGATTTTCTCCATCATTGAGGCACTGTTATCCCTCCTCGGTATCAAACACCCGCCGTGCCTGCCGCCCACTAGATTCCAGATACCCGGTACCGTCTCAAACTCTACCCTCCCTTATAAGCCCGCCCACTAGGTACCAATTCCAACACACAGGTTGGCTGAGTGGCCTTGAGACAGAACACAGCTTTCTACACCCACTCACAAGACCATGGGTTCGAGTCCCATGGTGGCGGCTGGTTTTAAATTCACTCAATATTGCCCAGGCCCGCATCTTCACTCCGGTGATATATGGTGCACGAGGGACTTCGCTCCGCCCGCTTTGTCTAGCTGGGCTTACGTAGTGAGCAGTCGTGAGCGATCCGGGGGCGATTGATACCGCATGGTGTTGATCTGGCCAACCATCAATTTTTTGGGGGTCTCTTTTTTTCCTTTTTTTTTCTTCAATGTAGAATAGTAGTTAATGTATTTTTGTGTAGCGACGGGTACCGGAAAACAAATGTGCCAACCACCGGTCATAACTGCTTCCCTCGGAGCTTTTGAGGCTATTGGGACGTTCTGCCCTCTACCAATACCCAACTCACAGCTGTGTCCTTACCTCTTCGTTTCATTCCCAATTGGTTATCATTGTAGGAAGCGCATTTTTTACCCTAGAGGGATGGCGCAGCAGGCTATCCCGTCCCTGTTGGTTGAGACGAGGGAATCTCGTTTTCTCCTTTGATCACAGAAAGGCCGTGGTTCACCCACGCCCATGTGAACGATTTGCGATGTTCAGGGTGTTGGTGTGTCACACACGATGAGATAGGGTTATAAGGTGCTTTGGTTTTCCTAGGTGTTTCCTTCCTTCCAGCTGTTCATTTAACCGCAGCGGTATCTCGAACAGTTCGGAAACCCTAGAGTTCGCGGGCATACAACGTACCGGCGTAAGGATACCTCAGCATGACCAGCAGACCAGTCTGCCGCTCATCGTGAAGGTCGCTCTTGACTCCTTCATCGTAAAATCGATCTCTCTTCAATGGCGACTGCCTCTCCTTTGAAACATGCCATCAAGCGTATAGTTGGGCAGTCTTCCAGCATGTATCCTGTCGATCTCGCATGAAACCAGTTAACATAGGCACCAAGACATCAGTGAACATCATTAGAATACTGGGTCTGTTTACCATTTTGGTATCTGGAGTCGCAATCATTCCAGACCTCATAAACTTACAGGCAGCCATTCCCATACTGCCAATACTGGCGTGCTAACAGCCCAAACTCAAACCATGTCAACCCAAACCGGCCCGACGCTGGTCAATTTTGATGACACTACCTCTACTACTTCCCCATCTTCAACTACCCTCTGGTCTCCGACTTTTGTCCCCGCGGATTCACCCGTGAACACCAATAAATTCACCGGCATCACCCCTTGGTCACCTAAACTCTTCACAGCGGAAGCCACACTCGCTCTCCCCACACAAAGCCCGTCGACAGCGGCACCTACATACATGTACCTCCTCTTCTAAGCCCACCGGCCATATCGCTTGTGACCTGGGGGAGTTTGTCGGTAACTTGTGGTTTGCCAAGGAACAGGAACTTGGGCAACAAGCCACCAAGCACGCCTCCCAGTCGTCCCTTTTGAACCGCAGGGAAGAATCCACAGGACCTTGAATCGACGAAATGATAGTCGTACCATCGTAAGACATCCACGACGCCACCATCACGCAAACCCATTATTCTGCCGTAACAATCACCGCTCCTCCCGGGAAGCATCAAGATCTCCTTCCCTCCCATCAAAACTTTTCCTCCTCTCATCGGCATCTCTCAACCTACCTAGTTCCAAGCCAACCACCATCACATACTTCCCTCCACCCCTTCCCTCCTTCTGCTCTACTCCTGGTCTGCTCCTCCTCCTCTATTCATCTACTCCTCCGCCCACCACCGCCCCAACCGTAACCCCACCTACCATGTCCAAAACCCCCCATCTGCCCCTCCACAGCGAACAACATCTGATGTCCAGGTAGCCCGACCTTCAATCTCGATTCCTCGCATGCGACACGGACCCACGGACCACTGCACCATAACGACGGCAACTTCGATTTTGGTTTGTTAACTTGTATCCCCACAACTGGGACCGGGACATGTACGGGCGGGCGGCAGTACGGCACCCCCCTTTGCGCCGCTACATGTAGTTCCGTCCTGTCCTGACGCCAAATTTCACGGGGTTTACCTCCAGTTATTGTGTATGGTACGGGGAGTGGCATGTATGTCCTAGGTAGGTAGGTGGGTATTTGAAGGAAGAGGCGAATGTGAGGAAGAATGCTGTGGGGGGATTATCTTCGGTGATACCGAGGGTTGGGCGGTATACTTATGGGATTCGTGGAGCGAGGGGGGAATTCATGAGGATTTAGAGGGCGTAAACTGGAAAGCGATGGGGGGATCATAGAGTGAGTGAGTGAGTGAGTGAGTGGGTGAGTGAGTGTGGGGAAAGGATGAAGGATTGGAGCTAGGATTGAGGTCGGGCCTTGAGAATAAGTCTCATGTGGTAAGAGTCTACCTACCTCAGAGAGAGAAGAGGTGGGAAGGTGAAGGATAGGGAACGAAGATCGAAAAGGAAATGAAAGGAAGTGTAGGTAGGGAATGGTTCATTTTGTCTGCTTATTCTCTTGATCGTGTATTCTATACAGAATAGTTCTTACTTTTATATCCCCAGCACTTTTCTCTGAACCTTTGCCCTCCAAAGAGCCAAGAGAACCTCTTTCAGGTCAACTCAATTTGTCGGTAGCCTTCATTTCATTGACTATCACGTGTTGATGTACTGCACAGCACCAGTACCCTATGAAAGACTATCCCACAAATGAACATAAAGAGTCCGCACAACATATTGCACTATTCATTTCTCATATTGGTCACCAGTTGGCCGTAATACATGTGAGTGTCCTACGCGTGTCCAAGACGCAACATGCAGCTCAAGCTTGTGATACTTCACACCCCAGGTGTCAGCATAGCAAAGACACTGAGTGTCACTGCCGTACATCACTCGACATCCAGATATGTAGTACACTAGCCATCTGTCCCTGAATAGCCTCCGTTCCATAACGGAGACACCTCGTTGTTGACCGTCGTGTGCATCACCTGGTGAAGATGGATCTACAAACAGCTCCGTTGCGTTGGTCCTAGACAAGACAGACCGTTATCCTATAAGAGGTACGACAGCCGGGTCCCTGTAGGTGATCCTTCTTTAGCGCGTATCAGACCTCCGAAGGCCAATGGGAGAATCTGACGCCATTTAACTCGGTTGAATGATCCACGCAAGGAATACACACTAGATGTGAGACGCTATTCCCCACCAGTTACTTAGCGAACGACGGCTGCTGCTGATGAGCAGAGGGGGTCGTAGTGTAGGTCAACGTCTCAGCTGTGTTGCACCTAACCTACCTGGTGACCTTCAAGCATGATTGCGCGTTCCGTTGGCTGTAGGTGCTGTAAGTGATGCGGTGATGCGGTGATAATCCCTCAATATGTACACTAAGACGACGATGATCAAGTTGACGTGACTCCGAACTCGCATGGACTCCGAGACTCACCTTGAGCTTATTATTGATCGGCAGCAGCAACGGCCTCGGAATCTCCCGGTGCCCAGACGGGTGATTGTCTTGGGTGATGTGATACTGCATGTCTTGCGTGGTTTATTTGCATTGTAGTGGTTGGTCTTCACGTTCACGCCATATCGCGACTTCACCGAGGTAGCCTAGCGCGGCGGGTAAGGTATGAACTCGCGAATCACAGGCTCACAGGTTGCTAGTGTCTGGCAAGTGAGGGTGGGGGTCAAGACTAGAGGTAGGGAAGATAAGAGGGCGTGTGCTGCGGATCAAACAGTGAGTGAAGTGCCCGGCCGTGGAAAGAGTCGTAGTGTTGCAGTGGTGGATAGCAACGAGGTGAACAGAAGGAAACTTGAGTGATCAAAGCTGAGGTGACTCGGAGTGACGGAGTAAATGTCAAACTTAAGGTGAACCTGAAGGTCACAAGCACGCTCACGACACTCGGCAAGAAGGAAACCCAACACCATCGGAACATGTATCTCCTCTCATCATCTGTTAGAAGGGGTAGTAGAGCGATGAAATTTGCCATAGTCAAGCATGGCGCCCACTAACAGAGGTACAAACATGTGTCAACGTCGGTGATCTCAGTCCTTTGTTGTTTCCTCATTGATGTGATGAGTGAGGGAATTCCAAGGACAGAACAGGAAGGTTACACTACACTGCCTACCTACGGTTGCTCCCTGTCGAGTCAAGTGCACTTCACTGCCGTAAGAGAGAGGCTAAAGCAAGAAGGTAATGATAGTGGTGGGAGCGCTTTCCAGTAAAATGAAGTTGTCAGTGATGGGTTGGGGTAGCTATCATTCCTTCCGTCCAAGTCGGTCAAGAAAATGAGTTTGATACGGTACAGTGCGGATGTCGGCCTCAATCGATTGCTTCTGTTGAGGCCAGGAAATGAGGGTACTAACCGCAAATAGGTGACTCTACCTGATGACGCTGGAAAGACGTGAACAGGACCAAATGATGATGCAAGGTGGATGTGCTTCACTTGAACAGAAGGCTCCGAAGGCAGTTTCTGTACCAAGAAACATTTAGAAAGCGAAGAGAACTGGTGAAACCCAGGGAATCAGCAATTAGCATGACCGTGTAGTCGATGACGGCAGTGTGCTTTCGTGAACCATGTTGTCGTCACCGCTGGTGGTGTTGTGAAACGAGGTGGCAAAAATGGTTAGCGCAATTGTTAGTGCGAAGTCACTCTTGACGTCCAAAAGGCGGCGAGGTGACAGTGCCAAAAGTTAAAATCCAACTGAGCCCAAGGGTCG